TTTCGAAAATTTTTTTTTTTTTTTACCCCACCTTAACATTTTTTTTCCAAAAAAGACCCCGGGGTTTTTTTTTTTGCCAAGTTTTTTTAAAAAAAAACCCCTTTTTTTTAAATTTTAAAAACCCTTCGGTCCCCCCAATCCCAGTACCCCGGTCCCGGGGGGTTTCCCTTGGGGGTTTTTGGGCTTCATTTTGGCCCCCCCGGAAGCCCCCCCTTTTTTTTGGGGGGTATAAAAGGAACTTTTTTGGGGGGGTTTTTTCCCCCCCCCCCCCCCCCCCCCCCCCACTTGGATGTCCACCTGCGTGTGTCTTCTCCCGAAAAAAGGCGACCTTACCTCCCTTCGGAATTGGCGACCCATCGCACTTATCAACACTGATGCTAAGGTCTTCACTCGTCTTCTTAACTCTCGTTTGATCCCTGCTGCCACTCCTCTTGTCACTCCCTACCAAACTGGCTTTGTTCAAGGACGATTTATTGCTGATAATGGGATGCTCACCCGGATGGTCATGGCTCAGGCACTTCAGGAAAGCTCGACTGGAGTGGGTCTTCTTCTTGATCAGGAGAAAGCGTACGACCGAGTCCACCCAGAATACTTGCGCCGAGTTCTTGATCACTTTCGCTTTCCTAAATCTATAATAACTTGTATCACCCAATTGTTTTTCTCTGCACATATTCAGATCAACGTTAATGGCTTCCTATCTCGCCCTCTCACACAATTGCGTGGCCTCCGTCTAGGCGACCCTCTCTCTCCCATCTTGTTCAATTTGGCTTTTGAACCTTTGTTGCGACGGGTTATAAGTGATCAATCCTTCCTCGGTTTTCGACCTTCTGTCCCTGATAGTGTGGCTACTATTCCTCCTATTAAACTTCTAGCTTATGCCGACGATCTTCTGGTATTTCTCCCAGATCCGGCTCACCTTACTCGACTCCACACACATCTCACCACCTATTCCGCTGCGTCCAATGCGCGTATCAACCTCCACAAAACGCAAGCTTTCTCACTATCTGGTAGTCCTCTCCCCGATTGGACCTCCACCCTCCGTCGTCATAACATTACCGATTGGCATGACCGCACCTCGCCCGTACCTCTCCGTTATCTTGGCTTTCCGTTGATTCACTCCAAGGCTCAACGGGACTCGTTCTGCTCATCTCTTCTCCAAAGGATTGAGGACAGCTGCAATCTTCACTCATCTCGCTCTCTCTCTCCTTTCGGGGTAAAGCCACCGTTCTAACATCTCTCATACTCTCTCAGCTTTGGCATGTTTTGCGTGTGGTCTCTCTACCTATGTCCTTCTTTCAGAAGATCAGGTCCATCATGGGTAGCTTCCTTCAACGTGGCACCTTCCCCCCGATTTCTTTGGATACTTTCTGCCTCCCACGCGTGCAAGGCGGACTTGGTATCATCGATCCTAAGACGCAGCAGAGCGCTCTACAACTTCGTTGGCTTCAACCTATCGTCCGCGCTCCTCGGTCCCCCGCTGGTTTGGTCCCGCGCTGGATGTCCGGCTTGTTACAGGCTTCACTTCCTTCTCTTTCTCCCCTATTCCCCCTTCTATTTCCAAGTATGCGTCCTTCTGGATGGCGGGATCTTACCTCTCCTCTACATTTAGTCTTCGCTGCCATTGACCATCTGCCGCACAACTTTGATAATGTTGTGGTAAATTCGACTACTTGCCTTGCTTTGCCTCTCTCAGCGGTCACCATTGTCCCTGCTTCCCAAGCACGCTTCCCCCCATCCTGGAACGATCTTTTGGTTTCCCACCTCTACACCTTTGACCCTGCCCTGGCGTCGCTACGGTCCATCTCCATCATCAGCAGCCATCAACGCTCTCGTGTTATTAATAAGTTCCTTAGCCGAGTTCAACTCAACACCCTCACATTACACCCGATAATCGTTCGCGCTTGCTGCTCTCCTCGTGAACTGACCGAACAATATCCGTCTCTGCCCGTTCAAGATGACACATCCATTGACTTGTTCCCTTTCTTTAATGCGCTCGTACCTTCTCAGACTTGGGCACGTCTTTCCACACGCACTTTCCGCGGGCTGTGCTCCCACCATCTCGTCCGTGCCCGCTATTTCGATCCCCCCCGTGGCTCTCGTCATTGGCGGAAATTTTGGTCTTTCCCCCTTCCCCTGGTGGCTCGTAATATTTGGTTTCGTGGTCTACACGACAAGATTTCTTGCCGAGCCCGTCTTCACTCTTTGCTTCCTCTCGCCTTTCCCTCTCCTACCTGCTCTATTTACTCTCTCTCCTCCGACTCCCAAGACCACTTCTTCTTCACTTGTCCTCTCAAAAACGCGGTGTGGATCGGCATGTGGCTGGAATTCTTTGGCACAATACCTACCCCAACCGCACTACACAACGCTTTTCACTTCTTCTCTTTTCCCTCTTCCTTAAACTCTTCTATTCCCCCTTCTACCGTCTTTGGATGCACCCTCCTTGCGATATGGCGTCACCACTGGACTTTCATTTTTGACGATTCACCATTTGTTCCGTCTGCTGTTGTTGGTACGGCTCGCAAGACCCTAACCCGCATTTGCCAAGAATTAGACCTCAATCCTCTCTTTTAAAAAAACTTATACTTATATTTATTATAATTAACAAAAACAAAAAAAAACCCAAAAACATTGAAAAAGCTAGAAAACCCTCCAAACAAATGCTGTGATCACTCTTTTGATTATCTCCTTTTGAGTGTCACCAGACCCCCCAAGCCTAATAAAGTGCTTCTTACAAACAAAAAAATTAATATTTACAATTGTAATATCTTGAACTTGTATACCATTACTGTTACCATATCACGTGCAAACTATCTCTCTTCTTTTACTCTCTCCATTCTTCCTTCTTTAAACACTCGATAAAAAAACGACAACACCGGTAACCCCACAATTTAAGCCTTTAGATTCCACAGACTTTTCAAGACATTCCTGTACCAAATAAAAGCATTGGAGCTCTTATTACTTTGACTGGTTCAATATACCTTGTCTTAACCTCGGTCTGTAAAAATCCGATTTACTATAATATTATAAAGCGACGTTAAGGTAAAAATACTTTATTAATTACACTTGCTTTAAACTAAAGTTAAAAAAAATATGCCTTTAGTAGGAGACTTTGGAAAGCTTTCTTGTTTTGAAGTCGGATTCTGATTCAACGCTATTTCTCTTTCTTTCTTTTTATTTGTTTCGATTTCAAATATTCATACTTCTTTGTTATTGTGGCTCAAGGGTAAAGACATATTTTATTTATTTTACTTTTTTCTCGCCATATTTTTGTAATTAATACAAAACACCTTCCACTCTCCCCATGCTGTACATACACTAATAATACAATAATTTTCTAAGTTATTCAAATGTAATGACTTTGCAAAAATAAATAAGGAAAGCATTTTGGAAATACCTGGCAATGACCAGGTTGGAATATTTATTTTATTTTTCTTTTTAGTCTTCGTCTTACACGAAGACCCTTCAGAACATTATCTATTAACCTTATAGCACTTCAATCTTAAATGTCACTGTATAAGTATTTCCAGAAAAAAGTGTCATAATGAAACAATTGGTTAAGGATGTGTTGAAGTTTCAGGATATCAGCAATATTTCTATTTTCACAAACGATGCTCAAAGTATAACGAAGCCTTGCCCTCTAAATAATTTGAATTAGTATATCCAGAACAATTTATAAGATTTTCTCTTTAAAGTAAATAAAACCTTGTTTTAATATTAACGTAGAAGACCACATCGGGCTCTATTTGGTGTCTGATATAAGTGACAAGGGCAAGAGTTGATAACATGCTAGAACATTTTTAAGATATGGCTGGAAGCACGAATAACAATGTTTGAGCATCTATAAAATATTATCTAGCAACGTTCTAATATAATATATGCTCTCATATTGGCACACTATTTTTATTGTACTCATTATGAAATTTCTGCATTATTTAACAGCATACGACCTTGCTTTCTTTTGTGCTGCTCAACTCCTAGAGAAACTCGGGCATCGATCCTTCAGCTGTTTCCCTCTTCGCTGACCCTGGTCTACATGCCACATGTAAATTGGCACTAAATGTATGTACCAACACATCTTGTGGATATCCCAGAGATCCCCTAGGCATTTACCCAGATTTTATTTTCTCATTTTTGGTCAAGTTGATAAGTTTGAGTATCCCAAGTTCCTTTTATACAAATACCAGAAGCCATACAAGTCTTCGACATTTATTCTGCGATCTTCGCCTCTTCTCATATGCCAACCGATCCCAAGCCAAGAAAACGTCTATCACACAATATTCGCATCGGCTTTAGCCTAGATTGTATATGGTTAATGAGAAATTGGTCTTCACTTAACAACCTACACTACGGAAAATGAGTAGTGATTCAGGTGGCGAAGAGCAAGAAAAAAATTATATTGCGGATGGGTGGGCATGTTTTCGAGCCAAAAGGAGTCTCTCAGTTAGCCCCAGAAAACACTGTTTTGATGGCACATACACCATTAGAGGCACTTGAAGATTAGTATCAAATATTATTCATTATCTGTGCCACATCATTTTGACATTTGATTGTTTTAAATTTTTTTAATAGACAGATCTCGCGTAACCTTTTATTCCCCAGCTTTTGATTCCTTTCTCTATCGAAAATGCTGGATCCGCCACAGCAACAACAACAACAATAAACAACAAGGTGAAGGCACCCGGTTGGGATATGATCGAAACGTTGTTTAATTATCTCGTGTCACAATTGAGGGACATATGCAAATATCTCTTTACGATGAACACTGATAAAATGTTGTTGAATGTTACCACTTGTTGTGCTTTACATAGTCCATATATTGACAATTGTGATACTATCACTGTCAATACTGACAATGAAACTGAGATTCGTGCGGTTTTGGAAGGCGATGAAAACGATAAGACAGATCTACCGGTAGAGCCATTCTCTAAAGACGACAGACACCAACAGAATCACAGCAAAATGAATTCCTTAACCAAATCTTGCCTCAATGCTAATTATAGATGACTTAAAGAGCAAGGCGTAATAAAATGAAATGGAGCGATGAACGGATTGTAAAGTTCGCACACCCTAAAGTACTATTTTGTCATATATTCATCTCTATACCATAACACGGTAAAAACAAATAAATACGGATTTGATTTTATTTCAAGCCTCACCCTTTTTATTGTTTTGGCTGTTGCTGCTTTGTACACTTCGTTTTGCAAGAATCGATAAAATTTCATTCATCGTCTTGTAATGCGAAAGAAGTGCGGCATCTTTTTTCTCTTTTCTTTCCCGTTCAAGAGCTCTGTCTTCGGCTTCTCTCTCCATCAACTCAACCCGCTTCTCTAAAGCCACAACTTTCCTCAGCTTCAACTCCATCTTTGCATCAACCCTCCTCTTCTTTTCTGCTTTTTCTTCGATGGTATCAAGGAATGCCTCGGCGAATTCACGTACAGAGACTCTCACTTCTTTTGTTACGGATGTACACACTGAAGCTATGAGGTCGAAAATTGGATCATTGTGATCAACATTGAGTGGCTGGATTTGATTACGTGACGTAGTGAGAGGGACACGGAAGGATGTCGAACCAGATCTTGTGGCAGAAGGTTCTTCAACCGCTGTTTGTACTGAATCACAATTCGAGAAAATTTGACACATTTCGTCAAACCAAGGTGGGCGGGAGCGAGTAATACCACGACTAGTATGGGCCAATACTTTATCTGTAGCTTTCTTATATGTTTTCTTCAACGACCTGAACTTGCTGTTACACTTGCTGCTGTCCACCACTCTCCTGAACGAACGAGGCAAGCTTTTGAATTCTGGTTCACTCTTGAACGTTACCAAAAAGTTGTCCCAGAGGTGGCCAATCTTCCTCTTGTGACCACCTGCAGATCTAGTTTTGATGTAGATATCTGTATCTAAGACAACTTTTAAAAATAGTTTTGTAGCATTTTTGCACCAGATACGATCGTTTGCTCTTTCAGAAGAGCTTTCTACGCCAGCGTTATTTTCGGGTTCTTCATCGTCTTCGAAATTTTCGACTTCTTGGACTTTGTCAGGTATAGGTACTTCATCGCAAGATATAACTGGGATTTCAATTGTCTCGACATTCTCATTAGCAATGGCTTGATGCAATTGTCGACCACGTGGTGCAGGTTGAGTAGGATCAACGGAAACAAACTTAAAGTTGTTGAATGTCATATTTAAAGATAATAATAATAGTAACAGTAATAGTAATAGTAATAGTAATAACAATAGTGTAAAATGAACAAGAGACTAAAAGAATGAGACAGGGCAATAAAATAAAATGTTTCTTACTAATGGTGTCGATAGTAAGCAAAGTCAAACACCATATTTGGGTATCCGATGTATATTGGTCCCTGCTGTCTTGCAGGGATTTGCTCTACGGACTTTCAAGTCCCTGTACTTTTTTGGACTTGTAAAACTTCTAAAAATGGAGACGTGTTTTGAAAAATTGATATCGCACTCCTTGAAGTACCTCAAATGCTGTTGTTTTTTTTTTTTTTTTTTTTTTACTTTTATCATATTTCATTAAAAGTATAATTAGTCATACACTCTATGAGAGCCTCTTTATCAATTCAGTTAAATTTTTCTCTTTAGCCCTAACTTTTATCGCATCAGCTAGTAAGATTGTTATCTTTCAGTCATTATGTAATCAAACTACTATGGGATTTGGGCTTTGGAACATGTCATGAGAGATGTATTAGAGTTTATATCGAGCATGTTTTACCTTTGGGATTTATTCTCCTACTGACTAAACCCACTATTCTATGCATGTTTTAGCAATACTTCTTGTACACACCCGAAATATTCTCTCCATCTTTCTTTTCTTTTCTTTTTACTGTATTTACAGGGCAATATAAAACACTTTAAGCCCCGAAAAACTTGCAAAAATCTCACCAAAATCGCTCTTTTGTTTTAGCATAGTGTATATTTAGAGGAATAGCTACCTAAATGCCTTAAATGAAAATATATTCTATGATGACCAACAGTAGAAGAGAGCTGTGGCTATTTCAGACAATAAATAAAGCTTGTCCTGTCAAGGAGCAGTACATTTGTATTAAGTATGTAGTGTTTTAATGACAACAGGCATTTTATTAAAAATTGAATTGAATTGAATTGAATTACATTTGTGGGTGACTTGACTGTGATTGAACGCCAAAAAAATATGTGTAAGAATAATGCAGTTTTTTTGTGAGTCACTTTTTTTATATCGTCTCAAGTAGCCTACAACCCTTTACATATTTTCTTGTTTTTTTTCAGGACAGAAGATAATAACTAACCAATTGATTTTGTTTTGGTCAGAATGATAGACAAAACACATGGCACAGGTAAAGTAATAATAATAAGTACTAATACAATGAGGCTAATAATCATTCCGGGAATCTCATTACTAGTTGTCCATGATCAAAAGTATGAGCAGTTCATTCAATGGCTCGATTCAAATGACTTTCCAAAAACAAAGCTAGAACTTGCTCATTTCCCAAGCAAGTCTTCCCGCTACTTGTTATTTTTATTTTCACGACTCACTAACACGTGTATTTGATTATCTATAATTATGCAGACACTGGTCGTGGTAAGTAATAAAAAAAAGGCTCCGAAAGTGATAAAGTTTTGGTAATAATATGCATATTCTCAAGGTATGATGGCCATGAGCCCTATTGAGGTAGAAAGAAAATATGATAGTTTATAAATCAACGCACATATTAAGTAAGGTACAGGCTGGAGAAGTCATTGTCTCGGTACCTAGGCGTTTCCTTATAACCAACAAGAGCCTCATGGCTATTTATGGCCCCCACCCTTTAAGCACTCATCAACTCCTGGCACTACATCTGGTTCTTTTGTGTCGTGATCGAGAGTCTTGGTGGGAACCATATACTAGTTTACTTCCATCCCATTTCAGCACCATGCCTGTAAAGTATCCCACAGAACTCCAAAATCACTTACCACATTCATTGACAGGTAACTACTATCTACAACTTAACAATAGTCTTATTTACCCGGTTTGGTTTAGAACAAGTAGCCCAACAGAAACACAAAATCGAAGAGGATTTTGTAGCAGCCGCAAAATTCTTTAATGTGAGTTGACCTAATATATATAGGTATGCTTTCTAGTATCTCTATTGGCTAAACAGATGAATGTTTCTTTTTTAAAAAAAAACGAAGAGTAAAAGAGACTCTCTTCAGTCCCAAGAGCCCATTCTTTATGAGGAATACGAGTGGGCTTGGTTGTGTGGTAATTATATTATTGATATATGTAGAATCATCGATTAATATTAAATTTATAGTAAACACTAGATGCATCCACCTAAAAACCGCAGATGCTACTGCAAAGGGAGGAAATATGGCACTTGCACCTATGCTTGATTTTCTCAACCATGCCTGGGATGCCAAAATTCAGAGCGATTTCAATATCAAAAACCAGTGTTTTGAGATCAAGACATTGGTGCCCTATGCCAAGGGCGAGCAAGTTTTTATCAGCTATGGGCCACATGATAATTTGGCCATATTGAAAGAATATGGATTTGTTGTGCCTGATAATGTATTCAATTATATACAATTGGATGATGAGGTGTGGTCTTTATTTGATGATATGGAAACACCCGAGGGCGCTATCATTAAAAAACAAATCTTGGAGGGAGCTGGGTAAGCATGTTTATTTCTTATTCTTACAGATCAATGAGACTAATATGAATTTGCACCATAGATACTCAGGGTAAGATTTGGGCTTTGTTTTACTACTGCTATACATGAAAAATTAAACCCGAATTATCAATATCCTTACTAATATATAATTGTAGTGACTATTCTATAAAAAAGGGCGATGTATCATTCAGATTGCTTTGTGCTTTGCGACTGTTGGCCTTGGAAGGCGCAGGTAGACCCGGATTTAATCGTCGGGTTATGCAGTGGAATGATGTTGTAATGGGCCAGACAGAGCGTATTAGTGCTGACAATGAGCGAAGAGTGATGATTATGCTACAGTCAATATGTGGACAAGTTCACGAAGAAGCTGCTAGAGAAGTAGAGGAGTTGGAAGTGAGTATTGATTATAGTTGGAGTTTGTTGGCCTTAATAGTATTTAATCCTGGCTTATATTCTTTAGGAAATCATGAACAACAACTCGCCAGGGATGCATCCATTTGCAGTACGTTTCTTGCACAGTACATGGAATGAGACAAAAGCTATTGCTAGTGAAATGTTGATAGAAATAGAAGAAAAGTTACCTCTTATTACATAAAAAGAATTTTGGAACAACTCTTTTTTTAAAAGAAAATTAAAATAAAATAAAGATCTTTTTTTATAATTTTTGAAACCTAGAAAACCTTGTATCCAAAGGCATTTTTCTAAGGAATTGAATTTTAACTACAAAACACATAAAGGTATATTGAAATCACATGTATGTACAGATAATACTGTGCAAGATGCAGACCTTTGAGTTCATCAGTTTGATTATGGTATAGTATAAAGCATCTGTCCCACTTTGGCCGAAAGAACCAATTACAGTACAGAGCCAAATGTGGAAGAGTTTCATTGATTGCAGATACACTTTAGTCCTGCCATTTGAGATGACATATCCATATTTTTCCTTTATCTCTCCTAATCTAGTATTTTGTACGCTTCCCCGCATCAAGACAATCCAGTCCTAACATATACTATGTATTTATTTATCTTGTTACCATTTGGTTCCAATGATCTATAAGTTTGCACCAAATTAGAATGATAATCTACCCCTTTATTAGAATCCTTTATGACCACCCATCAAAGCCACATCTGTTCCCGTATCTTCACATGAATGAGCATGGTTCCAATTCAGACCTTGTTCTGGTCATCTATTGGGCCTATCATTCTCGTATTCTATCTTTATGGCCAACTTGGTCTTTTCTTATGAAACCCACGAGGTGAATAGCTCTTTGAAACAAGCTTTGTCATTAGTTATTTTATTTTAATTTTATTTCTTTAATCTATATATATATACTATATAAACCCTCTTACTACCTTTTTGACTCTTACCAATTTTACAAGGATCTCTCTCTCTTTTTTTTTAGCAAACATGCTCCTTACATTAACAAGAAGATCAGGTAACTTATAGCTTAACCTATAACCCAACCACCTATTTACTTTATTTTAATCTCTATCTCACCTTTAGATGTCGTTGCTTTGACGTCCTATCAAACGATTCCGCTAGGTACCCGTTGGGCTCAAAAGAGTCACCCAGGGTCAGCTCTTGTTCCTCATGGAATTCGACCAAATCAGTATAGAGTAGCCTCACTCCACATATCAGCAAAACAACATGGCAAGTTTTACAATCAATATACTACTTTTATAAATATTCTAATCAAATTGTACAGGTAAACAATTTATACGAAACAAAACCAGGACCATTGCAAGATCCCAAGGTAATGTCCAATAAAACATTGATCCGTTTAGCAATATGTCATAACAAATACATCTTGATCCTCTTTCTTTCTTTTTGTGAAACATTGACCACATCAGGAAGGATTGTCATTCTTGGTAAGAGCAATCCACTGTGTGACATGTGAAAGCATCCTTGACTGACATTTTTCTTAAAAATCAAATTTAAAATAATGTCATATTACTAGGTTCCGGTTGGGCTGGTAACAACTTGAGAAACATTTAAACTTTTTCTCTCTTTCTTTAAAAATCTAAATATATATTTGACATACAGGATTCAAGCTAATGAGAGAGCTTAATAAAGAAGATTACAATGTTTCCGTAGTCTCTCCAAGGTGAGGAGCCTTTAAGAACATAATGAGCCATATATCATCTAATAATCTTCTTTTGCTTAACATAAAAAGAAATTATTTTGTATTTACACCCCTTCTTGCAAGGCAAGTATTTTTACTTTTTGTTTGAAGCAAAACCAAAAACCCCATTTTTTTTTAATTGTATACTAATACTTTTAGAAATAATGCGAATAATTATATTCTATATAGCACATCTGTTGGGACTCTCGAATTTAGATGCATAACAGAGCCCGTGCGTGGGTATTCAAAAGATATTGACTTTATGCAAGCTCGATGTGACAGAATTGGTGTGTATTCCTTTATATATATATATATTAAAAGGCAACGCAGCTAATAGTACTTTTTAATAGACTTGGTTAATCAGGTTATTCACTGTACCTCACATCATGAAGGAGGTAGCTTGATATTCTCCGTATACAATCTTTTCCTACGTACTTACAGCGTATAATTTTTAAAGATATCGGCACCAAATTTACGTTGGATTATGATAAGCTTGTTATCGGCGTTGGCTCCTACTCAAACACTTTTGGAATCCCAGGCGTCAAAGAATATGGACACTTTTTAAAGGATGTTAATGACGCTAGAAGAATCAGAAAGCGTGTCATAGAATGTATGTTACTGCATCTACAAATGCCTCAATTCCATCTTATTTTTCTATACAGGTTTTGAATATGCATCTCAGTCTGGTCTAACAAGCAAGCAAAAGGAAGACAGGCTTCATTTTGTGGTTGTAGGAGGAGGCCCAACTGTAAGAATAATAGTAGTATTATAATTCTACCTTACATTACTACTACTAACTGCTCAATTTTGTGTGAAGGGTATCGAGTTTTCTGCCGAGCTATATGATTTCATTGCATCTGATATGTCCAGACTCTATCCAGACTTGATGTCAAAGACACGAATGACTCTTTATGATGTTGCACCACACATCCTTGGGTCTTTTGATACAAATCTCTCTGATTATGCACACAAGAAGTTCAACAGAAAAGGCATTCAGATAAAAACACGTAATTTTGAATAATTTGTTCCGGAATTAGTCTTGACCTAACTTTATTAACTTTAGAGAGACATGTTGAGAAAGTCGAATCTGACCATTTGGTTATTCGTGATGAAGGCAACGGTGTGTACTTTTAAGTGATAAAGAAAAGTTAATATTTTTATATACTGACAGTGAAAGAAATAAAAAAAATAGTTCCGTATGGTCTCCTAGTCTGGTCTACTGGGTTAATGCAGAACCCACTTGTTAAATCACTCGAGAATGTAGTAATGGATACAAAAAAACAAAGGTTTGAGCTTGACTTAATATCTACTGGCTTATTAATTATCTTGTTTAGAATCCTCACGGACTCGAAACTACGGGTGATTGATGAAACCACTCAGCAGCCATATCCAAATGTGTAAGACTAATACCCAAACAAGAAATTAAGCTCTTGTTTTGTTGATGTTTGATTTTATCTTAGTTATGCTTTGGGAGACTGCGCGACTATAAAAGACAACGATCTTCCAGCTACAGCCCAAGGTATTATAAATTATGTTTTCAATTATACTCTTTAACCTTCTATAAATATATGCGTCTTTTAGTTGCTACCCAAAAGGCTATTTATCTCAGTAAAGGTATCCTTCTTTTTCTTAAAGCTCTCTCTTATAAAAGCAAAGACAGAATGACCCACTCGAATCTATAGTCTTTAATAAGATGGTGGTCCATGGATCTGATATGGAAGCGAATTGCTTTGAATTCAAGAATCGAGGCATGATGGCATACATTGGATCTTCAGAGGCACTTGTTGACATGTCGTCTGTCCATCAGCTAGCCAAAAAATCTGGGCACCTTCCTTGGTTGTTATGGAGATCTGCTTATTTCAGCATGAGTATGAGTCTCCGTAATCGAATGCTCATCCCATACCACTGGTAAATCTATCTTTCCTTCCTTTTGCTTTTTTTTTCTGCTAGATCTATGAAGTCTCACTATCTTTTTTTTAAATATATATATAGGTTTCTCACATGGTGTTTTGGTCGGGACATCAGTCGATTTTAAGGATTCTTTTTGAATTTATATATTTATATATATATATATATATATACATTCTATGCAATGATTATAAATAAACTCTATAAGAAAACAGGCTTCTTCTTTCCATCTATTGTTTCGGTCGATTCAACCCATCTTGTGCTTCTCTTTTCTTCAACTGGCCCATTAAACTCTGCTCCGTCTTCTGCCACTGATTGTTTCTCAGAAGATGCAATTACTTTAAGAATAAAATATGTGAGAAGAGATGAGAATAAATAAGTAAAATAAATTAAAAGTAAATAAGAAATTGGACATACGTTTCTCCAAATAGGCATCATCAATATCTACATCGTTGGTTGCTGAAGCCTGCTTATTATTCAACAAGACCATCTTAATCTCTTCTCTGAGACTATCGGTGAACTCTTGGCCCTGCTCAATACGAGTAACGATTTCTTGAAGCAACTGGATCTTGTGTTCAACCTTTTCCTTGTACTCTTTGTATTCCATCTTTAACCATATCAAATGTAGTGCCTCTGAGCCAAATACGACCCACATGAGATATTCCAAGAAGTAAGGAAGATGTCGTTGACGCTTAAAATGTGATGCTGCCACACGTAGATTATTCTGCTGATCTCGGCTGGCCGAGGCAGCCGTTGGAGTAGACATTGTCCGTACTGGAGTCAGAAAGGCTCGTCTGATCAATGGTCTGGCTAATGGTCCGGGGTTTAGGCATGCCTTGGTTGCAATGGAGATACCGACCCGAGGAATGAAAGACATGGTTAGAGAGGCATTGATTCCTTTTATTTTTTTGCCTTTGAAAGGATGTTAGGTTTGATTAACGGTCACGTGCTGTAGAAGAAGTCAAGAACTTGATGAAAGCTCCAAGGTATTGAGAGGCTATCCTCTTTTAGTATTTCGACGATATAAGTCAGCTAATGAATAGAATAAGAGTATCTTTGGGACAGAGCGGCTTTTATAGTATCGAATTGGTATAAAACCAGCATACATCTGGGGTCTTTTTTGTTTCATAGTATATTTAGATAAAAAAAAAACGAAAAAGAGATATATTGTGTGCTAATCTGCAGATATAACAGTCGAAGAGCCGCGCCACATGTACAATGTTGCTACAGTTCTATAAGGCTGCAGAAAATTGCGTATTAAGCTTTAATATTTAATTGATTGATCACAGAACTCAAATGGAATGTACAAACCTCCCATATCTTGGTTACTCTGCACATTTCATCTGCAGTAGGAAACTTTTTGGGACCAATTGGAAGTCCAAAATGACGGGCAACTGCCTTTTTCACGGCTATGAACAAGTGTTTTTATTATTATTATTATTTATTTACTTGTTTTAGTACAGGGTTATTATATATATATATTTTAAATTACCAAGATCAGTCAATGGTAAGACATTCGGTCGTCCAAGGTTGAATATCTATTGTGTGTGGGTGTGTGGTTTGTTATATCTTGTGCGTTATAACCAAAAAATGAGAAGAATATACCATAAACATATCTACTGTCCACTAGGAAGATAAGCATAATTAAGTGACTTGAATTTCATATATATGCAAATATCTATATGTGTGTGTGCATTTACCTGACCGATACCCTTGACAGAGCACAGGAATTGGGACAACTCATCGTCCGACATGCTTTGAAGACGGTCTATATCTACAGAACAATCTCTGAACTTTTCTGCTAAAGATTGAATATACTCTGCCTTTGCACAAATATTTTATTAATAAAGAAAATGATTTCGACACCTTCAAGTAGCCCGAAATATGGTTAATTCTCTCTCCTTCTTTCTCTTATACCTTTCTTGTTGATAGGCCAGCAGCCTTTAATTCTTCTAGAGTCTTGTCAAGTACAATTTTAGGTGTGGGAAACCAATCAAAATCAGAGTTTACAATATCCGGAACAGGGACAGGTGGATCAAACAGTTTTATGAACCTGGTGCAGATTGCAGCCGCGGCCTTTCCATGAATTTGCTGATAAATTATTGAAGTTGCTAAGGCGCTAAAGACAACATATCTTTAGAGTACATTTAAGGTATGCGTATAAAGTATTTGAGTTATTACCGAAATGGATTCTTTGTATTTGCATTTCCTAGTCTTTTCCGAAGATACTCAAAGGATTCTTCAGTCATATAGGGTGCTAATTTAGGATCAGATACTTTGAGATGATCAATGGCATCCTGGATATCAAAGGTGCGCAACTCGGCACTCTTTTCATCACTTATGGTGGTTGCAGAAGCAGCGGAAATAACATTAGACGAGCTAGGATCACTTGAAGCTTTTAGCTTTACAGTAAAGTGTGTGAGTGTTAAATGTTTAGTTTTCTTTTTTGTCTATATATATAGCTGAAAGGTAAAGTCTAATGGTCATGTACCTTTTTTGTGGTCCTTGTCACTGCAGCTGTCTTGTTCTTCTAAGAGTCAAATAGTTGGTCGAGAATACTGTTTTTATTGATACAAGATAGTCTCACCTTCTTCATTGATGATTTGCTAATCATTCTAATCAGTTAGTCATTTAAACTATAAAATGACCGTAGTACCTTTTTGTGGCCAGCTTTGGAATGGGCTTTTCTCCATAAAATAGTGTACTTGTTCTGACAATAGTTCTTGTACTTTTTCGAAGACTCATGGTGACAAATATATCTATATATATATATCTATATTACTCTTATTATAGTTATTACTACGGAGAAATGATTGTTAATCACCAACTTTTCTTAATCAAACGAATCGCATGCCCATTTTTTTTTGCCTCTGACAAGCTTGTGTTCCATGTGACTTTTGTTCGGTATGCTCAATTCAGTTACAATTAGGAATTACGTTTATCGAGTGCTAGATAAAAGTCTGTAAATGTTCAGCAGAAACATCCTCACTGTCTTCAATTATTCTCGAAGAAAGTGTTTCTGCATCCGTCAAATTCCCTCTTTTGACTCGATCCTTAAATACTTCCAAGGTATCTCAATAGGGTTGAGCTCAGGTGAATATGGAGGAAGGTATACTGGCATGTATATTCTCTTTGTGAAACAATAGGATCAACGACATCGCGAGGGTGAATTGGAGCCTTATCCATTACAATATGAAATCCTTTCATGTTTGGGAAGCATCTATATCCAAGTATTCGCATATAATATATAATAATTCTAAAGGCAGTTTCGATAATTTAAACGTCATTAAAGAGATAGAAAAAAAGTTTTTTTTTGCTGACTCCAGCTGATATTTTTATTATTAGAGACATTCTACACGATAAGTTAGCTTCCTTTGAATCATCCATGACAATCCAACACATCTAAGGTAACAGCAGTGGAATGAAAGTAATGACCAAAATCATTTCGTATTTTATTTTCTAGTTTAATACAAGCATTATTTCGTGTAAAGGTGTGTCTCTCGCAACACTATTTGTGAAAAGAACACATTGTCTCATACAAAAAAAGAAAAAAAAAGAAAATGTCGTCCCCGTAAGATTGCTGATACCTGAATTGACAAAGTTTTATTATTAAATTGCCCAAAAACAGGTCGTACTTCCTAAAGAAGGAGAGGTAGATGCCTGGGGAGAGATTGATGAACACACAAAGTGTGGGGACTATGTAGTAGGAAACGATAAAATTACAGAGAAGAGGGAGGGGATGACATTTTCAGAATGGGGCACTACTTTTTTTTGCCGGACTAATTTATTGTGACTACTTGTCCGAGGTCCGATGTCTTTTCTCTAATCCTTTGAAGTAAAACGACGTGTCCTGAAATTCTTAATTCAATATTTAAATATAAACCCTTTTCTATTGTATAGTCATCTCATAAGAACTATTAATCAATTGTATAAAAAAAAAAATTTCGTAGATAAAAAATAGACGTCTTTGCTTATTGCAGATTAGCAATTTAAAAATCATGGTGTTAATAAGTACTTTCTAGAAATCACTTCAATACGAATCCTATCAATAAAAATATCCGTTTTTTTTTCAATTGAAAGGAGTATTTTTTTTACCCAAAAACCTCTTCCTGTGTCACCAGTTAAAGGTTATAGTGCCATTACAATAGTGATTGCAAAGATTCAGGAGTTTGTACTTGTAACTAGAGAGAGTAAACCAACTCGAATGTACTTGAAAGGTGCCATAAGGGAAGGGCACGACGTTTCCAGGGTGGGGTACGGCATTTCCTATTAGAATATGATGACTTGAATTAAGATGTTAGGTAACTATTTTATTATTCTCTATATATCAGTTAATTCATTGCAGGTAATATAAAGCTTTAAATATAGCATTACATATTTAAGAGGATGCTTTTACACTTGGCCAAAACTAGTATCCTGCCTTATATTAAAGTATTTTTTATTATTATAAGTATGGATCCTTAAGGACCAGATATAAGTATTCGCTACCGAACAGCAAGTCGCAATTTGTGGTCCAATAAAATCAAAACATTGTTTCCCATCAGAAAATGTCGTCCCCCTAATATTAGCGTTTTCTTATATGTATATATATTTTATGAATTAGAAGACGAAGAAAGTAATATATTATGTGGCCACTACGAAATTTGATTGTCGCTTGGACGCAACTCTATTATGAGTACCTGCTACAATATTGTAAAGACCCTTTGAGTTAAGCTAACCCCCTTCCTGGAGCATACAATCCTTCAAATCCTTAGATGGTACTTATAGAACCCTTTCTCTCTTGAACATTGGCTTTTAGAGCATGTCAAACATGTTCGATTGGGTCCAAATCCGGCTCTTAAGATGGTGTGTACATATGCTCACAGGAACCTTAGTTCCCATTCTGTGGACCTACTTGATAAATTTCTGCAAATGAAATCTCTCTTAGACCATATATTCATCGTTTTGAACTTTGATGATTATTGATATGTAACTTGAGATTTCCAAAAGCGCAATTTGGGCTAGTCAAATGTGGGCTAGACAAAAGCACCAATTGAGAAGTTAAAAAACGCAAGGCTTATTAAAAAAGCGCCATTTGACACTGGAGGTACTGTATTTATTAAAGAGCAAGGTAAAATAAGAACAGTATCATATAATTCATGTATAAATAAATAGCTGGAAACCTTCACTTTAACCAATCATTGGTAAGTATTTTTAAATCATTAGGCGAAAGATAAAATTTTAAGGAAGAAATATGGAAATAAGATATAAGTTTTGACCATATTTTTTAAAGATCAAAGCACCATGTTACTATCAAGAACTTTAAAGCTATTGTCAGTATATCCTCAATTTATATGTCTTTCCTAAAAAGCACTCTAATGAAAAGGCAGAATAGTGTATTATTCAAGTAGCGACATTATGATTTGAAAATGGTTCCATCAATTCCGAGACGGTGGAAACTATTCCTATTTTACAGTATTTTTTTGTTATTCAGCTCTTTCTTAGAATCACCTGCATTACGTACTGTATTCACAAATCTAAATCTACTAATGAGCGTCTCTGCATCCCCACCCTACAACAACTCCTTCCCGAATTCTCCTATCCAACCACCCGCAAATTCCATTGAAGAACTAAAAAAGAAAGCAGAAGTGAACAAAGCAGATATTAAAACATACAGTATTAAAGCTTGGTTACATTCTGCAAACACCACATTTGACCAGGTACAAATACTCATTACTATTAAAAGCTTCCACTCATAACTTATTTAAATTTATAGGGAGAAAGAGCATTAGCAAATGGATCTCTCGATGCTGCATATGTGTACTTTCTACGAGGTTGCAAGTAAATATATAAATATATAAATATAGTTTTTCTTTTCTTCCTACAAGGTACGCTTTGATGCTCATTGTAATCATGTAGCATTGCAATTGAGGTTCTTCCCAAAAAACCCGGATACAATACTGGCAATAATAGGGATGATTACCAGAAACTGGAGACGGTACGAATCCTTTTGTCTGCTTTGTGACATGATATTAACTTGGCAATGCTTGGCACTAGCGCGCTTCGAACATTCTTATAGTGAAGCTCGAGGGCATTAAAAAAAAATTAAACATTCATTTTGAAGGTCTTGCACCCGTAGCCGATGAAGAAGACCTCGAAAGTGTGCTAAAAAGGTATCCTGATATTCCATCTCTCGCCGATGATCTCGACAATACAATCGGGAAACATAACAGCAGTGGGTCATCCCACACCAGTTCACCTCTATCCATGCTTGACAGTCTTCCGCCTGTCCCAACTCACAAACCCAGCTCCACTGTCCCTCCGAAGTTACCAGTAGATAACCCCCTTCCTATATCCATGCCAATACCAGAGCCTTACAGACCACTTCCTACACGTCAAATACCAACTCCTCCCTTAGATCAACCTATTCAGATTTCTGGTGGTTCGGATTCTTATTCTGGCGAAGAGTATTCCGAGTTTACCCTACAACTCCCTCCACGTACAAACTATGCATTTTCGTTTTCATTGGTGGTTGAACCCAGAGAACTAGCTCACTGGATTACCAAGAGAGACAACCCGCCAAGTGTCTTGGTGCTGGATGTTCGGCCACGCAATGTATTCCGTAGAGCATGCATAAAACACAAGTGGGTTGTCCAACTTGAGCCCTTGGTCATGCAGAAAAAGTAAGTCTTTCTTGGTGTATAAAGTTGGGTTTACTTATCGTACCAATCGGTTTCTAGCGTGTCATCCATGAAAATTGAAGAATCTCTTATTCTCAATTCAGAGTCAGACCAGTATGTCTTTAGTCATCGCAACAAATTTGATGTAGTTGTGTATTATGACCAAAGTTCCCAAGGAATACATGATGAAAGTGAAACACTACGAAATTTGAAATTGGCTATCTATCAACTCGAATTCACAAAAAAGCTCGGAAGAGTACCTATGCTTCTAGCTGGTGGGTTTGATGCCTGGCAAGAAAAAATAGGAGAAAAGGGGATTTATAGCTTTAATCCAGAAGCTTCGGTGGAAGAAGAACCTTCTTCAGCAAGATCAGAAAGATCAAATAGTAAACCTAAAGAGCATTGGCTTTACAGTGTGGTTGGAAAAGGCTCGGATTATAATGACAGAAGATCACCCCAAGTGCGCCAAACAGCCTACGAATATGTAATTATTTTCTTATTTAACAACTGATTCTCTTCTTTCTCAAATTTATATTGACTATATAAAAATATGGATTTTTTTTTCTAGTTCCCCGACTATGCAAATAGTACTACCACTTCTCCTAGTCGTCCGGTCGATGGTGCACGCCCAGCATTGCAAGGAATATTTAGCCAAAATGGCTCTTCCTCTTCTTTGAGCTACTCGGCACCTATGGGTATGCCTCAGCCAGAGCGCTATGGAGGAAATTCGTCCCCGAGTACTCCAAAACAAGAATCGGTTGAAACCAGATATCCAAAAATTCATCCCAATAGTTCGATCAATGAACGAGTCACATCCTCCACTCAACCAACAACTGGTCTCCGAAGACAGAACACCTTTATTGATAATCCATTTCATGGATTTACTGACACTACAACTACACATTATGGTGCCGCGCCAGAAACCAACAGGCCCTCACACCCTTTGCCTCCACCTCCATCGCGCATCCAACCACCTTACCCAACTGCGCCACCAGCTCCACCACCGCACCTTGTTAGCACACTCCCAAACAATGTTCCTTCTACTGGTCCACCAAAATCTACTGAAATGCCTCCTGTTTTGCCAGTAAAACCTGCTGGTCTCACTAGGCCTCATCCTTCTGTGATTACTACCCACTCTCAAGCGCCAGTATCCAATAGCTCATTTTCTCAGCTGGGCGTTGTGGTTGGAACAACCGGTCTAAAGAACTTGGGAAACACTTGTTTTATGAACTCTATTATCCAGTGCCTGAGTGGAACAATTCCACTAGCGCGATATTTTATTTGTGAGTTTATAAACACGTATATATGTTAAGTTAAACAATAACTGACAGAATTGTATCTTAGCTGGAACTTATAAAAATCACATCAATGGCAAAAACCCACTGGGCACAGGAGGTGTATTAGCAAAAAGCTTTGCTGAACTTTTGAGTGTGATGTGGAATGACAACTACAACTTTATATCTCCTGTAACATTCCGAGTAAGTCTTTTATTTCTTTATTTCCTCAGTTCACGCAAGGTTTTAATAAGAAAAGGAAATTTAATATAAGCTAACTTTTCGTTTCCTATTTTCTATCAGAAATCCCTTATTAAATTTGCACCCCAGTTTTCTGGTACTGAGCAACAAGATTCCCAAGAGTTTTTAAACTTCTTGCTCGATGGTCTTCATGAAGATGTTAATACTGTCATAAGGCGCCCATCACCGACTTTGGAAAGCCCAGAGGAAGAGGCCGCCTTTGAAAAGTTACCCGATTGGAAGGCCAGTGGAATAGCATGGGAAAAATACTTGGCTCGCAATGCTAGTTTGATTGTTACTCTTTTCCAAGGACAATACCGAAGTCGATTAAGATGTTTGTCATGCAATACTGTAAGTAGTATATATGTATTTCTGAGTATTATGGATGTATTGGCTTATTTTAAAATCGTTTATGTAGACATCTACAACCTATAACACCTTCATGTCACTTTCATTACCAATACCAGCTAAACGTAGTGGCCCTCCAAGTGTATCTCTTTTCCAATGCCTGGATTATTTTGTCAAAGAAGAAGTTTTAGAAAAAGACAATGCATGGTAAATACATATGCACATGTGTGTCTAGACAAAAAGAAGAAGAAAAGGAAAAACTAATAGATAATATGTTTTAGGAACTGCCCAACTTGTAAAAAACGTCGTCGTGCCACAAAAAGCCTAACTTTATCCCGTCTTCCTGATGTCCTTCTCATACATTTGAAACGTTTCTCATTCGATGGACCCTTTAGAGATAAATTAGAGACCATGATTACATATCCACTAAAGTAAGTTAATCGTGTATAGTTTAATATAATGCGTACAAACTCATTAAACATGCTTCTAGAGGACTTGATCTTTCTGGATATGTGCCTAGTACAATGACAGATCCATCGCAGGAGAGACCATCATTCAATTATGACTTGTATGCTGTATCTGTAAGTAATGCTTTTTTTTATATCACATGATTACTAAATGCATTTATGTACATATGTATGTAGAATCACTATGGCTCACTTACTGGCGGACATTGTAAGTAATACTATTACTTGTGAATGAGATGATCTAATTAACTATTGTATGTATTTTTGGTTTATTCCTTCAGATACTGCGTGTGTACGTAACAAGTACAGAGACCAATGGCATAATTTTGATGATACTCGATTTTCTGTCTGTGATGAAGACAAGGTTATGGTATGTTTATCCAATATATATATATATAGCTATACAGAACAAACAAGTGTTTAAACCAAATTAATTTATCTTTTTATAATTATTATTATTAAAAACAACAGAGTCGAGCAGCTTACAACCTATTCTACGTGCGATCAACAGTACGATAAAGAGCCAATATCCATATACATCTTTCTGTATTATTTTTTTCTGATATACACTATAACTAATGTTTCACACATGAAAATAAAAATAAAAATACACCCCTTCAAATCTGAACAGAAAATAGCCACAAGAATTCATTATTTATGTGCAAAGCATTAATAAAAATAGTGGGATTATTTTATTTTATTTTCAATAATTAATAATGTTTTTTGCTGAAAAATGCCAATAAATGCTGAGCCTTGCAACAAGAATCTTTGAATGAAAATCTGACACGTATTTCACTACAATATATATATGGTAGAATTATTAAATATTCTGCTGTTATATAAACTGAGTGAACTATACTTTCTTTGACTTAATCTTAAGTAGATATCTTAAATAGCTTTATACTAGAATAGCTGCCGCAGTATGTAGTAGATAATTATAGCACTGTTTTTTTATATAATATTCTCCATACTTACGCCTTCTAAATCTTCAGATCTTGCAACCTGGATTTGAATCTTTCTGTTCGTGGTCTACATCCCTTATAAGGAAGGTATAATCACTCAGAGCCTTAAGCAATTTTTGAAGCTTAATTTGTAGAAATCTTAGTGGGTGCATAGATTTTTTGAATTGTGCACAAGCAAACATTGTGTAATGTTTTGTACATTTTTTTTCTAAAGTGTACAATCATAAAATGCAGTACTATTTTTCTATGGTTTTCAAAGCTGCGCCTTCTCTATTTATTTATTTTTCAGTTAAAAAGCTGGGTCCAGATCACGACAGAGAATCTTTACTTTGCCTGTAATTATGCCCGAATTACCTTTTGAAGTCCTCAGTGTCATCTCAAAGCACATCAGTAAACAATGCGCAAGCAAATGTTCTGTAGTGTGTAAATCTTGGAGAGCTCCCTTCCAGGAGAGATTGTGGGATAATATTTATCTCACCAACAGTGAAGATTTCGACAAATTTTATTACCATTCGGCTGGTCCTCACAGCCTTTGCTTCTATGTACACGAAATTTACCTTGCTGACAGTTTCTGTATTACTGATATTCAACTTCTTGCTCTGCAAGACCGTTTTCGAAACTTGAGGCGCCTCCATATTCGCTCGTATCAGCTAAGCACCAACATATTCAGTGAAGATACCGATTGGACCCTTTGGAATGTTCTTGAGGATATCGATGTCGTCATTCCGAAGGTGGATTCAGACAAAGAGCTATTTAGTATCCTCCAGGTTCTGTCTCTCTTGCCTAATCTTAAAACTTTGGCGCTTAGAGGTCCCATTAGTACAAAATCAACGTACACATGGGAAGACCTTGATAAAATTCATAGTTTTTTTCCCGAACTGGAAAGTCTAAAAATGGATATTCTGTTTTCTGTGATCCATGTACGAGATCTGGAGGATATCAAGACAACGATGCCTGCAAAAAAAATTAAACGGATGAATATTAACATCCTATACACCAAACCATACTGGCTGTTCTACTTTGCGTGTAAATATCCATCCCTGCAATACATCGAGTGGGTTGAGAACAAGGAGAACTCTTCTGAAGAGAGCTGGAAAAATGCACTTGTCGTGTTTTCCACCCTTTCTACAGCTTTTACACATCTCAAAAAAGTTGTGCTAAATGGTACAGGAATAAGAGGAGTTCCAGCCGACACCAAATTCTGGAAAGTAATGCACATCCTCAAAGTGCCTATCAAATCTCTGTGGAATGAAGTACATTTGAACTACTATCGTTGGCCGAAACCAGAAAATTCCCTTGAAGAGAGTATGAGCGTTTGTTCAAAGACCATCGAAAGCTTTTCGTGTAAAGTCTTTGAAGAACATCCAAGTATTGATGGTATATCTGTGACATTTGACTTTTGCCCTCGACTTGTTTCATTAAACCTTGTAATGGAACCGAAACACATTTCTCTTGACACGCTTTTAAATCAATGTCCAGTATTGAAGACACTTACGCTTAAATGCAAATACCTCTATCGATTGAATAATACAGAAGTTTATGAATCAATTCTAGAAAATGCTCATGGGCTACAAGCAATCACACTTTTGAATACCAGAACAAATCCATCTCTGTACAAATATCTTTCATACCGGTGTAGGAATTTGAAGAAAATGCGATTAGATTGCTCTAGTATCAGTGGACCCCTTTACCCTTCATCAAACAATATTCGTATCGACATGCCCTACACTGATTTCCGAGTATTACAATTTATTAACGTGAGCTTCTTGGCATCAGAACCTAAATACGAAAAGTCCGTCACCAAAGGTCCCAGAGCTCGTTTGCTGGACTATCTTATCCTTGACCAAGAGAGTGAAGAAATAGATAGAACACCTGAAAATCTACCTGGTCAACCGCTTGGTCTCACGAGAGGAAATCAAAGGGCTTCAAGATCACAGATTAATTTCTACTTGGGTCGTAAATACACAGAGCCTAACAGTATTCTTAAATGGTTAAATATACACGATACAAAACATGCCTTAAAAAATATAAACCCTCTACGGCCTATTAGTAGGGTTTATAATTTAAGCGCGGCATCGAAACGAACGCAAGAAGACGACATGTCAGACGAATTTTGGAAAAGTAAATTTACTGAAGAACATGTTCTTTTACGCTGTAAAGGTTTCCAAAGCTATAATGTCAAGGGACTTCAAGGGAGTGAGTGGTATTGATGCGTTGATAGCTATTGGTTTCCGTTTCGACCTTAGAGATACGTAAAATAAGTAAGTGACAGTGTAACACAAGGTGGCTCGAGTATATACACGATTGGAAGAGAGCAACCGAAAAGAAGTATGGCTCCATAGTCGGGACGTATAAAGACTCCACCATTAATCTCATCTCCATTTTACCTTCTCCCCCTCTGTTATAAGTTGTAAAAACCCCTATTTCAGTCTTTATTTATCTATCCTATTATTACTTATTCCATCAATTACTATGGCAACATCATGCACTTTGTCAAATCATTACTACTCGTATTCTAATACACTTACACCATACATACTATATATACTCAATACTACAAGCTATGCTGATACTTTACTATATCATTATAATGTCTTATTATTTTTCTTTCTTGTATATTAAAAGCAATAAACCTCTATCAATAAACAATGTTCGATGTCGCTTTTACTTTTTTGTCCTAATACCAGTACTATGAATCATATATATTATTAGAAAGAAAGGGAAATTCTCTGCATATGACTTATATTTGGTGTCTATATTTTTAAAACAAGTTAATGAATTACTCTTGTACAGGTAACTTACGTTGTAATTCTGTTTCTAATTGAGATGAGCAATAGGGACAAGCAAAGTAGCAAGAACCTTCCTTAAATTGGCTGGATATTTAAAAGAGAGGTCTTAATGTCTTTTTGAAAGGCATTAATGAAGTAGTTTACTGACTAGAATATGTTTTCCTTTGAAAAGAATCTAATGTCATTCTCTAACATAGCAATTGAACTATTTTCTAATTTTTTCACTTTATTTCTTAAATCACAGCAACCAAGAAAAATGTATAATAATCATTGAAAATTAAATTGCTATTTAAATAAAAAAAAAAGGATAAAAAATTTATTTTTCTTCTAAATAAAGCGTTAACTGTATCAAAAACATCAGATAATTCAAAGAATTTAGCAGCTTTGAAAATCTTGGAAACTTTAGATTATAAGGGCTCTAAGGGCAATAGTATGCCCAATTGAAATAAACAGTGGAGAAGTAGCTAAGGTTAGGGATCGAATGTCACACAATATAGCAATTGAATTCACACAAGATAACTTTTAACTATCAAGACAGTTATAGAAATTTGAAAGGCTTTCATAAATTTAGACAAATTGATAGTACAAATGGGTAGTGAATAATTAAATTGATAACAGTATAAAAAACATATAAGAAACTTTAGAAAGAAGTATTATCATAAATGTTAGAAGATGAGTATACAGTATATGAAGTAAAGAAAAAAGATACTAAACAACTAGTGCAATTATTGCTATTTTATTTGAACCAAAGTTTTCAATTTTTGTATGGGTTATGTTTGTTTTTGTTTTAGTATCAAATATTTAAATAAATTGTGACAAATAGTTTTTTTTTTTCTTTCTTAGAATAGTATGGTTATCTTTTCTTAACCTGTCTCATTGGGGACAACCGGTCTACCTCGTTTTAGATAAAAAGACACCAGTTTTGGATAATTGGATTAAAGTTGTCAAGAATTTAAAGTTGATTGATAAAGACGCTCTCAAAATTTATTTAAAGAAAAAGATAAATTGAGCTGTTGGGAAAAGTTGGCTTTTCTTTAACTAAAGTGGTGGTGTTTGGCTTTAGATAAATTAAAAGTTTAATCACTGTTGAAGATGCTTTGATATTCTTCTCCTTTTTTCAACCTTTTGTTCCTCAAACTGCACAATATTTAAACAAAAAATTAATGATATTCTTGAGAGTTTGAAATAGATAAAAAAAAGGCACGAAGAACAAAGTAAGATACAAATTTATTAGAGTTGGACAGCAGAATATTAACCTATACTAGCTAAAGTCAAAGGCAAAGATTGTGGTAAACTTGACCATCACACAAAGAGAGGTCGTATATGTAAGAAGTATCAAAATAATTCAATACAAGGTATCGTTTATGGAATTGTTTAAATTGAGAATGCTAACAGAGAATTATTTGGTTAGTTAGTACAAGTACAAAGCGCAGTCGCAAACAAGATAATAGAACAAAGCTTGCGAAGTGAGCAAAGTATAAGTAAGCCGACGAATACCAAGATGCTAACAGAATTGTCTGTTTAAGCTGCAAGCAGCCTGACAATAACAATTCAATGTCAAAAAGCTGTCCAAACCATAAATTGACAAAAGCTAAAGAAATGAAAGGTTTGCTGGGAAACACTACTACAATGACTAGAAAAATAAAGCCGGCGATAATATTGAGAAAAGGTACCAAAGAGATAAGTGTTGACAAAGTACTAAAAGTATGTAAGCATTTTCGCAACATAGTCATACGTGCACAGTTATTTGTAAATTATTACATAATCGTCAATTCTGATCGCCCTATTGGTAAAAAGTCTTTCACTCAAAACTGCTGGTACAGAATAACACAATTGGTTACGAAAAAGACGCCAAATCTAAAACACCTCCCAAACAATTATCGACATTAGTTGGAAAGCTTCTCGTAACAATTCAATGTTTATTATGGAATTAAACAAAAGGTAAACGGCTATAGTCTTTGTGTCACTGCTGCTTGTGTCGAGTTGGCCACAGCATAAAGCAACAATATCATCTAATGTTTCAAATTTGGACTAGAATTGTATACTCTACATGAAGTCATGAAGAAGTTTGAAAAGGTACACAGTATTTATTTAATGTTAACTTATTTATTTTTAATCAGTATAACGTATATATCCAGATGAATATGGCCTCAAAATAGATAGACCAGTGGTTATTATCATAGAGCGCTTAGCATTACTCTTTAACAGTTATTATAGCATTATTGAAGTTTTAAGTGATCATGTATAGAAAAAAAAAGAAGAGTTGAATGATGCTTCTTCGTGTGTAATAGACCCAAATTGAGAACAGGTGTTTTCACTTGCTTAAAGTGATGGCGAAAACTTCCGTCAGGTGAGACGATGCTCTACAAAAGAATACTATACGTACACATGGTCTATAAGGTACACTCAAAGAGAAAGAAAAAGAATGATTGCGGAAGATATGAGCACTACTTTCTTGAATACTCCACCAGCAAAAACTGTCAGTATTTTTTTACTTACTTGCATTATGTCACTTACAATTTTTTGCACCTGAAGAACATACTGCTACATAGAAATATCAAGAGTGGAGAGCTGGTTAAACTCCCTAATGTATACTAGATGAAAAAACTTTAGATACTTTACCAGCAAAGAACCATACGAGCTTAGGTCAATGCTAGGCTTTTGTAAAGAAAATCAAATAATTTATATATATACTTTTTAGATATTTTGTTCAATAATATCTCATATTTATTTGTGCGTGCTTTTTGAGTTACGAAATATATTTTGTGAATTTAATTGGAGAATGTTTGTGAAAAATATATTGACAGCTTAAGAATTTATTTATTTTTTGAAAACACAATATTTAGAAGCGATTTAATTTTATTTTTAAACACCTAATATTGAAAGATAGATATAGAGTAAAAAGAGAGAAAAGAAAGAAAAAAAGAAAAAAAAAGAAAAAAAAAACTCTCTTAATCATTTTATACAATGTCTGAATATTTCGAACGATTTGGAACCCTTGTTGGAAATTTCATAGACAGAAATCCTTCTGCCGCAAGGGTCACTCTTACTGCCGTAGCTGCTTCTGCCTTAACTGCCTCTACAATCCTTGGCTACCAAGCAATCAAACGACAATCAAAAGCACGCGATCTAAAAAATGATCTCTTGACAATCAATCTTCCCCAGACTAAGCTCAATGCATTTGGAATAGTCGACAATGGTTCAGAAACAAATTTCCACATCCATGACCAATCATTGATTGATGAACAACTTGCTCGTAATATCGCGTTTCTCGGTCACGACAAAGTTAAAGAACTCCAACGAGCTCATATCGTGATTGTTGGTGCTGGCAGTGTAGGATCCTGGGCTGCACTAATGCTCTTACGCTCTGGGATTCAGCACATGCGTATTATTGATCCCAATCCCATCACCCTGGGTAGCCTCTCTCACCATGCAGTAGCCGAGTCGGCAGATGTTGGTGTGGCAAAGGCATTGGTACTCAAAAAGCACTTTAAGAACATAGCCCCCTTTGCAAGACTAGACTGTAGAGTGGAAAGATTGACAAAAGAAAACATGTATATTCTCCTGGCGGGTAAATTGAACAACGCATATCCGGAATAATAGGCTGAGACATTTTGGTAGGTAACCCGGCTTATGTGGTGGACACACTTGACCGCGTAGAAGACAAGGTAGAGTTGATCAAGTACTGTCATGAGAAAGGCATCAAGGTTATCAGTGCTATGAGTGCTGGTGGAAAAGCAGATCCGACACGCATCGCAATTCTCGATATTAGTGATACAATGGGTAATCTTTCTTTTTTCTTTTCCATTATCCTTTATTAACTCATGCATTCATTAGAGGATCCCATGTCCCGTGCTGTGAGACGTCGCTTAAGACAGCTTGGTGTAGACAGAGGTGTACCTGTAGTATTCTCAACTGAAAAGCCGCTGCACATCACAGGAGATAGTAAGGAATCAAAAATAGTATTGAAAAAGAAAGAAGGCTTTGTACATTTACTGAATTAATGCCAAAACAGAAGAAAAAATTGAACACTTCCCCGACTTTCCAACCCGAGTATTACCTTCCTTGGGTACAATTACCAGTCAGTATGGAATGGCCATTGCTACATATATCATCCTCCGACTGTCAGACTTTAGTGCCTACGAAGACCCTTCGCCACGTCTACGAGATGGAGTCTACAGCCGCATGCTTCGTGATCTTGAGACCCGAGAGTCTGTGAGATTCAACAACAAGTAAGATGTGAAATAATAATATGAAACTGCAATGTTTATTTAATTATGAAATACTAGGTCATGTCCATTGTCAGTTCAGGACGTAGGGTATATTTTTGAAGAAATGTGGCAGGGTAAGAGTGTGTTGTCTGGACCACAGGATCGTGTAGCTTTAGTGCGATGGGATACTAGTAAACCCCTTGGATACCTGAACACAGTCTGTATGAACAAGAACGAGGCTAGAGATCATGAAGCTCTTCCTTTGGGAGTAGATCTGTTAGAAGAGTATGGAAAAGGTAAGATCTATCAAAGTGTTAAACGTAGACTGAAGTGTGGACTTTAGATGTGGTTGAATTTGTAAATAAGCGAATCGAACAAGAAAGACGGTTTCAAGCTCTCTTTAATGCTCAACAATAATATATATCTCGTATAAATAAACATAAATCCATAGAGTCTGGTTTAAAGCACATAATATGGAAAGGGCCATATGGGTAGATATGGAAAACTATTTATTTGGAAACGGCCAGCTGGGGATTGTGTCTACCTCAGTACGAGCTTTTTGCCATGCTTCTTTGTTCTAGTAGAATTTATAAGTTAGAAACAAAAGGACATTAAGGTGACCACCACAAACCTTTTGACAATGGCGGATATGAGTTTTTGCGTAAACTAGTAGCATATCACGCAAATCTTTTGCCTTTTGGCGCTGAAATCTAATAAGATCTTCATCGATATTTGCTGATGCCTCTAATAAATCATCGCGAGTCAATTGCAGTGCCTCCTGAAGCTATAAACAATAATTAATATACTTTGTTACATGGTGTTTATTTCTTACTTTTTCGATCACGTCTTTTGTTTTCTCGATTTGGTTACGTCGTGTAGTCTCTGGATCCACATCAAGTATGCTACTAAATGTGTTCCCTACTGCACTGAAAAATTGAAATGGTTTCCCTGACCATTGTCGTTTGGGTCTTATTTTATTGCGCTGTAGTACTGGGGAGTAATAATCTTCGGGAGAAATATCTTCTGGGGTTATTGTGGGTGGCTGATCCGCCTCTGCTTCTTCTGTCGTCATGGTTTGTTGTAAGCGCTCGGAATCTTCTTCAATTCTTTGGAGATTATCATATGCTTTTTGCTTGCTTGCCAGGACACTCTCTATGAGCTCTACTTGTGCGTGCTTTTGAGACCTAAACCTAAGCACTTGCTTGACGATGTGCGCAAGCTGGGCGTGTTCTTGGATTGGCTCCGAAAATTCGCCTTCCAATGAAATAAACTAAAACAATTCTTTGCTTAAATTATCCCTTTCATAAAATTATTTATGTTTATGATGCTCATGTTTGTTTATTTTTGTATACCATTTGATTTGTCTCTGCACAAGAAGTTTCGACTGCAAACCCTATTTTCCTGATAGCCTTTGATACTTCTTTTGTTTCATTCAAGCTCAATTGACCGTAAGCTGCTCCTTCTTCCGCATAATCACTGACAAGTTCTGAAAAATGAATTAGAAGCGTATTAATCACTATTCTCTCATGACACACCTCCTAGACGACGAATCACCTTGCGCTGACTTTTGTCTAGATGATTTGTCATATAATTAGCAATACGGAATGTTGTTTGTTCAATTTGCTCGAAACGTGGGTCAGGGTTCTTCAAAGTATATGTGCTTTGAGAAGGAATTAAGTTTACAGGAAGGATCTTGATTTGGTTATCCTGCTGCTTTCTTAAAACCATCATAAGCAAGTTCTTGGGAAGTGTGGACAGAGGTGGTGAACGAACAACATTTGTCTAAAGGCCACATTGTCATTAGTGATTTCTTTTATGATTATTTTACTATATTTCATATACAGCGAAGACTTATTATCAAACAACAATACCCATATTTTGGTACAGTCAAGAAAATCGTGAAACACATGATCTCGGCCTAACTCTGGGTGTCTGGCTACTTTGTTCAAGAATGTCTGTAACATTCTCTTTCGTTTCTCTACCATGGATAGGTCATCCTTGACTCGTGTTTGAACTGCAGCATATGATGCTATTTGCTCAAATATTTGTACAAAGATGTTTAGTCAAGGCACGCCTCGACAAAATAAATTGACCTACCTAATGAGTGCTTTTCGGGAATAGGAGGTACTATAATAATAGGATGCAACTTTGATAATGATCTTTGTAATGATTCAAAATCACTGTATCGATGTTTTGTTTCAATATCCTGTTGTCTGTGTCAGAGATTCCGTGCAAAATACAATATTCCAACATACTTTATTAACTCCCACACGGATGTGATAAACTATATAACTTTTTGCAGCTGGAGTGTCGGCCTGTCTAGTAGCCCCAGTAATGAAGATGTAATTGTTCCCTAGGCGGATTGCTCGATCAATGGCACAATCGCATGAGCTTTGATAAGAAAGTCTGTGGGGGTTCTTTGAAATGCTCATTTCTAAGAATAATTGGCGCAGTAGCAACAAATGTCAAAAATAGACGAGGTCAAAAGGGTACATTATGAATATGCAACGGCAAAGGAGTCACGCAGACATAACCTTACTTTTGTTCCATATTTTGACGGGACTTTCTGCGAGAACTTTGATTTGACCAAAGGCACGCATTTTTCATCTACTTTATTTCATTTCTGTTACTATCTTATTTTATTAAAAGCGAGCTAGATTGTACACTAGCTAGATTAAATTTATGTGCATAGGTTAGAAGCAGTTTAAACAAGTCATATGTGTAGAGATTTTCTTTAGCAGTAAATTTTTGGTTATATCATCTATTTTGCATGAGACTGTTAGGATATTTATATATATATATAATATTTAAAGTAAATGAAACCTTCTGGCTACACTCTCAGCAAGTATGAAAGTGAGGCTTATAATTATATATAACAAGTACGTATGGAATGCATAATCGATTATAAGTACCCACGGATTTTTTTATTGCAACAGAAAAGTTTATTATACTACTCACAGAATTTTATTATGCAGAGCAAATCGCTATCGATAACAGAAAATGCTCTTTATTTTAACGTGGTACAAATTGTCATGTATACCTATTATATTCTGTTTTTGTAGATTATTCAAGAATTTGTTCTTCAAAAAAGAGGGATAACCTTTTGAACAAATATTGTTCACGTTTGTCCAATCATTTTCATTTAAAAAAAAGAACAAATAAAATTTACTTTTGGGCAAAATGTATCTGTCTACCACTATAATTCATTTGATAGACCAAAAAACCAAAATAGGGAAGGAATAATTGCGACTTCAAAGAGGCACCATATCTGATGTGTCAAAAAAAAATCATCCTTAATATCAGGATCTTCAACTTTCTCAATGTATTGTCCTATGTTTCTATCGTTCAAGTCTACAGTAGTGGAGGGTGTAGTTGTTGGTAGATGTAAGACCAGACTTGCAAAGTCAGTGGTAGGGATATGGTTGCTCCAGTAATGTTGGTAAAAAAATCTATGTCTGAGGACCAGCTGCTAAGCGTTACAATCTCATTTACAGACATTCATCTGTTCATTTCCAATGAGAATACAATAGACTTGTGGTAATCCAGACGCCCGGCTGTTGGATTTGTGACATATAAGAACATATTCATATTGGGATAGTTTAGCAGCTATCATCTTGTCAGCATATAAAATATATATAAACGATTAATTTGGTCAATAATTATTACAGCTAGTACTGTAGATAATACCTTAAAGATCGTTAAGATAATTATATCATACTGCCAAATGAACTGTGTCAAAGCTACATAAAGCTAATTTAGTAGGAAATTTTAAAGCTTTAGTGTAAAAGAGAAAAGAATAGTCAAGAGCTAAAGAAGTACGATTTATGACTTGATGCCATAATTGTAATACCGATAACTAGTTAAGCATTAAATACTCTCTAATAATCAAATATATTAAATGAAGAAATTCTTAAGAACTAAGACATAATAACAAGAGCAGATTGTGTTTTCTTATAAAAGAAGTCATTTTTATTTCTGAATTAAAAAAATTATATACATTATATACATTCTCAAAATATCACTATACATCTCTATTATTAATTTTATTATCTTGTTCTGAGTGAAACTACTTTTATTAAAAATTCTAAAAGTCAACTATGAGAACAGTTAGAAAAGAAGATTAAAATTATTGCAAAACATACTGAAAAGATTTGTTTGTTATAAATATTAAGTGAATTGAAACAGTAAAGAAAACAAAGATACTAGCAAGGGGCGAATTTAACAGTAATGATGAAGTTCCAAAAATTAAAACTTGACAAATAGCTTAAGATGGTAAAATAATAATAATATCTAACTACACTTCAACCATTTTATTACTTTGTATCGGAAATACTACTGGCAATGACAAGATGTTTTATCTTAAAAAGAATTATTACTGATTGCTTGTGAATTTCGATTTCAATTATGTGTCAGAGTTGACTTTTTAGGATAGAAGATCTTGACTTTGTCAATTGTTCTTTAATCTATGTTTTAGATGTTGGAAATGAGAAGTATACTTGTAGAGATATTACTAGAGAGCTACCATCTAAGACATATTACTGTAGCTATTATTTTAATAAGAAAAAAACAATCCTCTTGTATAAATAGTCAAGAATTACATTTAATAGAAATCATCTTTATTCTTAACTTAAAAACCTGCCGATCCCCAGTGGTACTGATTTTGCGACTTAGTTACAAGAGCCAGAAAAGAAATATCAGATCGAGACTTGACAGGCCTTTTACTGTAACAAAGTCAAAAGGTAAAACCCACTGGGGATCAAGGAGTACACGTAAAATCAAAGAGAGGATAAAAGGTACTTTTTATTGATATGAATTGAATTGTCTTATATAGTTTTCTAAACTAATACTGCGCATTATCCGCAGTAGCTATTATATTATACTTAAATAAAAGAAGAGCCATTATACTGCGGTTAATGCTCAGGAAGATGTTACTGCGCATAAAGAGGTACTGTGGTTAATCATCATCAGATTTTACGGATTCATCAAAATAATGTCCGACAGACATACGACAAAAGTTAATTCAACAAAATAAGTGTGAGACTACCAGGGGTCGAACCTGGAATCTCCTGATTCGTAGTCAGACGCCTTGTCCATTGGGCCATAGTCCCACTTGATATTTTAACGCAAGTGTTGTAAAATTTTGTAGCATTAACCAAAAACGTATATTTGCTTGATGTGACGTCAACTTATGGACAGACTATTAAGTTATGGACAGTGCAAAGTCGTGACCCCATCTCCAGACACAACAAAATCCGATTTCTTGGATTTATTTTATCTCTCCCTCTTTTTCCTTTTTTCTTGTTATCAACATTTAAATTCCTGCTGGACTTTAAATGCTTTTCCCCTTTTTTCTATTTTTTCCTTGATTTTTGTGGTGATTCAGACACTTGGATGTTGGATTTATCACATATAAAAACATATTTGTTGTGGTGGTTGAAGTTGAAGAAGTTTTTAAGAGGAAAAATTGAAGATTTGAAATTAGGAACGAAGATTTATGAGAACTTGTGTAGGTTTTATTTATTGAGAAAGATTTTGTATCAAAGTTTGACCAGGTTCCTACACTGAACTACTACTGCTATTTATATTGTTTTGGATTGGGAAAATTATATGACTGGGGTCAGGTAATCAATCCTATCTGAGCCTTAATCAGAGTAACGTGATCTTGGGATAATTAATGTATGATTAATTATATCAATGTGTGTAGTCCCAATGAAGCATTAACATTGAAAGTAAATGTGTTTATGAGTTATAATTATGCTTATAATAATTCACTGATGTATCCCATATTATGGTGATATCATCATATGAAATATAATCATTATCATGCATGTTAAACCTGTGTGTTAAATAATAAAGTAATCGGTAGACATCTTTGACTGGAATAGCTGAGGCCTTATATTATTTCCTTCAGACTTATTTTCAATTACAGCAGTAGTCAATACTCATTTATAACAGATGTGATATAGCTAAAAAAATTAAAAAGAAATATATTATAAAAAAAAGAAAAAATATGTAGTTAATAACTTTTGTAAAGTAGTATTTGAGAAGAAGCATTACATCTAGTATATAGAAATAAAGAATATAAATAAAATAAAAGTTTTCAAAAGATACTGTTGTGGGGAGAAAATAAAGCAAAATATAATATAGACGAAAGAATTTGTGAGAAATTGTGTAGGTTGTTTATTTCAAAAGAAAAGTAAAGAATGATCAAATTCGATTGTCTTTCTATATGGAACTATCTACTAATATTTATATGTTTTTCTAATTTGTAATTCAGTGTGTGCTTAAGTAATCTTTATCACGATGAATCATATTCCAGGAGTATTGTTCTTCTAGAAAGATCCGGAAAGACCAATTGATATGATACTTCTCCAGTCAGATCAGTCCAAGAGTTTTGGTAAAGAAGAGCATTTATGCTATTGGTAATATTTTAGTATTCCGACCCAGATACTCGGGTAATGTTTCATAATATTAGATAGTTGTAGTTGTAGTCTCTCAATTAAGTATTTGTATAATAAAAGAAATATGTAGATGAAATATAATGATGCCATATATATAATGTATATGTATTTGTATATCCCATGTCATGGTGATAATAATAAATAATCAATTATGTGTATGATGATCTGTGTATTAGATAATATCATAAAGGGAGATCCGTTTGACTGGAATAGCTGAGGATATTATTTTATCCTTCAGTCTTACTCTCAGATTCAGCAGTAATCAATACTCATTCACAACAGATACTATCAATTTAACAAAACATTGCTTATATAAATTTAAGTGAATAGAATTATTTTAGTGATTCAATCAAAGCAGAGCAGTTAGCTGAATAGCGCAGAGGAAGCGCGTTGGGCCCATAACCCAAAGGTCGGAGGATCGAAACCTCCTTCAGCTACATTTTTGCTTGCTGCTTTTTTGTCGGACATTAATTTTGATTGTCGTGCCCAAATTCTTGTCAGCCAATCAGAATGACGATTACATAGAGTTCTCTTTTGAGAACGACGACCGAAGTGATTTCCTTTTGCTCACAAAAGAATTAGAAAACACATAGCTTAACAAAAGTAGAATAGAAATCGAAACAGACATTTATAATGGCTGTGTTATAGCATTGGAAGAACAACCCAGATCGAAAACGACATGATGAATCCGTAAAATTTGAAAATAGTTAACCGCAGTATAATGACTCTTCCTTTAATTAAATATAAATAATAACTACTGCGGATAACGCGCAGTATTAGCTTAGAAAAGTATATAAAACAATTAAATTCATATCAATAAAAAATTATCTTTTATCCTCTCTTTGATTTCATGTATACTTCTTGATCCCTAGTGGGCTTGACCTTTTGATTTGTTGTAGTAAAAGGACACTACAAAATTATATGATTTCACTTTAAGAAACTTTTGTTGGATCAAAGGAACAAATTGATAATATTTCAACTCCATAAGGTTTTTTTACTTTTGGCGGCAATAATTCCATTAACCTAATTCCATTGGATATAATATATGCTATGCCTTCCAACATTTATTTTGACTAGTGTTTTGCACTGTTGCTAATTAATTAAAAAAAATATAGTTACTTTGACATTAGAGAGAGATATATCTTTGGGTAAACAAACCATCTTTTTTTTGAAACACTGTTTATCTTCCACTATTCTTTGGAATCTATATATTTGAAGTCAAGCTATTTCTCTCTCTTTCTTTTCTCTTTTGCACTTTTTGACACAAATTCATAGTAGAGCTTTTTCCTTTTCTTTTTGCTTCTTTGTTTTGTTTCTTTGTTTTGTTTCTTTGTTTGACTTTCATATTTTACTTCTTTACTCATCGCTTTTGTTTTTCAACAGTTTGTCAAGTTATATATCTCCTTTTTGATAAAGTATATGACTAGAGATATGATAACAGACACACATTTACTCAAGTATTTATTATATACTTATAATATTAATAATATAGCTACTATTATATCATTTTGATGCCACTCGTAATAATATTTACAATTCATATTGTGGTATGTCTATGAAATACATGTATTCTAACTTCGCTTTTATATCTGTTCCTTTTTTGTAAACTGTATTCAATCAGGTTCAAGCATTACTTTATCAGAACAACAATATCTGCTAAGTCTGTTACAAAGCAAATGCTGGATAAACTAATTATATACAATTCTAAATGTGATATATTTTGACAGCAATTAGCATACTAAGAGATTTAATGTTGTAGTGTTTACTAGCTGTCATTTATTAGTTAATGAAAATTGTACCAAATCCGTAAATAATGAGCTTCATATATTTTACTGTCAATGATATCATCTAATATAAAAATCTTTGTTTTCTTATGTTATATAGTCGGCTATCTCTTCAAGTAAGTATCAGCATAAGTGCTTAAAATAATAGCAGATCAATAGTATACAGTAGGAGGTATTGCTATATTTAATAGTTGTACCGAATGAATACACCAAAAAAACCTAGAATTCTCGTCAGGAAAATATTATTTTTCAACTATCAAAATAAACAAAACAAAAAAAAACCACTTAAAATAATACAAAAACGCTTCTTTAAAATGTATGATTTCCCATATGTGAAATCCTAAGAAATATACTTTCCTACAAATTCGTGTTATAAAACCATAAATTAATATTTAATGAAAAAAAAAGGGGAGAGTGCACCCACTAGAGAAGTATTTTTATTGGCTTTAAAATGAGCGCTTTCCCATAGATTTTATATAATAAAATATACTTTTCTACAAATTCACTATATATAGTGTTTAGTGTCTATATCAATATGCAATTCTATATCAATAAAGCACTCTGAGAACACCTAAGAACTCATTGTTGTCAACAACTCCTGGGTTGGTACCTGCATATTTGCAATATTCTGAATCTGGGAGACAAAGCTCAATGGCTGTGTGTGCCTTTTTTGTTTTGGTCTTAAGTTAAAGCCCAATTCCTCGAGAATAGGTTGTCCAATAGATCAGACCGATTAAGTAGAAATGGAGTTCCTGAGTGAATCCGTCGAAGTGGACAGATTTGGTGGTTTAGGTAAAAGAGCCATACCACTTTTAACTTAATTACCAATTAGTATTTTGATATATAATTATTCACTATTCTTACTTATTCTTACTGTAATTTAGACTGTTATCATTGTATACTTTAAATAAATCTATTTGCTTCCACAATAGCTAGATTGTAATTTGGAATAGACTTGAATAGATAAGTTGTAAAGATAAAATATCAGTGTATCTGTGGAATATATTTCAACATATAAAGTTTGTCATAAAAACTGTGAGCTCTATCCTGAAGAGCACCTTTAAACACAAAACTACCTCTATATTTTGAGAAAGAGTAGATTTACTAAAATTTATCATTTAATTTTACTATCAAAAAATCTAGTTTTACTTTATTTTATAGTAAGCAGTATGTAAAATAAGCAGATATCGCTTAAATAAATACTAGCTTATATTGGTGAGACCATAAGGCTATTGGACCTTGAGCGAACCTGTGTCTCTGACATCTTTTCAATATACTCTTCTACCTTCCCTAGTTTGTCTATCATTTTTTGCGTCAGCTCCTCCAGCTTCTCAAGCCTCTCTGTGTCATCTTCCTCATTATATCTTAGACATAGAGCACGGTTGATAGGGAAAAAGCTATAGTTGACATCTTTAAGACATGCTGCTACATAAGATTCCGGGCCAGTATATTCCGTTCTATGCTTGTTTTTTAAATGAACTATGAAGAACAAGTATTGCCTTTAAGCGTAATAAAGTAAGTAATTGAATTTCCGTGAGTTAACATAGTTGGCAAGGTTTGCATAGTACCATATGTTATGATCATTTTTTACGTGATCTTCGAAGCCTTTCTTAGCATGTCGCTGAAATTCAACAGCGTGTATACTACAAATAAAGCATGCTAAAAATATATTATTAGACAAGGAAAGTCGTTTCTAGAAAGGATCTTACAATTTTTCATATCTTGCTGTACAGAGGATCGCTCTATTATTTTATAAAGTAAGTTATTAGTTCTTGGTGATACTAATAAAATAGTAAAGTTGGAACAAGACTTACCATCACGAAGGTGACCGAAAGTGTCAAAGATGATACCGAAAATTGCATTGAGTAGGAACACAACCACAACCAGATAAAATGACATCTCAAACACAGTTCTCCAACCACGAGGCTGAAGATCGTTTGGTTCCAAAATATCACCAATCCCACCTCCAGAGCGGATACTTTGAATTCGATTACACGTAGTATTAGTTTGATACATACATACATACCTATGTTGATGCTTTTGTAAACTTACCCATGAGATAATATAGTGACAAAGCATTCCGAAAGAGATCCGCAAAACAAGCCCTTAGTCCCATCGAATTCTGTGCGGAAGTATTTGTAGGCAACAACACTATGAATGTATACTACGATAATTCCGAGCAGTGCCTAAAACAAATAAAAAACCATAAAGCAAATATTTATCGATATAAATATATTTGTTCTTTGATTAACTTTCCCGTAGCTTACCGTTCTTGTGATAGAGCTGACATTAAGAGTAATACTTGAAATAACTCCTTGAAGAATACGATCACGGAACACAAAATCGAGAAGATGAATAGCGTGAAATCCAGGGTAATATAATCCAATTGCTGAAAAACCAACCATCAAAATATGGTATAAAAACTGAGATTCAGAGATACTAGCCAATACAAAGCTCAAGTTGAATCTCTTTGTAGAATTTATCACACCCACAAAAATGGAGGATGGTCAGACAGTTGAAGCTCAAAGGATCGCTATTCAATTTAACTTACTCTTTGAGAAAATAATTCACTGAAAAATGAACCTTCTTCTTCAGTTACACTTTCATCTGAAGTGACCAGGTTATCCAATTGTATATCCGAGCTTTTAGATGAGTGGCGATTAACCAGAACTGGAAGTTGAATAAAGTAGAACTCTGCAGTAGACAAGACCCACAGAAACAAATGTATAACTCCCAAAAATATCCGAAAAGTGTTGATATGGTCAACGTGACGGGATCCCGGTTCAGTTTGTGTTAACAAGGACGAGTAAATTAGCATCAAAAGGTTTAGTATTATAGTAACACCATATGACGCCTGCCACCAGAATGAGCTGTACTCTGTTAGTAGCGAGAGGTACTTATTACTGGCAACTCTTGCTTGGTATTTAATTCTAAATTATAATATGCATTAAATAAATTTTATACATTTACACAAAAATCATCTCACTTTTACATACTCATAAATAATACTACTTGACTGTTGAACGAAATCCTCAATTTTAGCAGACGGCGAATCACTACAAAAAAAAAGAAAAAACAAGTAATTAGAATATACGCATGGTGCTGAAAATGAAGCAGACCCAGGGTTTTTTTTATAACCTTTTGACTTCTTACCGTTTAACATTCCATAAGAATCGTTGCTTTGTATCTTCACGCAGGTAGTTACACACTTCCGGTATAGGAAACAAAACGCGAGAGAGTTGTTTTTCTTGACCGTAGTCCATAACTACTTCAATCTTTCCTGTGTTCTTTTGAAAATATTCGAACGCAACATTTCCACTAAACATAGAATGCTATATGTACAAGTGAAGATTAAGTTGAGCGATATATATATATATACATGTAAGCTTAACTTAATACTTTTTTACCTGAGTTTCATCTAGCGCTGGGGACAGGGTCATAACAAGCATACAGTAAAGAAAACCGCACTCAAGCTTATCAAATACAGAAGGGTGTTCTAGATTATCCACGTTGTTCACGTATATTGTATTCATATTGCGCTTCACAATTGACAGATCTAAAGATGCGGCCATCTCTCTGAAAATTGTATCACTGTTTTCAATTCCTCCTTCTAATAAACTCAGCAAGCAAACAACTACTTTACACTTATACATAAAATGTATATGAGCAACTGGTAATCGTTTAGAGGAAAATATAGTCTAGAGTACAATACTTCTACCTTCAGTTCATTCACAAGTGAGCTTGGGCAGCTCACATAAGGTTCTCGCAATATAGTGTTGAAAGGATTGATGACTTTGTCGTTAAAGATCGTCACCTAATGTATAAAAGCGAATAAAAAAATTGTCAATTGCGTTGTACTTATTGCACTTTTGAAAGTATGTTTTTTTTCTTTAAGAAAGATGACGACTATACCTGATTTTCCAAGCAACCCTAAGTTTGTAATATTATTGTAGTAATATTATTATTTTTAAAAACAGCCATCAGTTTACACACACAAGACAGGTTAATGTTATAAAATATACCTGTGCCATCTCTGTAATAGTATCTAGAACTTGAATGATCAATCTAACATTCTGAATACTGCACAATGGCACAATTGCATGAAGATATTCAACTACGTCTTGTACAATGTTGAAACTTTTGATATTATCAGGCTGTTTGGCCAAATAAGTCTGCAAATTGATATTGTGTCCTTCTACCATAAGTTGAAGAGCGCGCATAGTATCCTTCATCCCTTCAAAATCTTCATTGGCTGTTCCAAATTCGCCAGTCTCATTTGCCATTAGTGTTGATATCTTTTGGTAAATCAGCGCAGATTCTGTAGAGGTTTGTGTTTGCTGCTTAATACGTTTTCGATGGCTATTACGAGAAATGTCGATAGAAGACGAGTGGCGACGATGACCATTAGATTTCTTCAACGCCTTTATCGACCGGTTTTCGAGCGTATCAAGGCTCAATATACATTGTTGCCGGTTCATTTTGTATGCTGTGCGAATCAAGTGAAGTTGAGCTTCTTTGAGAGATGCAATACCATCTTCTAATCTTTGGTGGAAAGAGTAAAAAAAGCGTTCTTCTCTATAACCAAAATACATGTTAGAGCTTTCGTTGTGTAAGATTGATAGTGAATAATTTTTGTTGCATGTTTCTTACCGGATACTGTAGAAATATTCTTCTAGTTTATCTTGGACGTTTTTATTTCCACCTTCAAGCAAAGATATCAAGAGTTTCAAGGCTGCTTCAAAAATCTGTCGTCGTGGAGAAGATAAAAGGTTCTGGGCAACAAGTGTACATCCGAGCCGATTAAGAGTGTTCTGGGCAAGAACTTTTTTGGCTTCTAATGCTTCTGCTTGAACAGCTGAACTCATAGCTTTATCAGAACGGTTCCGAATATGACGAAGCGGTATTTCTTCCAATATCTCAATTGTAGAAACTTGATAATGCTCTGTTTTGTCTTGGCTCTTTGATACCATCATCATCGACAGATAGTCAATTAAAGATTTGACGTCTTCTTCAGAGTTAGCGTCCACTAAACTGAAATGTGAACCTGTGTAGAAAAAAAAAACCGAGTTAAAGAAATACAATATGAATATTCGAGATATCCTGTTTACTTACACATTTTTTCAAATTCTTCTTTTTGGAGTTGCAGCACACCATTATGGGCCATGAGAGCACGAATAAAGCCTTGGAATTTTGCATTCATTGAATCTAGTGGTTTGATATTCTGCTTTGTGCTGCCTGTGAGCCGTGTGATCGCATCTCGCAATTTGTCACGAAGTTTCTCCGGATCAATGCTACCTCTGAAACCCGACACATTGATCATGCTATCAATGCATGCAAGCGTGTGTTGAAGGGCATGCTTATCATTTGCAGCACGTGTAAGTAAGTCCACTGTTAGATCCACTAATCGTGGGCACAGTAAGAACAAAGCCTCGTCTACTGCTGTTTCGACCGAAATGTGATGCTCAAATACTGCTCTCAAAAATACTAGAACACCATTATATACATAATCCATAATATCTTTGGTTGGATTGACCTTGGCTTTTATCATCTCATTGTGAGCAGACTCCATTATTGTGCGGATATTCTTGTTATCGCTGACAGGCACACTCGAAGGAACTTCCGTATTATCAAGATAGACAGAAGCAAGGAATCGCAGCATAGCTGTTTTCAGCGTTGATGGAGACGATGGATCTTGTATTATTGCGGTAACATCCTGAATTGAAAATATGGTACGTGCAAACTAAAAGCCATCCAATATTTTAGTACATATATAGATATAATTTACTTTACTTTACTTTACTATTCTTTTTTTTTTAAAAAAAGTAACTAACCGATTGTCCAAAGCTGTTATCTCCTTGTCCACATACTGACAGAAGCTCAATTAACTCGACGCAGTAATCAATATGTTCTGAAGATATCAAGTCCTGGGGTGTGTTGAAGGGTACATACAATGTACGATTCTCCATAATTAGGCGCATTGTACAATCTTGATGCTTTTTTATGAGTTTTCCTTGAGCCTTCATAAAGTCATGCAATATACGCAAGTATTCACTCTGGTGGCCTTGTGATTCTTCAAGCATATGTTTAATATGCTCTTCCCGTACACGGACACTGATGAAAAGATTGTTTCCACAAAGTTTGTAAAGACTTTTTGCCAGCATTGGGTGGAATCCACTGGCATCTATCAGCAGATCGATATTTTTTAAAACGAAAGGACCCTACGAATTAACAGAACTCTATTAAGTTATGTGTTTTCTAAATCGAACTCTTGTACACAGACACATTTAAATATGCTTATATGTGCTTACCTGGAGCTCTTTATCATCTATTGTCATTTCAACCAAGAAATCGAAGCAAGCTGTAAGCGTTCTGAGGCGAACATCATTATCTTCTTCTTCTTCACTATCCGACATATCTTGACTTTCAATCAGAGGTGCCCTGAGTGCACGCAAGAGTTGGACTACAACGAAATGTGCTTTTAAGTTTTTGAATATCTTTCCGTATATATTCCGCTGGTCTTGGGAATTCTCAAGTGCACATGTCTGATCGTTAAAGTCGATAGTCTTCCCGTGAAATAAACTACTGAACTCGGTCAGGACATGTTCAATGTGTGGAAGGTGATGTGTGCTCAGTCGGTCCACAGACAAGAAGGATCGAAGCTGGGTCAACCGTTTCTTTACTCCATGGTAAACAAGAACTTGTTGTGTTTGGTTCAGAATTAAAACTTGGGATGCTTTCTTAAATAAGTCTAACATATATAGAGGAATCTGTGGTTAATAGAAATACAGAAAATAGGGTGGTAGTTATTGAAAAAAAAATGTATCGTGTCCTTTACCTTCACAATCATTGTAGATCCTGTGCATAACTACTACGGCAATACGTTTCAGTGGTGCGTACTGGTACTTTAAAATATCTTTAAGTATAGGCATCAAACTTTTTTCTCTTTGTCTTAATTGTGTTTCCTCAAAAATTGTTGTTAATGTAGTACGAAGAGAGAACGGAGGCTCACTACTTGTATTCCTGTTCAAAAGTCATGTAAAAAAGAATGTTATAATCAATAAAGACTAAGGTATAAAAGAAAGAAAGAAAGGAAGAGAAAACTAACGTCTCCATGATTTTCCACTTGTGTGTTAACTTGCTCATCCGAACATGTAGCCGTAAATCGAAAATGAGATCAAAGATTTCCAGTATCTGAATTTTGGCATTCATAATACCTTGGTTTTCCTCTGTCAAAAGAAACCGTTCTACCCTAATAATCAAGAATATCTTATGTTAAAAACCATATCTTCTTCTTTTAGGTCCGGTTTCTGCTGCTATATAAGATATTTGTTTTTTTTGTGTATCTTATTTACCAGTATCTAGGTTCTTTTGACTGAGTCATCACTTTGAGATGGTCTACATTACTAATGTAATATAAGTAACAGAAAAAAAAATATCATATAAAATATAAGTTCATACCGAGCATCTGTACGCCCATCTAATACATAAACAAGGGCTCTAAAAAGACGCTTTACATCATCAGCTTCACTAAAAAACCCAAGTCTTAATTGAGTTTTTACAAGGGTTAATACTGAAGATAGGAAAGCAACTTCGTCTTTAAGCTCTGTAAGCTACAAAATACAATATAAATTATATAAATATATATGCGTATGTATGTATGTGTGTGTGTGTGCTAGTAATTTAACCTTTTTGTTTCTTATTTAACCGTTTAAAGAAAGAGTGAAAGATTTACCAACCTGATGGCTTTTGTCATCTAGAAATACAAGTGTCCAATGCTTTAGATGATCAAAGAATTCCGGTGATTTGCTTTCAACACTTCCGGTTCCTCCAGAAGGATACTCATTTGAATCATCGAGCAAATTGTATTGCATGGTAAAGTCAGATAAAACAACTTCACTAAAGGGTGAAATATCAATGTAGAGTACTACACGCAAAAGTCAAAAGAAAATGAATCAGTAAGAGTAAAAATAGCACAATCAAAGGCATATAGGTATATGTATATATAATAACCTCTTAATAGATCGCAGAATATCGCTCTTATCTGGCATGGAAGATTAACGTATCCAATGCATTTTAGGCACACTGTCTTTCCAATAAATAGCCGTATAAGATCAAGATACTTTGTGTTTGCGCCAAATGAAAGGGAATATACAAGATTTAAAAGGCTCTGGATAAAGCACCTAATAGTCGGTAGATTTTCATATAGAAGGATATCGAGGTCTCTCCACTCGTCGTTCAAGAACTTGATTTCTACAGAACCAGTATCGTGTGGGATCCGCATCTCCAAAAAAGATCTACTTGGATCAGCCAGATTGAACATCTGGTCGAGGATTTGATCACGGTTTAAGACCAATAATCCACGGGTTTCAGTGTGACAGAATGCAGCAAGAAGATCAAATATGCTAGCTGACTCATAATCATCTTCGGCTAACATTGGCGTAGAGTTCTGTAAACCTCTGATCACCGCGTTCATTTTCTTACGACCAAGATTGATCAAGATCTGTATAACTGAGGGTCTGAATGCAGAAACCCGCTCCACAATTGTGTTGTTGTCGTAAAGAAGTTTTATCATCATGTCAGTGGCTCCCACTTGATATGCCAGATGCTGGACAAACAGCTCGATCCCCACATCACCAGCCACTTTTACGACATGCAGTTGATTCTTAACATGCTCGTTTGATTCTTCGTATTTGGATCCACCCACCAGAAAGACTCGAAGAAGATTGTAACACAATGTAAGAATTGTTTTAAGACGGCTCTCTTGTGGATTAAATAGAGTATCGATTGGAACAACGTCCTCAGAAGCTGGTTCACGTCTCTTATAATTATCGGACTGTCCGTCATTTCTCATTTCGTAACGTTTGGCCAAGGAAAATGGAATTTGGATCATGTTGACAACGCATTCAATAATACCATTATCACGAATAAGACTTTGATGATCTATATACATATACACATACATATATCAATTCGCTGTTTCAAATATTTCTTTTTTAAATATATATATATATTAATCTTATTCAGGTAAGCTTTACTCACATTCTTCTGGGAGCCCTACACGGCGTACGAGATCGGCTTCTTTACTATCAGTACAGAACCGCACAAGCTCTTTCTACATTTTCCAAGTTTTTTTTTTTAAAAAAAAATATAATACTTAAGCACGCACAATTTAAAAACACCTAACAAACAATACCAAAATCTCTGTTATGCTGTCGAACTCTGATCGTGTTATAGGGAAATTGCTTGCTTCTCCGATATCCTCACTTTCCGGATCTGGCTTTCTTTCTTTCCTGAGATACCATTGAAGGCGTGGCAAGAGTTCATTCACATAGTTGAAAGTGTCTCTCAGGGAATCGTTTACCAGGGTAATCGTAAAGCAGTCATGATAATAAAAGTCTTGAGAAGCGGTGACATGGTAGCCTGATGCTTCCTCTTGTTCATGAGAGATACTATAGGATTTTCCATCCATAGAAGAATCATAGCGTGTATAGTTTCTTGTTGCCAAACGACTGGTTGTGGAAGTTACGGACGGTTTGTTCATTTTAGATATGCTGTGCAACGTAGGTATAGGTATCTTGCTTTGCATATGAGAAAGCGGATCTGGCGCAAGTGTAAAAGGCATTGGAACCGAAGACACATTCTGGACCTCATCATCACCTGCAGCATGGATCCAACATTTGGTCAGCACATGTTGAATACGAATATAAGATCCAAATGGTACTCCTGAACGTGTGGGTTCAGATATGGGCACAAGTGTGAAAAGGGTCGCGTCGTTATTATCGACACACGGAGGATCTTTCATCAATCCAAGAGAAAAGGTTATTTTGTGGGTTGACATATCAATCCGGACATTGTTGGGATCGATATAAAGATATGACCGGGAAGCAGCATGTCGAATGCGGACAGATTTTTTCCACCGGACCTTGGATCCATTGTTCGTTTTTGCATTTTCAATCTAAAAGGAGATCATGTAGCACAGGAAATGTATATATTTTATGTTTAGTTTACATATTAAAAGAAAGAGAAAGATACAACACAAGCATTTGCACATCTTACCTCCCAAAATGCTAATGGGGAATCGCTCTCTTTAGGATCCAAAGGGTTGAGAATGTGTTTCTTTAGTCGTACATCCCCATCGTCTCTAATAATAAATACATACACCATGAATTCCTAGATCAGATCCAGCTTTGAAAAATCTAATCGCATTTTATATACATATATATATATGTGTGTGTTTGTGTATGTGGAATTTACCGATCGAGGACAGGTGTTTCAAGGTAAGCTTCCATCTCTTTGTGATAAAATCTGACAAGTTGTGCGGAATTTATATACTTTGATTTTGTGGCATCTTGATTGACCGCAGCAGAACTATGGCACTTCATGGTCCATGAGGATATACGGGTGTGAGAATATACTTCGTAGTAGTCTGTTGAGTGAACGTCAGAGTGCAGTGGTTTTGTGCCAACATTGAGATATCCTTCAGGCCTAACACATTGTATAGCAATTGTGTCTCCCCATCGGACAGGTTCTCCATCAACACGGATTCTGTATCGTGGCATGATTTTGAAATAGCCAATTATCTCCTTGGAGAGATTAACTTGTAGGTGTGATACATCGGTCTTGCATGTTCTTCCAGTTACTGTAAGGTACTTGCTAAAGTGGCTATTATACATCTGAATAACCTGGCCATATAACACTGGCTTTCCGAACAGGCGTCTCTTCTCGGTGTCGTTCTGAAGACGTTCCTTTCTGGACTTGGACTGCAATTGCCTGAGCTCCGCTAGTTCTTCAGGCGAACCTTCGGAGCTTAAGGTGTCGAGGGCCTCATCGTCTCCGAGGAACATCTCTAGGGCTCTTGTTTCTGTGTGGGATTGCTGGGGCTCGATGGTGAAGATGCATGTACCGAGAGATTCAGACGACAGGTGATTACTGACAGTAGGGCGAGCACATGCTCGTGTCTCGAGTGGATTCTCGGCCACTAGAACATTACTGTCTTCATCAAACAAAAATATGTCATCACCAATGCGGAGGAATTGCTCATTGCTCTTTGCCATCAAAAAGGAGCTCAAGTAAAGATACAAACTTCTTATGCAAATGAAGAGAAGAAGAAAAGGAAGAATATATATATATATATATATATATATATATGTATATATATATATATAAGTGTGTGTATACAGAAACCCCTTGATTCTTGGTAACAATTTTTTTTTATCATAGTCAAAGTCTATTTTAGGTGATGTGACGGTTCCGATTCTCCGCTATTGGAGGAATTTCCTTTTGAAGTCAAATAGGAGATCGTTAAATGCCTCCTTAGCCACACTAAACATTTTTTGTTATATTTATTTATCTAGCTGTATATCTACTATGAATGTATGTATCTATGTATAGACATACATAGATACATACCTATACATATATACATACACATTTGGTTGATTCCATACGATCATTCAGCTACAGGAGTAGCCAAGGTAAAGCATTGATTTCCAGAAACATAGTGTACTCTGATTGACATCCAGCTATTTTATTTTTATTTTTATTTTTTTTGCAACGGGAAATTTCCACAACAGTAAATGATATCATATCAATTGACAGTGCTTTAGAACAAGAGTCAAAAAGCCTAATTGGAGATATGTACATTATGGCTTTAGTTTTCTCACTGGCAGACTTATATATATATATAAATTTTATTCAGAAATCATTGGTACAAAAATTGAATGGACCAAAGTGTATCAAAACAAAAACAACAAAAAAAAAAGATGAATTTAGTAGAAGAATGGAAAGAAGAAGTACACTATTGATTTCCAGAGAGTGTGAATGCGGACAAAGTTGTGTATACAAGTTACAGTGTTTGTAAGTACCGATTAGCCTTTTGGGGGGGCAATATTAGACTTGGAAGTATTGAAAGCATACAAACCCCATTTTATCTATTATCAAACCAATAGCATCATATAACATTTATATATTAGAAATAATTGTAATTTGCATTGGTCGACCCCCAAAAACTAACATAAAAAGAAAGGCGAGCAACGAAACAATGTTTGGGTCTCATTAAATACACAGTGCTAATCCAAAATCTCAAAATGCCTCTTTAAAATATGATCAAAACACGATACGGCTTTTTGTGAAATACAAATTAGCGATATTTGTATTGGATGAGCACGAGTAGGGCCTATGAAAGATTGAGTGTATAGAACATTTAATAAATTGATATCAATATCGCTAATTACGATATTTTTGGATACTTTCTACCTTCTTTTCTTTCTTAATACACGGGTTAAATTTTATCCTATTTATATAGCAGCATATATATTTCCAGTACATGATAGTCAGCCGTTAAAGACATATTGAATTTACTTTAACCTAAAAGTATAATACATATTACTGCTGGCCTTGGTCTGTTGGTTACTCGTATAAAGAGATATAAAATATACTCAACTATGGTACTCTAGCTATTTTTCTTTAATTACACATAAATTTCCAAAACATGGGTTAGTTTTGGTCCAAGAATCTTATTAATAAGCACCCATTATACTTGTTATGGGCATAATTGATAGAGTGTTATTATCACAGGCTTTCTTCCTCGATTGCTCAGTGCTTCCCGACGTACAAATACATTCGGATTTCCCAGTGTACCCTCCACACTTTACTGAGATCGATATGGAACGTATCAACGTATTAGGAAAAAATAGCGAGTTATAATTTCATTTTGCCACAACTTTCATCTCACCACACTTCTTGTAAGGAAAGATGTGTAACTATAGTATTATGGCTTGTTACATGTGCCGTTTTATATGTCTTTCTTATTATATCAAAGACAGGCTTGTTATTTATACATTCAGCTCAACCTAAAAACACCCTATTGTTCTTTCTCTTATAAAATGAATACATCAATATATTATCAACAATTAATCTGTGACTGAAAGTAATGCTATTTAGTGAGGTAGAGAGTGCTAGACTAGATGAAGTTTATTGCATTAAATATAATATGTTTTTTTTTGCTTTTATTATTTTTGGTTATGATAGAGCTTTTATGAAGGACAAGCACGGTTTACAAGAATGATGTTAAGCAAATATGTTAAAAGAGGCCATCCTTCCTACTATGTTTCTTGCAAACATTGTGTTAAACCCTTAAGAATCGTACAAGTTCTATTATAAACAAATAAATAATACATGAAAATGTATATTGTTAGTCAAGTGCAAATTTATCGAAACAATTAAGAATACACTGTAATGTATTGTAGTTTACCTCGATGATATGCTATTGTGTTTAAGGATATTATGCCTTGGCTTTCTTGACTTTCTTGATTCCTTTGGGATGCTTTGAGGTAGACTTCTCTGGATCACTCAGGCTTCCAGAAGGCTTGGAAATTGCTGGCTTAAAGGTAGTGTCTTTTGTTGAATGGGATCTTTCAGGATGAGTTCTGTCCTTGGTGAAGATGCTTCTCTTTGGCTCGGTGTCCTTTGATTTTAGCATGGAACTCATGGTTGGTTTCTTGGCCTTGGACTCTTCTTTGTGGGCGGTGGTTGATGCTACAGGAGTGGATTTCTTAGGTTTTGGCTCCTCCTTGTGATGATGGGACGCTGCTCCTGGACTGGACTTCTTTGCCTTGGGGTCTTCTTTGGAAGCAAAAATGGAACTGACCGAGCTCTTCTTCTTCTTTGGTTCTTCTTTGGACTTTGACATTGAGCTTACTTGGGCCTTTTTTTGCTTGGTAGTTCCGGTGGTCATTTCTTTTCTTTTTGTGATAGTGACTTGTACTTTTTGGAATTTACTTTTGGGGTAGCAAAAGATTCAAATTGAAATTGAAGTGAAAGAGATTTGGAAAGAGTTGTTGATATAAGAAAATAAATTACCTTTTGGATTCTCTCTCTTTTATATTTATATATATATATATATTTGAATTTTTGAGAATACATGTGATGACCCCTTCTTCGTCCTTGCCATTGTCTTTCTTGATTACAAGTGGTGCTACTTTTTAAAAGAGACAGAGAGAGAGAGAAAAAAAGCAAAATGCTGGGAAATGATGATCATTAAAAGTACAAAATCACACCACACAAGCCCTCCTGTATCCAACAGCTTGTCTCAAACAAAAAAGGGTTAAAGGTGTGATTTTTATTTTATTTTTCATAAATCTTTGTATTATATATCCAAAGGTGCTTTTGACTTGATTACAGACAAAAGGTAAATATGAAGCTGTAGCTAGTCAGACCTTTTAATATTCAGAGTATCAAAAGCTACGACTCGATTGGTAATAAATGGGAACATAATTAAGAAAATATGTCGGAAATGAGCTTCCCACATGGCACTTTAAGGTGTATCCCAAAAAAAAAACGATTCTTGTGATCACATTGATACTGTAAGCCTTGAGCGTTGGTGGAACGGAGGTTGGGGACGGAGGGAAGAAGTTGATCATACTGAAAGAAGTAGGATTGTCTAATAGCCAGATTGGCTTTTACTTTTTGAGGGAGAAAGAACACATTTTCACAACAGATGTTCATTATATTTATAATTTATAATTTATAATTTATGAATTAGAAAATCTCGTAATCATTACCATCTTCCTTTTTTTTTTCTTTGAACGTTTTTATTTGATTTTGACGCTTTTGCACTTTTACACTTTTACACTTGACCAACGCGGATAACAACCAAAATAAGAAAGAGTTCAAAATTATAGATGATTAGTCAATATTGGCACCGATACCGATATCTCGAAATACTAGTACTATTGGTGTTGTGTACTACATATTTGAACAATACAAAGGTTAATCTCAATACAATATATATATAAATATTGTAAAGACCCTTAAAATATGTAAAAGAAAAAAGCATATTTTGCATGAATAAATGAATTGTTACAGCTCTAATAATAATTAATAGATAATATAAATACCACTACTAAAAAGCAGAATTTCTTTAAAGGGGCTACAAAACATATATTAAAATCAAATAAAAATAAAGCACTATATTTTGAATCCTATGTATCGTTTTGATTTCTTTATTTGACAGAACGTTTTGTAATATAAAATGAATAATAGAAGGAGAATATACGTTTGTCCTGACCATGTTACAAAACATAAAAAAAAAGGTTGGGACTTTGTGGGAAGGAGGGGAAATATAAGATATTTTTAAAAAAAATTTGCTTTTAAAGATTTTTTTTGTTTGATGTTGGGTGCTGATATTGATAATGTTCGATGTTCGATGTTCGATGTTGTTGCTGTTGTTGTTGCTTTGATTATTACTATTATTATTATTATTATTATTTCTTGTAAAAGAAAAAGGAAGAACGGTCTACTCCTCGTTCACATTATGGAGCAACGTCCACTGGCAGCCTTCTGAGATTCAGTTGACTCTGCTTTGGATCCATGAGTTGACTGGGCATCGGAAGTCTGCTGCTGCTGTTCTTGGGGAGTAGGAGGAAGAGCCTTTTGTTGTTCTGGCTGCTGGATAGGTGCGGCGTGTACCTGGGGGTTTACATCACTGGAGGCCAAAGGCATAGGTACAACAGGCTCGGGTCTCTGGATAGTGGATGATGCTGCTGCCTCAAGCTCGGTCTGTTGCTGTGTGTTCTGAACACCGGCGACCTGCGCTGGTGACTCTACTGATTTTGTTAACTTGGCCTCAGCTTCCAAAGCAGCAGCCTTCTCGGCAGCGATTCTCTTTTCGTCCTCTGCAGCAAGGGCAGCAGCCTTCTCAGCAGCAACACGTTCCTCTTCAATCTGGGCAGCAGCAGCAAGAGCAGCAAGACGCTCGGCTTCAGCCTTCTCAGCTGCAATTCTCTGGTCTTCGGCAGCCTTTTCAGCGGCAGCCTTCTCGAACGCAATACGTTCTTCTTCGGCAGCCTTCTCAGCAGCAATACGCTGCTCTTCAGCGGCCTTCTCAGCGGCGGCCTTCTCAGCGGCGGCCTTCTCGGCAGCGGCCTTCTCAGCAGCAGCCTTCTCAGCAGCAACAAGTTCCTCTTCAGCCTTGGCAGCAGCAGCGGCAGCGGCAGCACTCTCAGCAGCAATTCTCTCTTCCTCGGCGGCCTTCTCAGCGGCGGCCTTCTCAGCAGCAATTCTCTCTTCCTCAGCAGCCTGTTCAGCAGCAGCCTTGGCAGCAGCGATACGTTCCTCCTCAGCCTTGGCAGCAGCAGCAACAGCAGCAGCGTTCTCAGCAGCAATTCTCTCCTCCTCGATAGCCTTCTCAGCAGCGGCCTTCTCAGCAGCAAGTCTCTCCTCCTCCGCAGCCTGTTCAGCAGCAGCCTTCTCAGCAGCAATACGTTCTTCTTCGGCGGCCTTCTCAGCAGCAATACGTTCTTCTTCGGCGACCTTCTCAGCAGCAATACGCTCTTCTTCGGCGGCCTTCTCAGCAGCAATACGCTCTTCTTCAGCCTTCTCAGCAGCAAGTCTTTCCTCTTCAGCGGCCTTCTCAGCAGCAGCCTTCTCAGCAGCAGCCTCCTCAGAGGCGATACGCTCCTCCTCAGCCTGGACAGCAGCAAGTCTCTCTTCTTCGGCGGCCTGTTCGGCAGCAAGTGCAGCAGCGGTGGCAGCAGCAGCAGCAGCAGCAACGACAGCGGCCTTCTCAGCAGCCTTCTTTTGGTTCTCTTCGACGATAGTGGCAACAATGGCATCAAGGTTGATAGAGCGGGAACCAACAACAGTAGCGATGGCGGCCTTGACGGACGCATCCAATTCCTTGACTTCAACGGGCTGAACAGCCTGGACGGTCTCATCGGCGACAGATACTACTGCGGCAGAGGAAGCTTTTATGGGGTGGATGATAGACTCGAGGTGGACAGCGGGGGCGGCAACTACGGTGGCGATGGCGGCCTGAACAGACTCGCTCAACTCAGGAACATTGGTGGTTTCGTCTTCATTGGATGTCAGCTTTTCAGCAACAGGCGCGTCGACAACCTGTTCCTGGACGTCGTTGGACGTGGTGGTAATGCTGGACTGTTCCTGGAATTCAGCCTCAGAAGCAGAGATGGTAGAGTCCTTGTTATCGAATGACATGATTTTGTTGCGTGTGTGGGTTATTTTCTTTAATATAGTAACAGAATAGAAGGGGGGAAGGCAATGGAAATTTGAAGAAAGGCCGGTTTAAATAGAGCGGAGACTTTTGGCTATAAAAAAAAAAAAAAAAAAAAAAAAAAAACAAAAAACTTGGAGACAATCAAAAGCCCGTCCCTTTTTTTTTTTTTTCTTTCTTTCTTTCCTTTTTTTCTTTTTTACTCTTTATCCGTGATGTCTTGTGACTTTTTTTTTTATTATTTATTTATTTATTCTTTGCTTTTTCTTTTATTTATTTATTTTAATATTTATTTTAATATGCATTATTCACACACTTTGGTTATCAGTGATTTTCAGGTCGAGATTTCTGCTTAGATTAGGCACAGTTTTGTTAACAAATAGCACTTGTTGTTATTGATTAGTGTCGTCACTATATTCATTACATATTTATCTTACTCTTGTGTAGTCTGTGGGCTGAACTGATTTGAACGGAGCCAAAAATAATCCATCACCTCCGGCCACTCCGTTGGTTCCCATAAGACTTGTTTATCTTCTTGACTATTAAATGCTATATATTCATTCATTAATTTATTTTTAGCAGGAGATAGCTAACTAACAATAACATTCCTACACCTAAAAATGATTTTATTTTTTATTTTTTTAAAAAAAATTCTAAAATAATAATAATAATACTATTGATATTGATAATAAGGGGGAGGGGGGTATTGAAGGTAAGGCTTTGGAATACATTAAAGATTAAAATCAAGATTTTCTTATAACACCAAAAGTAAAAAGAAAGAAATATCCCCAAATTGTCCTACCAACCATTCTTTCCCTTTTTTCACTTTGCCCGCGATTATCATCGTCAATCCGAGTATCACAGTCGTTCTTGATCCGGTCCAGACAAAAAGACACTTTGATCAAGTCCCTTTTAGCGGAGAATGCAGAAGAGCATGTGATAAACATATAATCCCTCGACCAAAATAATAATAATAATAATTAAATTATTATTATTAAAAGGGACTCATGTCAATAAGTTAAGCTTCTATCTAATAATCTAATAAAATTATCAATAAATAAGCCAATAAATGAATGAATAGATAGATACGAATTTCAGGTTAAAGTTTTCCATTTGTTTTAATGTAATCTATGTATAACAGGTATTTATATTTATTTTTGTATATCAGTCCTTTTGTAATGTCCATGTCGTCATAGATTTATATAATATAAAATAATATCAAAATCATGTATATACTTACATATATATAAAAGACAAGCACCCATACACACACTTGAAGTCCAAGCTAAACCCTATTAAACAAAAAGGAAAACCATCACAATACAGGTTTATTGTTGGGTAAGGTACAAAGACAATCGGCTGCATTCCGTTGGAGCACAATCAAGGGTAGCACACACCCAACTGTACGCTAAGAAATAAAATAAAGACATACAATACAATACAATACACTACACTACACTACACTACAATTTTATTTTATTTTTTATATTATTTTTGGTTGCCAAGATACACATTAGACAAACTCTAGCGGAACTTTAAAAGAAATAAAATAAAATAAATTATATACATATATATAAATTCAAGTTACAAGCAACTTTGTTCGAGGAAGAGGTTGACGAAAGACAGACACACAAACTAATACCATACAAACGCCACAGCCTCATTTGATTGTATACCTGTATATTTCTCTTTTTTTTTTGGCTCTTAATATCTGTTAACAAAACACCTATCCCATTTTTCCTTTTCTGGTTGATACAACAGTTATACTACAATGACACAACCTGTAACATTCAAATCTATTGTCGATCCACTCACTACAATCATCTCGGCCGAAAAGAATGCAGCTGACCTTTTGTGCCCAAAAGAATCTTGCAATTGCATCATCATGCGAAAGAACACTGCCATCTTGGTTGAACGTGATGGAGAAAAGGTATTACCGATAATTTAAATAAAATAATGAAATAAGACACACGCATACATATACATATGTATATACATATGTGTATGTGTATGTATATGTATATGTGTATATGGTCTCCGTTGTCTCGTGATTTTTTTCTTTTTCTTTTCTTCATTCACTCGTTCTCATTTTATTTTATCTTTTGGTATCCAACAAAGCTCTCTTTCCCCGAACAAAACCTTGGATTAGACATTGCACAGGGCACTGAGACAAGGCCTGAAGAGACACATTTTTGGAAGCTAAAAGACATGATGGATTTTGAGAATATTGGATTTTCAAAAACTGTGGGAACCATAAAATATCTTTCTTGTGCAGATTGTGATATTGGACCCCTTGGATACCATGACACTGCAGTTGAACCCAAAGAATACCTTGTCAGTATACGCCGTGCCCGTTACAGATTTTCATAAAACAAACAAGTTCTATTAATTGTATGTATGTGTGTGTGTGTGTTTTTTTTTCTTTCTTTTTATATATAATACTTTGTCTCACAAACATGTATACATGCATGTATGCACGCATGTATGTATTTATGTATATATTTATAACTCTAATAATTATGCCCAGCACTCTTCTTGATATTGCTTCGTCTTCATCATAGTACTAAAATAACTCTCTGCTTCTTCTGAGTCCAGTCCACCTTCCTTCATAAATATTTGCTTAAATGCAAAGGCTACCTGAGAAGGCATTTTATTAGAAGATCTAAGATTAAAGAAAAATAATCAGTTATATTCAATTCAATTCAATTCAATTCAATTCAATTCAATTCAATTCGATTTGATTCACTTACCCGCACAACATAACCTTTGCATGTTGATTATGAACAAGATCCCATATCATAGAGCTGTTCTCCCGCAATCTATCCTGTACATAGATCTTTTCTTCCTGGTCACGAGAAAATGCAGTGTATAGGGTCAAGTATCCGTCAGCCACATAATTTTTCCATTGATCACCATAAAGAAAGTCTTTTTCTAAGTTACGGCACCCAACAAACAACACGTTTGCTATTGAAATAAACGTATAAAAATATAAATATCCAAGTGATTAAATATTTCAAGTCAATGAATGAATACGATTTTATTAATTAACTAAATGTTTTTTTTTAGCTATTTAATAAAACCAACTTACATTTGGCATGATCAAGTATCCGTTCTTCCAAGAACGATCTAATAGGAGCAATTCCTGTACCTAATATATAGAATTGTAATATTTTGTGCGTATTGCATTAGTTGTTGTTTTTTTTCTCAAAAAAGAAAGGAATAGTTATAAAAAAACATCTTCATAAAACAAGACATATGTATGTGTGTATACAGCATAGTCATGAATAGAGGTGCCATTCTCTTTAATTTTTTTTATAGGCTTCATTTACCAGGCCCAATTGCAATGTAGGGCGTTGATGGAAGAGGCAGGGACATGGACCCCTTTGAAAGATGTACACGTCTCACCACATCACCTATATATACATATGAATACACACAAAGAATGTACTGTTAGCAATTGATCGATTTGTTTGCTTGTCTGTCTGTCTGTCTATATATACTTTTTTTTTGGTATTGTTAATTATTTACCGGGAGCCAAGGTCGAGATCCATTTAGTTAAAACGCCTCTTCGGATTTTTCTCATCTTGGTTTTGTATTTAACAATTGCAATACAAAGGTGCAGTTCATCAGGATGAGCCTAACCATAAAATGATAATAGAATAAATAAATAAACAAATAAACAGAACACACTAGATATGTATATTAGGTTCACCCCTTATTATTATAAACTCTTTTTCTCTCTCTCTTTTTTTCAATGGTAAGATTGTCCATTAACATACACACAAAGAGCAACAATTGAATAACAGAGGTTATACTCTTACCCTTATACTGGACGCAATTGAATAAGCTCTTGGCTGGAGTGGAGGGAAAAGGTCGAGGATATAATCGAAAGGAATATCGAATGGCTTAAAGTCAAATAATATCTCAGCAATGGTTCTGCGTGGTCTTTGGCAATAGGCGTACAAGTCATCCTATCAAGAAGAAAAATTCAAATCAACATTTGTATCAGATGAAAATGAACTATTGGCACCAGTAGCAGCAGAAAAAGAAAGAAAAGAAAGAATATATATATTTACCTGGCCTTCTGGTTGAGTAAATTCTCGGAGACGTTCGGTATGATTAGGATCCATGGTAAAATAAGAGACCATTTCAAAGAACGAACGTCGCGGTACACCACACACATCTAGATGGTACAAAAACAAATCTCTAAAGGACATTGTTTCAGGCCAATGTGGTGGAACTTTCCGGTCTGGGTCGGCTGGGGTAATCTTGATCAACCGATCCGCATATCCAGCCCAGTCAACCTGTTCCAAAAACTGGTTGATCTCATCCGGAAGGTTCTGTGGCATAATAGACACAGTATCTCCAGCTTCATATCTATATGGTTGTTGGTTAAATTCATAGTTACCACATTCTTAGTATTATTATTATTATTATTATTATTATTGTTGTTGTTGTTGTTGTTGTTATCAATGGAACCTTACGTAAATGGATTGGAATCGTTGTGAAGCACAATGTGTCGTACATCCTGAAAATGATCGGCGGCCGTAATTCGATCATTGGCCTTTACAAGCATATCGTACTCTCCTTCTGAATAAGACGTCACTAGCCTTGACTCTGCCTTGTCAGTGTCATCAGCTATGAATTCAATGTGAAAAGAGGGTGGAAGTGTACTAGAAGAAGAAGAAGATATCGTCAAGGTAATAAATAAATGCAGATGTGTATGTGTCATATTTTTGTCTTGTTTTTGCGATTGTAGACATATCTATATCTTTAAAAGGATATAATACGTCTTCTGGAATTATGGGTTTGTCTTTTGGAAGTGGGAATTCGTTTGCAACATTTTCCCATAAACCCTTTAGCCAAGGAATCAACTCGCCATCTAATCTATTTAATCATTGATTTTTATTTTTATTTATTTTTATATAGGATTGACGTACATGCATACATACAAATATACATACACACAAAATTAGTTGATTATTTGTAAGCCACAGCTCAATAGATCCCATTTATACACTTACCCCATATAATGTTGGTCATCGCCATCTCCTCGCACATAAAGCATATTTGCACCAAGTTGCATTAATCGCTTATAAAGTTTCTTTGATGGATAATTGAATCTTTTTTTTTTTATATATATATATAACAAAAAAAAAGCACACACAAGTTAGATGCTATTCAATCAAAAGTTCACCTTGTACACATCCTTGATTTGCATCCAAGGCTGTTGTTTTTATCGCGCCATACTTTTGATAAGACGAATCTCCTAGACCAAATACAGCACAGCTCAAACCATTCAATATATCATGCGGCAGATTTTTTCGTAGTAAAAATCGCCAGAATTTCTAAACCAAAATAAATAAATAAAATAAGATGAAAAATAGACATATATACAGACACACTTGCATAAGTATATAATTACACAAAGCACAAGACACTGGTATACAATCCAATAAAGTTTATTTAAACAATTTCTAGCACACACATATATATTTACCTTCATATTATTGGGCTCATCTCCCTGACCAGTTGTGGAACACACAAAAATTACAAAAGATTCATCAACTAGATTAGCCTGTTGATTGAATGCAATGAGTTGTGATTAATAATCAGAGCAACCTCTTCTTCTTTTACAGTATATGAATCTACACTAGAGAACTCTTTGGATTGCAAGCGAAATTAGTCTGACCTTGTCATAATCATCCATGGCACACACTCTAGTACGGAAATGTCGTCTTTTTCCTTGTCGAGCAATTGTCTCGGCTACATCTTGTGCACAGCCGGTTTCGGATCCATAAAGAACTAGTAGAGAGCGATCTTCCATAGCAGTATATTTAATATGATTCCTTTTCTTTTTTTTTTTTAAAAAAATAAAGGGAAAAAAAGAGGAAAGATACTTATATATGCGTATATATATGTGTGAGTGGGTGAGTGAGGATGTATTCTAGTGCCTTTCTTATATCTACAGTCACTCCAAAAGTCATCTCGACTTTGAAAAGCCGAAACGCTTTCCTGTCCTTCCTTCAAGAGAAATCAAATGGCTTTATAGTTTTCACTAACTACATACCAGTTTTATGTTATGTATATACTCAAAGTGCTGTAAAAGTAGAAAAGAAAAAGAACATTTGGACCATATAAATGAATTACATGCCTATTAAAGATGAACATGATTTAAACATAAAATGTCACACATTATATGCCTTTGCTATCACAGGAAATACATATATCAGATTCTGTAAATCAGAAATATGAATGAAATAAATTATACTACAGTGTGTGGTTTTTTTTCTTAAAAAATAAAATAAAATACAAACAAGATTGAGATTGAGATGAATTAGATAGTCTTGTTAAATGTTCTCAACTTGTAGAAAGATGAAATTTACAAGCTGCTGTATTTGACAATCGACATCTGAAACAGACCCAAAGTCGACTTTTTTAGAACCAGGATTTTCTCAAATGTTGGAAAATTTGCACAACTTTTAATTCGCAAGAATTATGCTATTTTTTCTTATTAAATAAGATAAAGCTCATAGGGAATACATGTGTGTACGTATGTATGTATGTCTTCTCTATATTTTGTATAATTTATAGCCACTGTGAATAGATTTTTATAGAGACACGGCCTATTTAGTTAATGCACCATGGAGGAAAGATGAACAGAATATGCCACGAAAACTACGTGACATGATTTGTCCTTATTTCTTTCTTTTTTTTTGGAGCAATATATTAGAACTTTTAACGATACCATCTATTATATTCAATATTTAGACACTTCTTGAGATATAAGCTAGAAATGTTCATACTATATATATATATATTTCAAGATAATATCATCTTGCAAATCGAGACGACAAAGATTCTAGCCAAAAATTCGTGCCTTTTACGTTTTGGTGACTTCAATTATGAGAAAATAACATTCACTAATGTTGCTTCAATATGGCCCTCGCCATACACTTTCATCTTTCGCTTTTTGATAAAATTAAATACATATCTTTTATATATATGTTCTGTATATTGTATTTGGGTTATTTATGAGAAGAGACGAAGAAATAAAGTGAGACTTTTGTGTGATTGTTTATTGAGAGAGAAAAAGAGAAAGTTGGTATCGGTTAAGATGGTATTCTAACTATGACAGTTACACTCCTTTTATAAGGCTTCTTTACTCTCAGGTCCGTATTTATCATTGGCTCCTGAAATTAATGCTGTGTTTTCTATAGGACTTGTTTTATAAAAATTTATATGGCTGTCAAATACAACATTACCCCCTTCTAGATTGACAATAGTCAGAAGATTGTATTTAGATGCGAGTACGTTTGTTACGCTGCATTGTATTTGCAGGTCTGCTAGGTGCCTTACGCTTTTGCATGACTGGAGTGTTTGACTGTGTATTTTTTGGTGGGCGACCTACCCATTTGGGTTGTTTAGATGGTCGGCCTCTGCGTTTGGGAGCGCTGTTGGCTGCTTCGTTGTTGGATATTTTTTTAGGTGGTCGTCCTCTTTTGGGAGCCGTTGGTGCGATTTTGTCCGTTGTTGATAATTCTTGCTTTTCTCGTCGTGCCCAGTAATCTTGGATCGTTTTTAAGTCTGTGAATTTATCTGGCGTGAGCCATTTGTCTTCTTCTGGGCCTTGTCCTTTACATCGTACGAGGTATTCTCGTCTTCCTATTTTGCCTCTGTGATTGATGATAGCTTGTACTTCGACAAGTTCATCAGCGAGGGCGGTTTCGTCAACTGATATGAGTTTCAGATCCAATGGTGGATAGTCTCTAGGCATTAAAGCCCCGGTTTCGTCCTGAAGTACATAAGATCCTCCTTGGGTTTGTCTTATGACTGTGTATAGACCTTGGTAGGCGGGTGCCAGTTTGCTACTTCTTGTTGGTAGTTTTATCATCACGTAACTGCCGATATTTATTTTTGCCATTGTGTGAGTTTTGTCGAACTTTTTCTTTTTGCGTTTTCGTGATGAGTTCTGTTCGTTCTTTTATTGCGGGGAATACTACCTCCGCTATGTGGTCGATTCGTTTTAATAACTCATCGTGTGTCATTGGACTTGCTGGTGTTGTTCCAGGCTCGCGGTAATCCTTGAAGGCGTTTATATTTCTTGCGAACATGAGTGAGAAAGGCGCTGTGTTTAGCCTTTTTGATATTTTGTTGTTGATCGCAAGTTGTGATGCTGGTAGATAATGATCCCAGTCTTTTCCAGTTTCTTCGACTACTTTTCTGATGACTTGGATGGATGTTTGTACCCATCTTTCTGCTACGTCGTTTGCTCTAGGATGATATGGCGTTACTAGTCTATGATCTATTCTTGATTTTTCCGTGAGCTTCGCCATTAACTCATTCTTGAATTCTGTACCGTTGTTAGATTGAATGATTCTGGGAAAAACAAAGTCTCCGAATATTTGTACCAGAGTTTTTATGATGGTATCCGATTGTTTGTTCGGGATAGCTCTTAGTAGGCAGAATCGAGTGCAGACATCGACCATGACGAAGAGGTACATGTTGCCGTTATCGGTAGGCGTTAATGGTCCTGCTAAGTCAATAGCCCAATGGTCTCCTGGTATGTATACATGTATAGGTCGGAGTGGATTATATCCTTTTCTCGTTATGTTGTACTTTTGGCAAGCAGTATATCCTTTTACACACTCTAGTACATCATTTATTATGTTGGTCCAATCCATCCCATTTTTATGGGTGAGTTCGACTATGTGTTCTGCACCTAAATGTCCGAAGAGATGTGCATCTTGTATGATCTTTCTTCTTTCTTCTTCGGGTGGTGTCATATAATCTAACGATACTTTTTGTATCTGTACTTTGAATATTTTTTATTTTTATTTTTTGTTTCGTATGCTATGTGTTTGAACTTGGGGTTTTGTATGAGCTCTTTGTGCTCTTTTGATGGCTTATTCGTCGCATTACCCCCCCCCCCCCCCCTCCAGCGTGTTTTCTACGGAGAAAAGACGTGAAAGTAGATCAGGCAATTTGTTCAATACACCTGATATGTGAAGCACATCGAAGCTGTAATCCAAGATGGTATCGAGCCATTGTATCCTCATAGGGTTAGTAATTTGCTGCGTGTGTATGTATGTCAAGGCTTTATGATCCGTGTACAAAGTGAAGTGGTTGCCCACAAGAACTTGTGAAACTTCTTCAATGCAAAGACTACGGCGAGTAGCTCTCTTTTCGTAGTGGAGTAATTGCGTTCTGATTTGGAAAAAGACCTGGCCATAAACCCGATGTAGCATTTGCGTTTATTGATTATTTGATACATCACGGCGCCGATTCCAAGCTTGAATTTTTTGTATGGAGCCAAGAAGAAAAAGCTTAGGATTTTATTAAAGGTCTCTGATTGAATAGGAAAAGAGAAAATTAAAATATTTGTTTGTAAGGTTTTGTAGATTATATGATGTTTTTGGCTTTTAAATTTTATGGTTGGATTCCAAGCTTGAAGGCGTTGGTCGCTACCAGGAATAGTTGAGTTAAGTCCGGATGTTGAAGTACGGGATTACTTTGAATGATGGCTTTTAATTGTTCGAAGCAGCGTTGATGTTTATCATTCCATATGTGTTCTATGTTATTTGCTGATTGTAAAGCATCCAGTAGTGCAGTTGCGTGCGCTACAATAGGTATGTAGTATCTGAAGTAATTTATCACACCTAGGAAGCTTTGTATGTCGCGACAGGTTTTAGGTGTGGGCCATGCCATGACGTTCGTAATTTTTCTTTTGTCAATTTTTACTCCCGTTTTTATCGATAGAAAATCCTGGCAGGTACACAGATTTTTGTGCGAAATGGCATTTTTGTCGATTCAAGTTGAGGTTTACTTTGGTTAATGTTTATATAGCTTGGCACATATGTTTTGTGTGTTCTTCCAAGGTTTGGGAGAAGACTACGATATCATCTACAAATGTTTGGATAAATGGCATATCCTTGAAGATGAGTAATATAACTCTTTGAAACTTAGACAAGAGTGGCTTAAGTCCGAAAGGACATCCTTGGAACATGTATTGCATATTGTTATGAGTGAACGTTGTCTTGTGTTGATCTTGTTCTGCAATAATAAAACGGTGAAATGCACTTTTCAAGTCTAATGCTGAGAATATTGTTGCACTGGTTATAGTGTCAAAGATATCCCTTATCAAGGGTAGAGGGAATTTGTCATCACGCAAGAGCTTATTGATGTGACATGGATCCAGACAGGGTCTTTTTTCCGTTTTGTTGCCGTGTGCATCCTTTTTATCTGCCAGGGTCAATGGACTGTTCCAGGCCATATTTACCAGGGCTCTTACTGAGGTATTTGGGATTGTTTATGGGTTAGTATCTCAATATTAGAAAAAGTAGATACTGTGAGAGTGTTATTTATTAAAGAGACAAAATACTATTGTTTATATCTGTTACTATTAAAATCTCTGTAATTCAAACCCCTGTTGTGTAATGGTTGGTTTACACTGTATGAGTGTGTAGTATACATGTGCCTGGTGTGTAGCAGTTCCAGAGATTATTAACTTGCAAGGTTCATTAGAAAGAAGGAACCAGTGTTTGGTTGTGGGATCTGTTCTTCACTTAATTGTGGTGTATATATCACACTTACTATAGTGCCTTCCTTCAGCCAATTGTTTATGACTTCATCGATAACAAATCTAAGTGCATATGGCAAAGGATACTGTTGCTGATAAGTTTGGGAACCTTCAGCTGTTTTCAGTTCTACTATAGACTCTGGTACCATACAAAAAGAAGTTTTAGGGATAGCCTCATTTTCTGCTATGTAAGGTGAAATTGCTTTTCTAAATGCTTCTTATTGTTCTTTTGTATCATAGGGTGAATTATTAGGTTCTATTTTATCCTCTATATCGTTTATTTTCATCTAAGCTTTTCGTGTCCCAATCTATGGCTACACCTGTAAAGTTATTACTAGGTTAGGCATTATATCTTGTCCAAGTATAAGATCATTATCACTTTCATTTGTTTCTATTAATTTGAAAGAATGTGCGAAGTTATGACCATTGTGTGTTCTTCGTAACACAATGGTTGTTGCCTCCTCTTCTCCAACTCCTTCCAATGTGGTATTGGCTCTCTGAGTCGCACTTTATTTATTGTAAGTTTTTTTTGTTATACCCTACTCTTTACATCTTTCCAAGCCGCACAACGCAGACAACCTTAAATTAATGACAATGCCCTTACCAGTGAACAAATTGTGGAACTCCTTGGGCTTTCCTGTAAGCTCAAGGTCCAAGACAGCTCTCAAGATTGATTTGCTGTCTACGAACTCCCCAAAGAGATCTTGGACGACATGGTCAACACTTCCCATAAATGACTCAACGCAAACATCCTTAAACTCACCAAGGACTCCCTTACATATAACGGAGAAAATTGGACAAAAGGAGGAGCAGTCAACAAAATCTTTACTCCACAGCTTAAAAGGTTGCACATGGATACCCTTACCATTGTACAGGGCTGATACAAAGACGCAGACAAGCTCAGGACAGCTGCCAGTCTCGCAACAGAAATCTTTGATGACATCAAAGTCATGGTCGATGGAAAGCACAGCTCTCAAGACATGCTTAAAAACATCCTTGAGAAAACACGATGCTTGACAATCTTTGGCTACGTTACAGCACAGAATGCAGATGAAGACACTAAAGAGCTTGTCATGCGATCCCTCAATCTCCCTTCAAAAGTCAAGTATCTCGAAAATGAAGAAGATGAAGGGGACCGAGAACTGGTGCTCTCTTCCAACATGGTCAAAAAAATCCACCAGTATGACTATGAAGAGTCCATTCTCAAAGCCGCCACTCAACCTCACTCAGGCAATGCCAATGGATATCAGTGTGGAGAATATAACAAACGTGGCCAGAGCTTTCACCAGGGCCAGGGTTTTCACAATAGGTAGAAACAAGGCCACCCCAACCAATACAGGGGTGGACACCAATCAAGTTTCCAACACCCAGATACCAGCAGTTGACACAACTACACAATCACACCAGTGATTGTACCAGTCTATTAGGATCACTATTCAGTGCCTCTGAACGGGATCCTACTGGGGGTTACTTGGGACGTTTTGTCCAGACATGAAACAGTCAGACGAATCACCGGTAGCTGAAAAAGGTGGTTAAGGAGGGTTCCCAGATCCAATGGACGAGGCCTCCACGCCCGTGGAGAAACAAACCATTCAGTCTATTAGAAGGTGATCAAAAAGAGGTAGATACTGCCGTTTCAAAGTTTATTTAAGCTGGCATTATAGAGTGCTCACAAGAGCAAAGTCACAACTACCTGTCAAATATGTTTATTATGCACGAAGCAGACAAGAAAAGGTTGATTCTAGACTGCAAGCAAATAAATTAATATGTACAGTGCGAGCACTTCAAAATGGAAGATGTTTCCACACTGAGATAAATGATACTTCCAGACGATTTATTGACAAAAATCGACCTGAAGGATGCCTATGTAGTGGTTCCTATTCACTCAGAGTCTTGCCCTTTTCTCACCTTCCAACACAAGAGTACAGTATATCAGTATCATTTTTTATCTTTTGGATTCAGTGTCCCCTCATATGTGTTCTCGAAACTCATGAGATATGCATTAGAATCATTAAGACAGAGGGGCATACGCCTAGTTTATTATCTAGACGATATATGTTTGTTGGGAAGAGACAAGACCAAAATTTGAATCGCATACAAAGCAGGTCATCCACCAGCTGACATTGTTGGGATTTATAATCAACTGGAAAATGAGCGTTTTAACACTCTTGACGAAACAAGACTTCTTGGGGTTCACGTTCAACACGAAGAAAATAATGTCAACCATACCAAAAACAAAATTGAGCAAGCTCGAGTCTCGTCTCCAACAAGTCACATCTCAAACCAGGACCTGTCAGTGGATTACTTCTTTATTGGGGAAGATTACATCTATGATTCCAGCAATTGGGGATGCGTTGCTCAAGATCAGATATTTGCAATAAGATTTACCGAGAGCATTGCAGACAAATTCAGCAAAATGGGAAGCACCGCGCAAGATGACAACCAAAGCAAAAGAGGAAGCTCAATGGTGGTGTACATTGGCCGAAACCAAGAACGGATTACCCATACAGCCACCACCCGCTCCACTGCCAAGTGTCACAGTGTATATAGATGCCTCAGATATGGGGTGGGAAGTGACCTCAGAACAGATAGAGACATTGGGTTTCTGACGACCTTAGGAAAAAGATCTATCCATCAATGTTTAGGAATTTTTGACTATTCTTTTTGCAGTAAAACTCCATGCTTCAAAAAACAGAAACTCAACAATCCAGATTTTCTTGAACAATATCACAGTAATCAAATATGCCTCAAAATTGATGGGTACAGCATCCGCAATTCTTCAACGCATTGTCTTGGAAATAAAAGAGATAACTTGCAAGGTTCAAATACATCTCAAGGTAAACCATATTGTGGAGGTAAATAATATACAAGTAGACGCACTAAGCAGACAGAGGCGACCAGTTCATGAGTAGAAGCTTCCTCAAAGATTCTCCAATGACATAACCACCAAATGGGGAAGAATGTCAATGGATATGTTTGCTGCACATCACAACAACCGATTACCAGTTTATTGGAGTTGAAAACCAGATCCACAAGCTGCAGCTTGAGATGACTTCAAGCAAGTCTGGCTGAAGACAGAATTATATCTACATCCTCCCTGGAAATTGGTTCCGCAAGTAATCTACAAGTTGTGCAGGGACAAAGTAAGGTCGGTGGTTCTGGTGATATCAGATTGGTCAGTACAACACTGGTGGCCAATAGTAATGAAACAAGCTATGGCAAAACCATGGAGGATGACTATTAACAAGCACCTTATCTTGACTGCTTAGAGGTTTTCCACCTCGCCAGAGAAAAACAAGGATTCTCTAACCAAACCACAGCTTTTTTAAAATGAGCAAATTGAGATAATACCAACAGAAGGTATGACTGTATGTGGCGTAGGTGGGTGCTTTGATGTGAAGACCAAGTTCCATCAGTAGACCTCTGTCAGTATAATATCAATGCTATGGTCAACTTCTTGATGGCCCATCAAAAAGACTTGACTCAGTATCTGAATCTGATGAGATCAGCGGTTGCTTTGGTGTTTCGTGTTTTGTGGCCAGACAAACCAAATCTTATGATGCAAGAACCAATTGCAGCATTTTTTATGGCAAAGCATAAGTCAGAGATAAAACCACCATCTTGCAATCAAGACAAAATTTGGTCACTGAAGTCCGTCCTCCAATTGTTGAATTCTTGGGACCTTACAGATGATTTATCTCTTACACAACTCCAGCAAAAAACTGTCATGCTACTTTGTCTTGCAACAATGTGGTGTCCTCAATCAAATATAGGTAGACTACAGTATCAGGATGTGACATGAGTATACACTAATGCAATAATAACAGAGATAAAACTGCTAGCAAGAGAACCCAAGGAGGTCCAATGGAAACAGTCAAAACTAGGGATTACCCAAGAAAGAAACTTATTTTCTGTGATCACTTTGCAAATGTTTGTGTAAAAACAGGACTTTTGGCTCATTATTCCAAAAGAACATATCTTGTTCCTCACGTATCTAGATACAGAAAAACTTTCAACTTCTATCAAACTAGCCACAATTGCTAACATTGTCAGGAACACTTTGATACAATGCGATGTCAGCACTACCATATTCAATTCACATTCAACAAGAGCTGCCACAAGTACTGCAGCAGTACAAGGTTGCATAGATATAGTAGCCATCAACGCTAATCCTAGGGAGACGACGTTTCCAGATAGGAGACGACGTTTTCAGGTCGGAGACAACATTTTGATTTTACCGGACCACAAATCGTGACTTGCTTTCCGGCATTAAATAACTACATCTGGTCCCTAAGGATTCATACTTATCATAATAAAGATACTTTAATGCAAGACAAGATAATGGCTTTGGCTAAATGTAAAAGCATCATAGTAAGTATGTAATTTTATACATATATATATACAATATATTCATACATTATTTTATATATGTATATAATAATAAAATGGATGCCTATCATGCTACTTTAAGACAGTATACCCTAATAAAAAATGTCGTCTCCCACCCTGGAAACGTCGTCTCCCACACCTATTTGTCGGGGTTTATACTTTGACCAAAAGGTCATCTCCCATCTTTATATGGCTGAGTTTAGAATCTAGTCAAAACGTTGTCTCCCACCTGGAAACGTTGTCTCCCAAAAGTCACAACTTTTCATATCTTGTCTGTTAAAAATAAAACCTTTATAATTTGAATTTCTTTATTAAATACTATAATAAGGTTATTATATTTTTTAATATAATAAATATTACCTCTTTTTGATATTTATTTAAGATAAAAACTAATAAAAACTGCTAAATCTTCTTCAAAAAAGAAAAAACGAGTCGCAAAAATGTCTGAGGATAAATATAATATTAATAAATTTCGCATATTTTAAAAAATGTATCTAATAATTATAAAACAAATATAGTTTACATTTAAAAAACATATCTCATGGCTCTTTCCACTAACACTCTGGAACCACCAGAGGTCAAAAACCCCTCCACCACTGGCTCATCTCCACCATTGGCAACCTCATTCACACCAATCTTACCTACTCTGACACCACTATACTCACAAGTAGCTACACAGAATGCACCTCCACTCACCGAAAAGCAACCACATGTTATCTTTAGCTCTACAAATAACACAACCCCACATACCTGGCATGTAGGGTCCTCTAAGTTCTCTGTATTCTTTACTGCCCCACCAAAAACGTCACCCAACTTCGACCCTTTCTGGAGAGCCCTTCTCGCAGCTTACCCTCGCAAAGTTAACATGGGAATCACTCTTGGATCTCGCTCTTCCCCTGATACATGCGAGCTCCACCTGGCTACCAGTGCTGACTGTGAGAGAGCGTGCTCTCATCCTTTGGTAGTCGGTGTTTCATCTTTTCCCGCTCAACTGACTGTTCCCATTGGCACAATTGTTTGCCGTGTTTTCCTGACCAAGCTTCCTCGTGTCCCCTATCCGGAACTTGCTGCACAGCTCACAAAATGTATGTCTCCTTTTGGTAAAGTGCGTGAGATTGCCGTTCACAAAACGTATGGGTTTTTTGACGGCTCTGGATATGTTGTCCTTGCCAACACCCCCACTGACGAGGTGCCATCCGATTCCCTGACGTACCAAATAGCATACGATGCTATGCAAAAGATACTTGGTAAGTGGCCTTCGATGGGCTCCCACTGCACTTATTGCAAGGAAATGGGACACAAAGTCACCCAGTGCACTAAGCGCCCAGCTGAAACCCAAATGTGCTTTGGATGCAACAAGATCGGCCACCTGCAAGCCAATTGCCTGCACTCCTCCGATCCATCCAAGACTTCTAAGACCTCAAACAAGCACTTCCGTCACCCCCACCGCAACGTTAAGCTCGATCGACCTATCCGCAAGCCTAAGCCTCTGATTCCGACTGCACTCTTGCTCACCTACGGAGGATCTGAGGCTTCCAAGCACAATCCGCACAAACCTGCTTTGCTTGAGTCTGCAGAACTAACCCTACCAGCAACCCTCCCTGCCATCATGACAACATCTGCGACAACTATGTCCTCCAGCCCTCGTCCCCAAAGTCGTTCTGTTGACACTCCTGCGAAGGGCTGGGATGATGAGATAGACGATGACATAATCACTGACTTCACGGATAGAGTTGAGGCTTGGACTCTCTGTCTTCAGAATGCCTCTTGCCTCCCTCATCTCCAGTTTTCTTGGACAGTACGTCCAATAGGCCGCAACACATCCCTATCACCTCCTCGCTTCACTCCCCCACATAGCAAGAAAGCCCTTGACGCAGAGGCCAAGATTAACCAATGATAAAAATAGGCACAATGAACTGTAGGGGTCTACTCAAAGTTGGACACTCTGAATCATGCTCCTTTTTTATATGCCACCTATGCTCTCAAGGAATTGATATACTAGCCCTGCAAGAAACCCATGCCTTCTCTTCTATGCTTCAAAACACTTTTGACCAACAATTTCGGTCATCTTCATCTTTATGGTTGCCACACTGTGGTGTTGTATGCCTCTCCCCCCATATTATTCTCACAGACCCTTTATTTAGTCCTTGCGGCAGGTGCATCATTACAACTGTCACTCATACTGACAATAAATTTTCTCCATTCAAGATGGGTGTCATCTATGCTCCCACCTCTTGAACTCCCCACTATGATTTTCTTTCTTCCTTACTGTCGACACCTGACCTCATTCCATCCAATCCTTCCAACTTCATTTTATTAGGTGATTTTAAGCATGCCATTCACTCTAACTATGCTCTCGGACGTCGTGGCCCACTAGCATGGCTCCAGTTTCTGGACAACCATATGGTTGACTGTGTCACTCCTCCTGGCCAGAACCCACAACCCACCTTCTATCGCGCCTTGTCTTCCACTACAATCGACTATATTCTTGCCTCTCCTGATCTTCACCCTCGCACTACTGACTCCCAGGTGAGATATATTCACCAAAACTGGTCCAATCATTGCCTGTTGACCATCCGCTTGGCTTTCCCTTCCACCCAATCCTCTGGTAAGGGACTTTGGCGTGCTAACCCCCAACTTGCCAGGTTGACATCTTTCTGCACCGACGTCAACACTCTTCTATCCACCCTCATCCCTGCCCTTCCCGCAAACCTCTCTCCTCAAGCACGATGGGACTCGATAAAGAGCGAAGTCATACGCTTTATCAAGTGTTTCTCTCGCCACCTCCAACCCTCTCTCACCGACCTGGAAGCAAGCCTGCAACAACAGAGAGACAGACTAATACACCGTTTTTGACACCAGCCTGCACAGAATTTTTAGCTGCCTATTGTTGAGTGGCTTCTGCAGCAAGTCCAACTCGAACGAGTGGAGATCATGTTCCTTAGGGCTGGGAAACACTGGTGGGAACAAGGTGAGACCTCTGCTGGATATCTCAAGCGCACCATTGCCACTCGTCAGTCACGCAAGTCAATTGCCAGCCTTTGCCACCCTGCAACAAACAAAATATGTTCCACCCCGAAAAGATGACCAAAGCAGCTGCCGCCTTTTATGAAGGCTTGTATACCCCGGACCCTATTGACCAATCTGCTCTGGACGACCTGCTCTCTCACCTGCCTTCTGACCTTGGTCTGTCAGACAGTCAGCAGACTGCCCTCACTCGTCCTCTGTCATTGTCTACTATTCGCTCTGGTTCGTTGCGCACTCCAGCCTCTAGCAGTCCCGGTCTCAATGGCTTACCCTATGAGATCCTTCGCTTGATACTAGACCACCCAGTCTGTGGTGATCTGGTTTCAGAAGTCTACAACGACGCCCTATCAAAAGGCATTTTTCCGGAATCCTGGCAATCCACCTGCATTTGCCTGCTCCCAAAAAAGGGCGATCTCACCTCTTTGAAGAACTGGCGCCCAATTGCCTTGATCAACACCGATGTCAAGATATTTACCCAATTGCTGAATGCTTGCATGATTCCCATGGTCACTTCACTTGTCTCTCCTTACCAGACAGGGTTCGTTCAGGGTTGCTTCATCGCCAATAATGGAATGCTGACCAGGCTGGTCATGGCACAAGCCGCCAAGGACGGATCAGCTGGTGTTGGACTTCTCCTTGATCAGGAGAAAGCATATGATAGAGTACATCTGGAATATTTTCGCCAAGTACTGACACACTTTCGATTTCCCTCCTCTCTTGTCACCTCGATCTCTAACCTCTTCTTTTCTACTAAATTGCAAATAAATGTGAATGGCTTCCTCTCGCACCCTTTGCCTCAATCTCGGGGACTACGCCAAGGGGACCCTCTCTCCCCTATACTGTTCAATCTAGTTTTTGAGCCTCTACTATGACGAGTGATCCATGACCAGTCCTTCTCGGGCTTTCAACCATCTGTTCCTGCTGGTCTTTCTCCTCTGTCACCGATCAAACTCCTTGCATACGCTGATGATTTACTTGTTTTTCTTTCTGACACAGGGCAGTTGTCTTGCCTCCACACCCACCTCAACACCTATGCTGCGGCTTCTAACACCTGCGTAAATCTTCACAAGACGCAGGCATTTTCACTTTTGGGCTCACCCCTGCCAGACTGGTCCTCACATCTACGGACCCACAATATTACGAATTGGCATGACCGGACCTCCTCCTCTTCTCTTTGCTATCTGGGATATCCAATTTTCTCCTCCATTGCCCAACGAGACTCATTTGGTCAGGCCCTTCTTTCTAAGATTGAGAATAGCTGTATTCTACACAGCTCATGCACCCTGTCCTTCCGCGGCCGTGCCACTGTCATGAACTCTCTCATTCTCGCCCAACTTTGGCATGTCTTGCACGTAGTATCCTTCCCCGTCTCTTTTCTCAAAAAAATACGCACTCTGATGCGCCGTTTCTTCTGCTTCTGTTCGTTCCCCCCCATTGCTTTGGACACCCTCTGCCTTCCTTGCTTTCAAGGTGGTCTTGGCATCCTCGACCCAATTACACAGCAATGCGCTCTTCAGCTTCGTTGGCTCAAGCCAATAATCCAGAACCCATTGGGTCCCTGTGGTTTGGTCCCCAAATGGATGGCTTCTCTCCTTCGCACTGAGAATACAGATTGTGATCCCCTTCTACTTTGGATCTTCCCAGACTCTAGACCTCGCACCCATTGCTCACTGGATTCGCCTCTTCATCTTGTTCTGAAGGCCATAGACCACCTCCCGCACAAGTTTGATGACGTCCTCACAAATCTATCCACATGCCTTATGTTGCCCTTGTCCTCCATGGTTAATAGCCCTCCCTCTTGTCCGCCCTACTGACAATCTTGGCAAGACCTGAAGGTTAACCACCTATACCAAATTGATCATAATTTGGACGTCCTGATGCCCATTGCCCCTGCTAGACCTCTTCCTCGATTTATCACTCTTAATTGTATTCTACAAAGACTTCTCAACCATTCACTTGTGGCTCACCCTATCCTTTTCAGAGCTTGTATTCCTACATTCATCCTAGAATCGCGACATTTGGATATGCCTCCTCAAGATGGGTCCCCCTTTGACTTTGATCCCTTCATCTCTGCTCTGGTCCTCGGCAAACCTTGGTCACACTTGTCCACGCGCTCTTACCGGCTGACCTGTTCTCATCATCATGCTAATGCTCAACCACTTAGTCCCCATCTTAGCCCTCGCCAACTGCACTCTTTCTGGTCTTTCGCACTTCCTTACCGGGCCCGTAATGTTTGGTTTCGCGGCTTACACAACAAACTATCTTGCCAAGCTCTTCTGCACCACATTATGCCCTTCACTGTTTCTTCACCTCTCTGCAATATCTGCCAGATGTCAATCGAGACGCAAGAGCATTTTCTTCTTTCTTGTCCTTTGAAATCTGTGGTGTGGTTAGGCATTTGGTTAGAATTTTTTGGCACCGTCCCACCACCTTCTGCACTTTCCTCGGCATTCACATCCTTTCTCTTCCCTCTCACGCTGAACTCTAGTATTCCAGCCACCTCGGTTTTTGGACTGACCATCCTTGCTATCTGAGACCACCATTGGGCACTCCACTTTAACTCTGCTCCTTTTTTACCTTCCTTGGTTCTTGCCACTGCTAGGAAATCAATTTCCCGCATCTGCTCAGAGCTCAAGCTTGACTCCGCTGACACTTCCCTTGCATAACACCACATTAACATTTTAACAAAACAAAAAAAAAGTTTAAATCACACAAAAACAAGTCAAAAACCAAAAAGCCAAAAACATCAAATAACACCCATAAACCCTCAAAACAAATGTTGTAATTTTCTCTTTTGCCCTACTCATTCAGAGAACTTTAATAAATCTGAGCCTGTCACAGCTCCATACAAACAAAAAAATAAAAAACATATCTTAGATAAATTCCAAGTCAATTAGAATTATTATTAATAACTAGACACTAATATGCTTACTTTTTTATATAATTCTTATATATTGTTATATGGTAAAAAAGCAAAAATAGTATAAAATTATTGCATAAAAATGGTAGCTAAAGTCGAGTATTTGTAAAATATACGGTGTATTTGGGTCCCGTCAACAAATCACATACTTACTGTTGCTAATGAGTAATATTTTTACGATTTAACTTGAGACATAAATCATATATTTTTATTTTATGTGATTTAAGTGGAAAAGATTATACTCCATATAATTTGCATTTTTTTTAAAAACTTTCATAATGGATATAAAGGTAATGAAGCCTTTTATGCCTAAGAAAGTTTGCATAGAAGTTAAGCAAATATATATTTACAAAATTTATGTTTTTATTCTTTATTTTTTTATTTTTATTTCTTCTGTAAAAACTCTTTCTATCATTTCCTCACAACATATACATGAGATACTTTATCAAAAATACAAAAAATTAAAAAAATATTCATAAAGGACCAAAAAGAGTTTTTAATTACATATATTCAGATAATATATGAATTCAGTAAAAGTTTCATAGAAAACAAATGAGAAAAAAGTGATTCTACAAGCAAATACAATATTTTATTTTATTGAAAAAACAAATTTTTGAGATATTATGTTAGTTTTCTCATGATCGACCTTTTCAATTCAACTAAAACTCTTAGAACACATACATATATCTATACACTACTTGGATGCAAATTTATAGAGAGCCAGCGCTTGAATTGATGAAATAGATAGATGTAAATGCATAATATAACATATTTGAAGATAGTTTGGCTCGATCTGTGTAGCACCATCCAACATTTATACTTTTTAATTCGCTGGATATAAGTGTAACTTGAAGGGTAAAGTACTTCCCACGAATGATCTCTAGGAAAAAACAGAGTGGAGAGTCATTTAACCTACAAGTGATAGATAGCTTATGTTGACGCAAAGAAACAAATTGATAAGATTTATAAAGATTTAAAAAAGATTGTCTAGCTAATAAAATATAGGTAATAAAGTATAATTAAAAGAGTAAAAAAATAGAAAAGAATATTGAAAAGAAATTATTTTGGAGTAAGATCAATTGGTTCATCTCGCTGTGAATAGAGAGAGAGCATGGCATTTCTGCGGTCATTCTTATTAAATTCTTTGAGCTTATTCCAGTAAGTATCAAAGTTATCATCAATCTTATTTCTGGCACAACCTAAAGAAAATAATTTGGGAACGGTTGGCCATTTTCTAGAGATATTACGGGAAAGGTCAACTGTTGTCCAGTGATTACTGTTAACATGATTAAAAATCAGAGGTTGTTGTTGTTTGGTGTTGTTGTTGGGAAGGGCAAATGGAAGAAAGGTTGTTGAGGAGGTGTTGGGACTGTCTGAGTAGACGCAGACTGGTCATGTATATGTGTCCGCAGCTAGTTGAGCACAGCCAGGTGTGTTAAACCACATACTGTCATCTGAACATACTGGGATGAAGTTGGTGTTGGTGTTGGTGTTGGTGTTGGTGTTGCTGATGTTGCTATAATCGAGTTGAGAGCCATGTTGAATAATTTTTTCTAGTTGGCTTGTGTCAGTGCCAAAGGTATTTGCTTACAATGGTTTGTATTTTGGCAGGGCGGCTAGCATATCCCTTTTTACAAGAGGAAACTTATTTTGATCTTTGTAGATCAAGTGGGCAAGGACCCAAAAATCACACCATCCGTCAGCAGTAGGGCTAAACCCACCCTTGACATCATCGATTATCTCATGAGAGACAGGAAAACTGGACTGGAATTTGATCCTCTTGCCAACAGAGGTGCGATTATCATACTGGTAGTCTTCTAAGGCAGTGGCAGGTCTTTTGAACCCATTTTTTTTGGGGGGCATCGACTAAAAAATATATAAGTATAAGACGATATTTCTCTTTATGGATTCAATTACACTGTAAAATAAGAAAGCATATTACCTAGGTCGAGAGGCTCTTGTTTTACTTGTTTTGTTTTGTTTTTGGTGGCATCGACTAAAACGAATATTAGTATTAGTATTAGATTACTTTTAATAAATTCAATCACATTGTAAAATAATAGCGCATTTTACCTGGGTCGAGAGGCTCCTTTTCAATTTGTTTTGTTTTGTTTTTGGTAGCATTGACTAAGAAAGTTGTGTATATATAAAACAAGAGTTCTTCTCATAAACTCAATTAAACTTTAAATTAAAAACGCATCTTACCTGAGTCAAGAGGCTCTTTTTTGATTTTTTTAATATTTTTGTTTTGTTTTCTTGTGACCTTAAGGCCAGATAAACTCTTTTCAACCATCTTTGTAACCTTTCATTGGTACATTGCCTTAATCCTGGCCTATAATTCCATTAAGATAATTAGTTTTGTCCTATGTTTAATATAAGTAAATTACAAAACTTACAGTTCCAGCCAAGATACTTGTCTTTCTTCACATTGGGTGACCAAAGTCCTTTGGCAAGTATTTAGGACGGCTGCTGCCTTTGCGTCTTCCTGGATACTTGACGTTCTCTGGTGCTTGCAGTTTGATAGGAGAATGACTTTTTGCCATCAAAGTCATTTACAGCTTTTTTCACTTTTTTTAAAAGATCAGCAACTTGCTGGCTGCCTTTGCAAGAGCGGAATAAAGCTTCAAGCTTAATGATTTTACTCATCCACTCCTTGGGTTTTTCAATGACAGGAACTTGCATATTTGGCTGATTCCATGCCTTGTCTTCCTTTCTAGCATCAATAACCCATCTATCTGGTAGATCAGAGATTTGAAGATCTCTTTCTACTGGTAGGATATGGTGACAAGGTAGGCCATATTGAACTTTGTTCATGCAATAGCACTTCTCATCATCTTCTGGTAAATGGAGCTCCTGGTCAAGTACAAGTAATGCTCACTTTGACACCTTCATGAAGAGGTTTGAGAGACATTGGTTTCGTCCAACAAGAGCATCGATCATGTTCGTTTCTCTTATCCTTGTTGCTTGGAAATCTATCTCTAGCCTTCAATGTATTTGGCCACACTCTCAAAGGCCAATCCCAGAGAAGAAATAGCAGAGATGCCTCTCTTAAAAGCTTGATGAGCACTTTCTACTCGCTGAGTAGTGGTACACCTGAAATGCATAAGCTTGCTAGTGATATACCCTGCCCACTTATCCTTGCAATTCAACCACCTTTCAGAGAAGTAGGTTGATGCTGGTGCTCTGGCCTTGCCATCATCTACTTCTAGCCTAGCACAAGCGTTGTTAAACTTTAGGAGAGCCAAGTTGAACTCCACCTTAGTTCTACTATGGATCATACAGCTTACATGATCCATAAGCTCTTCTTTCTTGGCTACGGACTTCATTTTCCCAGAGAAAGCTTTCTCCACACTGTCCAGCATATGCCAGTAGCACAAAAGCTTCTTGTTTTCTGGGAAAACAGTGTCAAGTGCATTCATTAAAGCAGAACACTTGTCTGTTACAAACAGAGTGGTTGATTGCTTGTTCTCAAAAACAAGTGCCTTGATTTGTTCCAAAAACCAAACATAAGAACTGGTTTGCTTATTGGAAACCCAGGCAAATGCAATTGGAAAAGATTTTAAGATTTCCCCTCCAAGATTGTGAACACTCTCGATGCAAATAAGAGGCATTCCCAAGTTGTTTGTTGAGTATGTTGCATCTACCACCATAACTTCGGAGAGTTTCTGGGCTCTTTCCAACATTTTGGGGTGGCTAAACAGGATTCTCTCAAGACACCCACTCTTATTAGTCTCATAGCAAACTTGGTAACCCTTCGACTCCATAGCTTTGATGAGCTTTGTTCCATCATTCTGAAGAGTAGGAGCAGAAGCACGAGTATATGCTACCTTCATGTTATCAATGTCTTTAACGTACAACTTATGGCCAGGGTATGTTTTGTCTTTGATTGTTTTTTGAATCTCACGAGTCTTGGTATTTGTCTCGATAAGCTTTGTTATCATGATAGAATCTTCTGTTGTAACTCTTGAGAGTCTGCCCTTCAAAATAGACTCCATACATTCATCGTCAAGGGGATGATTGTGGAAGGCTTCGATCTCATGAGTGGCCTTCAAGAGAAAGTATCTTTTGGCTGCCTTCTTATAGGATACCTTAAGGAGATACGGGCACCCAATCATTCCACTAGAAGGAATTTTCTTATGGTTGTTGTCGTCAATCTTTCGGGTGTTTTTATAGTGACCACCCTTAGAACACTTCAAGTTAACTCGAGTTGGTTTACCATTTTTGATGACAAGTGCGAAGTTGTTGGCGAGGGCATATTCTTGTATCTTTGCAATAGCCAGCTGCATGTCATTATAACCATTAACTGGTGGGATGGGGAGAGGTTATTGGACAGGAAAATGTTCTTTTCCATTAAAAAAACGGATTTCTTTATTGATAGGGTTCATATTGAAGTAAATTCTAGAAAGTACTTATTAACATCATGATTTCTAATTGCTAATCTGCAATGAGCAAAGTAATGTCTTTGATATCTCTGAGAAAGACATTATTCTCTAATACATTTGATTAGTAAGTTCTTACAAGATAAGTAAATAATAGAAAAGAAGGTTTTATAATCAAATATTGGATTAAGAATTTCAGGACACACCATTTTGCCCTGAAGGATTGGAGAGAAGACATCGGGCCCCAGACAGATAGTCACAATCAATTAGTCCGGTAAAGTCAAAATGTTGTCTCCCATCCTAAAAATGTCGTCTCCTTAGGATTGCTGAGCCATCAAACATCATGCTAACTGGTCTCTCACAAGCAGCACCTTTGAGAGATACTACTATAAGCCAAACTCCCAGTATAAACAAGCAGCAGAGATGATAAACCGGATTTTTTCTATGGATACAACAAATAATATCATACCGGAAGGAGTTGAAGAAGAGGAGACAACAATCATTTTGTTACAAAGAACACATAGTGGAAACGTTGTTGACAACTCAACAATGACTGAGGATGTGGTGACTGCCCACCCATAGTATAGGATGTTGTTTTAAAACACAGAGTAGTTTTTTTTGCTTATAATAGTCATCAGACTAGTTTTTTCTGCCCTTTACCACAGAAAAAATATGATAGATAGCACTTCTTAAAAAGATGTAAAGAGTAAGGTATAACAAAAATTTTATAATAAATAAAGTGTGGCTTGGAGAGCCAATACTGCATCCTCAGTTGTTGTTGAGTTGTTGGCAACACACCTATTAGCATAAGTCACTTCTAATGGTACAGTTTGTTGTAAACGTTTTGAAATTTGATTCTTTCTTGCAAAAACTAAATATTCTTCTACATTGACAATTGGCAATTTTATTGAATTATAGAAGTGTATGTCCCGACAGAACCTGTCCGCCCCCATGTCCAAGTGACATGGTGTGTGTTCTTTTGGTTCCACTCAAACCACGAATATCCTGCAAAGAAGTATGATGCTCTTTGCAGAATTTCCTTCAATCCCCTTGCACAAGACATACCCTTATGCATTGTATTTCATCATTGGTACTGCTTTAATAAAGCTTTATAACAAAGTAGTATAGATTGTTCACATATAAAAGTCTTCAGATGAAGCAATAATAAAACAGAATCCTTATCTATCTTTATTTTATTGATCAAATCCTTTACTTTACTTTTGTTTATACATTTATTTCATTGTCACTGACTTATAACAACTCTTCGCGATAGTTATAAGCATACTTCTTGTTATATTTGTTCTTTTCTATACACATTTTATTACATCTCCTTACTGTTGGATAGACCCAAGCGTTATCACAGTAATTCATCTCTATCTCTCTATATATTTGTCTTCTGAACTCGTTGGTAACCCTATTCTCATTTATTATTTTTCTGACAAAGTTGCACCACACCAACTCAACACTTGTCACAAGAGCTCAATTATTTTATGTTCATTCTATAAGATGATAGATATTTGCAGTGAGAATAAATTCTTTTTATTCAGATTATTCTTATTGATGTTTTTACCAAAGGATGCACTTTCCAGTGTGCTGGTTATGCACTCCATGGGGTCTGTGTTCTTTTGCTTGGTGGTTTTGATAGAGATGTTGTTTTGTTTTTGTAGATATTCTTTTGATTTTAAGTATTTTTGGAATTTGTGCTTGTAACTCCATAGCTTGGCGCAGTGACAGCAGTTTTGTTGACTAGCTTTGTTTTTAGTTAGAATTTTACAGTCATTTATATTATTGTGGTATTTCAGATTTGAAACAGTAGAAAATAATAATTTTGAAAACGAAGATGTATAGAAATACTTTGAGATTATATATAAGCTGTTCTTTATTCATAAATAAAAAGTTTTTTTTATATGAGAACACAGTATACTCTTATTATTACATCTTGTTTTCTTAAGGCTTTCTTCTTTTACTATATTTGGTTATTAGAGTGTATTTACTACTTAACTAGTGTCGGTGTTAGAATTATGATATCAAGTAATAAATTATACTTCTTTAGCTCTTAGCTATTCTTTTCTATTTTATACTAGAGCTTTAGAACTTTCTACTAAATTAGCTTTATACCAACCTGACACAGTTTATCCAGCAGTATGATATAATTATCTTAACAATATTTAAGATATTATCTACAGTGCTAACTGTAATAATTATTGGCCTGATTACTTAATTGTTTATATATATTTTATACTGACAAGATGATAGCTACTACACTATCCCAATATGAATATGTTCTTATATGTGATAAATCCAATATCCAAGTGTCTGGATCACCACATTGCAAATCATTTTGAGATTTGTGATATGAGAAAGAAAAAGCCATCTATGAGTAACCCCCAATTGGCTGAATGGGCAAAGGAAACCTTTGGTCTTCAAAAAGCTTCTGATGCTTCTACAATCTCAAAGATTTTGAAGAGAAAAGACCAGGGCTTATAATGCAAGCCGATGTAAAAAACAGAAAGTGTATTAGAAAAGGAAAATAGTCTATATGTAATATATCTCAACATTATGCATTTTTGCTCTGTATAAAAAATAAAATTAACCTTATTATATTATCACACAACTATAGCAAATTGAAGAAGCAGTGATTCTTTGGATCAACATTGCTAAAAATAATCAGATTCCCATCACTTGGGAATTGATTAAGACTAAAGCTACTATTTTTGCTGAAAGAATAGGCATTAAAGACTTTAGTGCTTCTCAAGGCTGGATAGAGAAGTTTGGAAAGCGCCATTGCATTAAAATGAATTGAATTCATGGTGAGGCTGGTTCTACTGATATAGAATCACTTCAGATTGACAAGGCTGCCATCAAAGAGAAGATAGAGAGATATAGTGCTCCTGACATATATAACTTTGATGAAACAGCACTCTTTTATACTGCCCCACTAAGAACAACAATTTCTCACCAGAAATTTTCTGGTTGGAAAGATAAAAAGAAGCACCTAGCTGTAGGTCTCTTGTATAATGCGGATGAAATGTATAAGTGGTCCAATGTACTGATGATTGGGCATGCAAGAAGACTAAACTGCTTTAACAAGAACAATAAGAAGCAAGAAGCAAGTGATCATGGATTCTCCATGTATCATTACAATAGCAATGCTTGGATGACAAGATCAATCTTTCATGTTTTCTTCTGTTGCTTTGATCATGCCATAAAAGCTCAAAAGTGCAAAGTTCTTTTGATTCTCAACAATTTCTCTGGTCATATAGTTGATTATACACTTACAAATGTTGAGCTTCTTTTTTTGCCACCAAACACCACTTCTCATCTTCAGCCATTGGATAGTGATATTATTTGGACATTTAAGGCTTATTTCAAGCATAAGCAGTATTCTAAGGCATATCAATACATTGGCATAATTCAAAATGGCAATCAAGATAAAATTGGACCAATTGATAAAATCTTTGAAATTGATTAATTTTGGGCCATAAAATAAATAAGAGAGACTTGAGAATCTGTCTTGGCAAAGACTATTAAGAACTGCTGGAATGCAATAATCTTTTGCTTTATTGAAGACGAAGATAGTAAAGGTAGTAGTAAAACAATTTATTGGTTATAATAGTAGTATAATCTTTTAATTCCACTTTCTTAATATTCTAAATATAATTTATAGATGTAAACCAGGCTATGATTCAGTAAAGTCTGGCTGAAAAGGTTCTGGTCGAGGGCTTACAAGAAACCCTAGACAAGATTGTTAGATTAGGTCTTCTGTCTCTGGAAGATTGCCCAACAAATGAGTCTGATCCACTCTATGAGAGACAATGCACTCATAGAGTGGTCAATGAAAATGAGATTGCAGATATTGTGATAGAAGAATATGATGCCAACAAAAATGCAGCCAACAACAGCAATGAAGAAACTGCTAAAGTGGAATCAGCAGTTTTTTTTTAGAGAACTTATTCTGTTTTGGAAAAGTTTGAGTGTGTTTGCACGCTTTTGAATATCTTGAAAGACAAATATATTGACAGAGACTTGGTCAGTAAGGTTGAAGGCCTTTGAAACAAGTTCCAGAAAACTGCGAACTCAAAGCAAACTAAAGTCACCAGCTTCAGATCTTTTTAAAATTTATTCTTTTTCAAATAAAATAAAAACAATTTTCTATAAGAAATATATTTTTCTTTATTTAAAAATAGAAAAAAAAAGTTAGCAGTCAAGTACAGTCAAAGCTTGATTTTGTAATATGTTTGTAAATAGTAACTTGCAAATAACAATAAATGGTAATGACAGATAGAAATAATAAAATCTATAATAAAAACTTTTATAACAAAACAAATTAGGATTATATTTATATTTTTTAAGTAAATAATCTTTACTAAACAATTAATAAATGAAACTTAATCAAAATATAGTACATATAGCTTTATTTTATTTCCGAAAAAAAAAATTAAAAAAATTAAGCTAGATGACAACTTGATAACCCAGTGTTTGGCATGCAAACTTAACACACTTGACATTAATATCAATTACAAAATTATGAAAAGCTAAAATTAAAACAATTTAAATCAAGATGTAACTATATTGCTCTCGTCTGATTGGCTAATTTTTTTTCTTTAAGGATTCAAGGACAAAAAATTTTGTGAAAGTGAAATTAAAGAGAATTATGAAAGTTAAGCCCTATTTTTCGAGTTGGGTCTTCAGAGCCTTGAAAAAATCGAAGTGTGAAATTAAAGGGGTGTGAAATTATTGAGGGACCACTGTAATGTCTGACAAAAGCTAATTTTGTTGTTTTCGATCTGGGTTGTTCTTCCAATGCTATAACACAGCCAAAATTGGTCAAACCCATTGGGAATTGTAAGTGAAGATAAAAGAATAAAAAGAGGATAGAAAGATAGATGAATTTTATTGAATTAAATAACACTCTATTTTATATTTATTCTAAACCTACTCAGTCATTATAAATATCTGTTTCAGTTTCTACTCTACTTTTGTTAAGCTATGTGCTTTCTAATTCTTTTGTGAGCAAAAGGATGTCAGAGTTGACATTGGTGAACAAAATTGGTAGTTATAAGCAACTAGTAAGAGTTTACTTTTTAGAATAAAAGATCTTGACTTTGCCAATTGGTCTTTTATATATGTTTTAGATGTTTAAGATGGTAAATATACTTGTAGAAGATATTACGAGACAATAAGCATCTAAGACATATTATTGTAGCTATTCTTTTAGCTAGAAATCAAATAGCATTTTGTATAAATAGTCAAGAAATATATTTAATAAAAAGCATCTTGGATTCTATTAAAAAACTATTTATAAACTTGACAATTCCCAGTGGTATTGATTCTGCGACTTAGTTACAAGTGCCAGAAAAGAAATACCAGATCGAGACTTGACAAGAAAATCAATTTAGCCATATCTCCTTATTTTATCTTATGGAGAGTTTGAATTAGTATTTAATTTAGTCATGTGGCTTTCTAACTTTAATGACAGACAGTGGCTTTTGCATCCCACACATGGCATTTTTTTTAACAAATAATCATTTCCCTCTTTCTTAAAAACAAACTTCAATTATGTCTAACAGCAATATAAACAACACTATTTATGATATTTCCACCATTCAACAAGTCTTGATCAACTCGCCTTTGGAAGGAATCAAGATGCTTCCTTTGAATTTGGCAATATTAGTAAAAGCTAGTGAATGGGAAAAGTGTCTGGAGTGAATCAATGTCTTATGCTCAACAAAATGGAATAAAAAGCATATATATTCTAGAAAAGGTTTAGTTTTTGGAGAAACTAAAAAATACCACCGTGCTGGCCAATATATAACAAACCACCAATTACGTCTTGCCCAGAAAGATACGAAGGCATGCTCTTGTACAGCTGCCTTAAAAATCATACAGCATCTCGACAACCCCAATGTTGTTACATTTTGCCAAACAAGGGCACATATAAACCATGTTTCTGGTGACTGGGACGAAGTCAGAACTCTTCCTTTGCCTTCTGAAGCCATAAAAATTATTGAAGATCAGTTGAAAAGTGGCAGCAGCTGTAAAAGTACAAGAATTTCAGCTCTTAGACAGATTGATAGTTGGGGAGTTGGCGTTAGAAAGCCTAATTATGAAGAAATTTACAACAGAATGAGAAAGGTTTGTCAATGAATATAACATAGCTTTCGTATTAAATTAATATTTATATATTAAATAAATACTTGTATATAAAATAGATGACTACTTTGTTATATATGTTTGCTTCTGATGAAAATGCATATATTTCCATCTGGTTAAATGTAAAGCTAGCAGAACAAAACTATTGCATTTTTGAAATCAATCTTTCTGTTTATAATGATGGTAAAAAACAATTTGCCTTTGGATTTCAATCACTAACGCAAGTTTCAATCATGAGAATCTTGCAATCTTTTTGTCTCAATGCCACTCATTCCATTTCGTCTAGAAGCAACAAAGTATTATATACTTTGGTCACTCGCCATTCTCAAACAGGAAAGGGATTCCCTGTTGCATACATGGTGACAAACAACCAGACAGCCATGCCCATCAAACTTTGGCTTGACCACCTTCGCATCAAGAGCAGTTTCGTACCAATGAATATCACCATTGACTGTAGCATTATGGAGGTTAATGCAATCAAAGAAGCATTACCTCATGCTACAATTCACTACTGTGATGTGGTGATCCAGACACTTGGATGTTGGATTTATCACATATAAGAACATATTCATATTGGGATAGCATAGTAGCTATCATCTTGTCAGTATAAAATATATATAAACGATTAAGTAATCAGCCCAATAATTATTACAGTTAGTACTGTAGATGATATCTTAAAGATTGTTAAGATAATTATATCATACTGCCGGGTAAACTGTGTCAGATCGATATGGAGCTAATTTAGTAGGAAGTCCTAAAGCTCTAGTATAAAAGAGAAAAGAATAGCTAAGAGCTAAAGAAGTACGATTTATGACTTGATGTCATAATTCTAACACCAACACTAGTTAAGCAGTAAATACACTCTAATAACCAAATATAGTAAAGGAAGAAAGCCTTAAGAAACTAAGACGTAATGACAAGAGCAGATTGTGTTTTCTTATAAAAAGGGACACTTTTTATTTATGAAAAAAGACAACTTATATACAGTCTCAAAGTATTTCTATACGTCTCTATTATCAAATATTTTAATTTTTCTATTGTTTCGTACCTGAAATACCACATGTGATTTTCATGTTCTTTGCGCTTGGCAGCACAACCTTGACAGCAAGATTAAACTTAATGCCTCTTATACATCAGAACAACTTGGGAATTATAAGACTGCACTGAAGAACTACCTGAGACACATTCTCATCGAGTCCAATGAAGACGTGTTCCTAAGAGCAATTGAAGATTTTAAACTGATGGTTCAGGATCAATCTCAGTTTTTGAAATATTTTGAGAAGAAATGGACCGAGAACAAAGGATTGTTGCGAAGATGGGGGCGCCCGTACGTTAGTCAACAACATCAGAGATATGTGACAAACAACTATGTAGAATCATGGCACAATCAACTCAAGACAATCTACTTTGGTTGTACATGCATCAGAAGATTGGATCGACTGATTTTTATCTTGACAAATGATGTGGAGTTCTATTTTGAACAAGAGGTTGAGCATATTCACTTCAACAATGGTAAGATAGGTCCCATTGATAATGAGTTAGCAAGAAATTCTTTTGTTGCTTCAAAAATCCAAAATGACATGCTCCCTTCCATAATTCTCAACCCTTTGGGTGAGACTGGTAACAGCATGGATGATTATAATGGTGAGTGGCAAATACGATCTTTTGTAACAGAAGATAAGTGATATACTGTCAATATATCAAATGACTTGATACAAAGCTGCACCTGCCCGAACTTTCTGACCCACCAGATCCCATGCAAGTATTCACATTTGTTGAAGCATTACTGTGGGGCAAAATTCAGCTTCATCGAGCAATGGGAGATAGCAGGAGTGGTATTGAACTGACAAGATGCTGTAAATGCAAATGAGAACGAAGTTGAGGAAGAAGTAGAGGAGGAATTAGAGAGTGGAGGTACTGCTGAAGATAGAGGTGTATATGTCTTTGACAAAATTGCAGCTTATTCTGCAACAATGCATCACGGCTTTGAAGATCTTCAAACTTTGAAGACAATTTCTAGCTTAGATCAAACAAAGGCAGATCTTATAAAAAGAGCACTCGCAGATACTGTGAGGTTGATGGATGAATATAGAAGTGAGAACCCTTCATATTTTAGAAACATGAATACTCAGAGATAATAATAAAAATAATAAATATATATCATTAAAAGATCTTAAAAGTACAAGAAAAAATATTTCTGATTGATATAAACAAATACAATTCTAATTGAATTTACCAGAAGTAAAACCTGTCACTACCTCAACGGATTTTCAAAATTCAAACTCTCCGTAGGATAAAATAAGGAGATATCTTTAGCCATCATTCTGTCGTTCCCGATCTGGGTTAGTCTTCCTTTTACTATAACAAAGTCAAAAGGTCAAACCCACTGGGGATCAAGGAGTATACGTAAAATCAAAGAGAGGATAAAAGATACTTTTTATTGATATGAATTGAATTGTCTTATATAGTTTTCTAAACTAATACTGCGCATTATCTGCAGTAGTTATTATTTATATTTAATTAAAGAAATAGTCATTATACTGCGGTTAATGCTCAGGAAGATATTACTGCGCATAAAGAAGTACTGCGGTTAACTATCTTCAGATTTTACGGATTCATCAAAATAATGTCCGACAATTCTCAAAAGAGAATTCTGTGTAATCGTCATCCTGATTGGTTGACAAGAATTCGGGCATGACAATTTAGCAAAAATAAATGTGAGACTACCAGGGGTCGAACCTGGAATCTCCTGATTCGTAGTCAGACGCCTTGTCCATTGGGCCATAGTCCCATTTACATTTAAACACGTAATGTAGTAATGTTGTCAGCCATAGTTTAAAAACCAAATTTTTGAACTTTTAGTCTGTCCACACCAAAAGTCTGAACTTGGTAAAAAGTGCAAAAAAAGGGTAAAACAAGTCCATCTTGAACTTAGCCAATCAGCTTTAATTATGACTGTCCACATCTTTTTTAAAAAAAGTTCAAAATTAGTTCAAAATACATATTAGGTAATGCTATGCTCATAATGCCATTACTGTCAGTAAGCATAGTCAATACTTCATATTCAAATACATCAACATAAAGAAGTCTGTTTTGTTGTGGATAAAGACGAATTTGTTTATATTATCCAATTACAACTCTTCAGAATCTCTCCCTGCTTGAATCTGTATCTGCATATCGTTAAAGCATACATATGCAAACGATATCCCCTGTCTCTAAAAGTTCTCTCAATCAGTACAAGAACTCAACAATTCTCATCAATAAAAATCATTCTTCTTGAGCTCAAACCTCTTGTGAAGTTTTATAAAATAAAATCAACAGTAAAAAGATTGAGATGTATATAAGAATACTTTGAGACTGTATATAGGTTGTCTTTATTAAAGAATAAAAAGTTGTTCTTTTTATATCAAAACATGATCTGCTTTGTCAGTTATATCTTATTTTCTTAAGTCTGAGTTCATTTAGATATTAGAGAGCTAGTACTCCTATGTTTATAATTTAATCTAATTGCAGTGTCCTCATATTAACTCAGTGCTTACTGAGCTGTCATAATTACAGTACTTACTGTAATTAATTATTGGTCTTATTGATTTACCATAAGTAAAATAAATAAATTATTCATTTGTTCTTATAATGATAGCTGTTTTACTATAATAATAGAAATATGTTTTTAGATGTAATAAATCCAACAACCAAGTGTCTGGATCACCACACCTTTCTCCATGTCATAATCTAATTATCTACACCACTTTTTTTACAAACCCATTTATTACAGATATAACATTTTAGTCAAAATAGCCTGTCAGTATATATTGCTCTTATAAAGTTATAAATAATAATCAATACTTATCTACCTTCATTTTAACTCCATCCTTTTCGTCTTTTTTTATAAAAAAATTATCTTCTTGTATTGCCTGTACCTTACATTAAACTATTGTAATAAAAGTATGTTCACCACCTACTGCAAAAAAATGCCTAATTCCCATACATAATGGGATATAAAATTTGGTGGACAGAAAACCCAAATTTGTAGTGCAGGATTTTTTTTTTGTAAAATAAGCATTGCAATTTTTTTAAAACAATTCTATTGGTCATAGAACATTGAGTAGCATAAAAAAATACAATAATAAACTTAAATTGAATGAAATAAACTGTACCTGAATATATATTTATCTTCTTTGCTGTTTAAAAAATAATATTATTTTAATAATTATTAAGCAATGGCACCAACCCATAAATCAAACAAAACAAAAGAATGCAAATGTTCTGTTTGCAAGACAAGATTTGGAGGATCAGATACAGTGTCTGTACAGACATTTAATTTTCATAAAAGAAGAGACGATGCTGAAATGAACATCTTTCATAATAGATGTAGGGAATTTTTTTTTATGTTTTAATTATATTTATATTTATATTTTCGATTTAATAATATATGTAATGTAGTGATTATTAAGGAATCAGTCGAAACTACTGTAAGCTATGTTTCTGAAGTTATCAATAATGATGAACAGAACTTGGTGGCCATAGACAATGATTATGATATGGATTATGACTTTGATGGTAAATATATATATTTTTATTTTTATTTTTATTTGCTCCAACTTCTTTTATGATTTCGGTAGAAATGGACACCAGTATAGAAGTAGACATGAAGACACAAGAGCCTATTCAAGTCTTACCTCTCTCAGAATCTGATGCTGTCTTTGGTTATGAAAATGAAGAGTTTAACTCTGATCTTGATTCTGACGGTTGCAAAGACGATTCCAGTGAGGATGACATGCTTGATAGTGAAGGTTTGCATACTTTCATAATGGATATTGGGTTCTGCTGTATCAAATAATAGAAATTAATTTTTTTAAAAAAAGACAACTTTTCTGAATTCAACTCAGAATTGAGTTTCATCCATCGTTTTATAGTACATGTTCTTGCACTCTTTGTATCCTTGTATGTTGGCAATGAAGGCGCCATTCTTCTCATTGCCATCATGAACAAAATACTTGAGCTTTTCAGAGATCCATTCCGTCTCTCAGTTAGCATCCCTGGTCTCAAAAGCATGGCAGGATTCAATACCTTTACAGACAGTATAAAGAAATACATTTCTTGTAGCAAATGTCACAGCATATATGAGAACGATGAATCAACATCCCGCTTCTGTATCTTTGATAAATTTGGAAATAACTCAATGTGTGGTAATAGTTTGTTCAAGTCGGGAAATCAGTCGTCCATTCCAAAAAGAACATATGTATATCACTCTGTTCAGAATTTAATCAAAGCTCTCTTTTCTTGGCCTGATTTTGAAACCCAAATTGACTTGTGAAACCATAGCCCAAAGGCTGAGAATACTATGTTCGATGTGTACGATGGCTTGATGTGGAAGGATTTGAAAGACACCAATGGAATTCCCTTTGTTCATGGAAACTGCTCACTGATGTTGACCTTAAACATTGACTGGTTCCAGCCATTCAATGGTGTGACATATTCATGTAGTGCAATTTATCTGGCTGTAAACAATCTTCCTTGAAGTGTAAGATTCAAGAAAGAAAATGTCATTCTCATTGGGTTAATGCCAGGTCTGAAAGAAACAAAAACATCTGAGATAAATTTGTATCTCAGACCGCTGGTTGACAAATTAGAAAAGTTATACAAGGGAGTCAGAGTCCAGACATATCAATGCCCAAATGGTACCACCATCTGCGCTGCTCTGTTTATGGTTGTCTGCGACATCCCTGCTGCCCAAAAAGTGTGTGGATTCATGTCCCATACCAGTACAAATGCATGTCACAAATGTAATTGCCAATTCTCCCAATTAGCTGGAACGAGCTCTGTCAATTATTCTGGATTTGATTTCTCAAAGTGGCTCCTTCGCACTAAGAATGATAATTGTAAGGATGCTGAGGTCTGGAAGAATGCAACCACTGAAGCTGAGAGACATCGTCTTGAAGTTGAAAATGGTGTTTGCTGGTCCGAACTGCATCGTCTCCAGTACTTTAACGTTGTCTGCTGCACAATCATTGATCCAATACACAATCACTTCTTAGGCACAGCCAAGAGAATGATGGTGAAATGGGTTGCAGATGGTCTGATTGACAATAAAAAACTCATTGCCATGCAGAAAATCGTTGAAAACATGACATTGCCACCTGATTACACCATGCTAAGATCAAAGATTTCAAAGGGATTTCCCTTTATGAAGACAGACGAGTAGAAATCGTGGTGTCTGGTATACTCTCCAGTGGTTCTACAAGGCGTACTACCAAAGCAAAAGTTTGAGAATTGGATGTTTTTTGTGAATGCCTGCCGTTTTCTTACCAAGCCAAATGTTTCCGAAGATGATGTACAATCAGCACACATAGCACTTGAGAAGCTTGGTAAAGGTTGTGAAAGGTTGTATAGCAAGGATCTGTTATCTCCGAACATGCATCTCCATCTTCATCTTCGCAACACAATCAAGGACTTTGGGCCTGTTTATGGGTACTGGCTCTTTAGTTTCGAGCGATATAACAGCATCCTAAAAAATATCAATACCAACAGAAGGAGCGGCTTTGAAATGACATACATGAAAACATTCATTAAAGATACCCGTAAAGGCGATTTTGTTTGCAATTTCTTGAAGACATCTGGTCTGTTGTAAATGAGTATTGACTACTGCTGTAATTGAGAATAAGTCTGAAGGAAATAATATAAGGCCTCAGCTATTCCAGTCAAAGGTGTCTACCGATTACTTTATTATTTAACACACAGGTTTAGCATGCGTGATAGTGATTATATTTCATATGATGATATCACCATAATATGGGATACATCAGTGGATTATTATAAGCATAATTATAACTCATAAACACATTTACTTTTGATGTTAATACTTCATTGGGACTACACACATTTATATAATTAATCATACATTAATTATCCCAAGATCACGTTGCTCTGATTAAGGCTCAGATAGGATCGATTACCTGACCCCAGTCATATAATTTTCCCAATCCAAAACAATATAAATAGCAGTAGTAGTTCAGTGTAGGAACCTGGTCAAACTTTGATACAAAATCTTTCTCAATAAACAAAACCTACACAAGTTCTCACGAATCTTCGTTCCTAATTTCAAATCTTCAATTCTTCCTCTTAAAAACTTCTTCAACTTCAACCACCACAACATGGTCCATTCAATTTCTCTGGCATCTTCGATAAATTGGTAACTGGTTATAGTCCTGCTGATTCTACAACTAGCACCATCTTGTACAATTGGTTCTCTCTACCAGACTTTCTTGATGCTGCCAAAAATCCGAACTTGTCAATTCGTGGTAATCAGCCTTTGCCGCTATCAGCGCTGCCCTTGCAAAAAAAAGCGTATGAGATGATGCCAAGACAGGAGTATGATTGTTTGGTAGGATATTACCAAGCTGTTTACAATGATCCCACCATCTTCAGTTGCAAAGACGTGATTCAAGATACAGCTTTCGTCAATGACTGGATTGAAACGCTCAAATCCGTCAACTTCCTTGGCTAGACATTCAAGGGAAGTAGAGGTACAAATGGAAGAGGATCATATATACAAGCAATGTTCATAAAAGGTCGAAATAGAGCAAAGTATGCATATGTCAGAGAGATTCAGTACCTATTTGTTCATTCATTTAGTCCACTTGTTTCTACTCTACATCACAGAACACCCCAAAGTAGCCAACATACATTTGCTTATGTAAAATAGTATAAGGCTTCCAAGGAGACAAGTAGAAAAATTGCAGGCATAGAAATATGGGATGTTGCGTTTTCTTTGCCTGACTTTCAAAGAATCTTGCCAGTGCACCGAATTCTCCTTCCTGTTGTAATTGTTGATCATACAACATTACAAAATATCAGCAAAAAACTTATTGTTCCTTTGCCTAGAAAACTTTACTTTTAAAATATATAATTATCCCTTCTTTTCTTTCTAATAATATTATTCAATTTTTTTAATATGACAGTGAAAAAAAAGAGAGCAAATTGTTTGTTTTTATTGGTTTTGAATTGCTCAGACAGGAAGGATCGCGGTCAGGTGACCAGGGACAGGAGTGACCGCAATGGTTTTTAGGTATCTGGGCATTCTTTGCTTTGATTGTAGTGTTGCAATCTTCTTGTCATTCTCTGCTGCCAAGAAATCAATGAACTGAATAAGCCTATTCAGCTATGTATAATTAGTTAGTTTATTTCTGTACAGTCATCTTTTTATAGAAATATATTATAATGTACACCTTTAAAAAAATTATCTCAGCACTTCTCCAACTAGGACGAGCAACCTGCAAAACCTGCACACGGATTATATGAGTGACGTCCTCATCTTCCAATTCACCATCAGACATCACACTCTTCTCAAGGAGATGCAAGTATGCCATCTCATCAGGGTTACCTGGCTTGTATCCTATCTCAGTATCAATTGCTAGCCAATTGTTAATGTATGTATCAACACAATGCAAGTGAATCTAGATATATTTTAAAATGATTAGAACAGAATGCAAAATATTTAATTTCTTTTTTGTTTGTTTGTAATTTTACCTCAATGCGATGGCTGTTGATACAATTATTGTACCTTTTGGAAGATGCTTGCTCGGGGGTTGTGTTGACAGCACAAAAACATGTCTTGTAATTGTTTTTTATTTTCTGCACTATCATATCCTCCCAGAACCCAGCTGTGCGAGGCTGGGCAATGATATACTGTCGGAGGTAATTAATCACCTCAACATTGTCAGGATGATCGATCCTCTCATCTGTGTTCCATCGCCTACAGCTTTCATTTTCAGCAACAAACTCAGGATCATCCAAATGGAAGTTTCTTGCCCACATTCTCCCATTGATGAGATTCTATATGATTATTATTATTATTATTTAGGTAGTGTGTTAAAGCATGAAGCCAGAAAAAATCATATCAGAACAATTGCACGCATTTCGCCTTTGGTATGTCTATTTGTAGACACATTGGCAGCAGTTACTCCCTGAGTTACAGAAGATGCAACAAGAGCTTGATGGGCAATGGCTTGGTTATGAGCATTGACCAGAAAACGAATTCCAGTGTTGGCTTCAACAGTACAATCGTACATCATGTTGATGGCTGCCATAACCTGCGTTAGGGACTCGACAGTCATTCCAGGAGCCTCTGCCCCACTTGGACCAGCTGCAAGTGGCGATACTCTTGGAGTAATCTCACGTTGCTCAATCCGGCCGGCAGCAACATGGCTAAGTGTTTCTCAGGCATTCTGTTTGCCTTTGCATCCTGATTTTCTAGTGGCATTGGAAGGCATGCTACAGATATTTACATATTTTTTAAAAAATAAATAAATATAAATAAATAAAGCATATATAGAAGAATATTATGAAATATTATTTTAATTATACAAACATACATGGTAAAGCACAGTAATAGTATGTGAGGTTTCTAATAAAATGTGAGGGAGGATATAATAATCTGGCAAATAGAAGTAGTATTTATATGTCCCAATACTTCTTGGGTGTACAGCAACAAAAGAAAAAATTATAGGGACACACGTTTTAAATTATAATAGACCTTAATAAATTCTGAGAACAGAATGAGCTTATTCACTACTCTTACAATTTGTTTTTTATTTTCTTTTTTTTTGTTCTCTCACTTTCTCTTATACTGTTTACTTTTGCTTCTTTTTCTACACTATGGTAATTACTTAATATTTTCTTTTTACTTTATTTTACATGATTATTAACACTAAAAAACTTCTATCGTCTTTATTATGTAGGGCTTCCTGCATGAGTTAACATAACATACTGGCTTACAAAAGTGAATAAGAAAGCAAACAACTTTTATTGCGCGATGCTAATCATCAGCTTATTAATCTTTAGATGCAAAACGATGATGATGACAACCATCAAAAGCTAATGATGGAAATAAACATGGTAAGCTTTAATAGAATATCTTCTAATCACTTATACAGTCTGAGAAAGAGATGTTTTGCACCCTGGTGCGCTATTTGCACCTTTGCTTTATAACCTATATTTTATATTTTTCAACGTCTTAAAAAACTAATTAACAAATCTACTATAATGCCAAACACACAAAAGAATAACTCTCATGGGCCCTATAATGTGCTTTAAGATTTGACAAAAGGAAAGATCCTTGGTCTTCAACTTGATGGAAATAATGTTGCCAGCATTTCAGCCAAGCTGAATGTACCCAAATCAATAGTTCAATATTTTTTAAAGAGATATAAAGAAAGAGGAACTGCCGATAACAGAAAGTATTCTGGAAGACCACAGATCCTCACACCTAGAGACAAAAGACGTATTGTCTTGAATCTCAAAAAAGACAGGTGGTCAATGTTAGATGATCTTGTTGATGATGCTAGTGCTGACACGGGAAAGAATGTCAGCAAGATTACCATGCGTAAAGCTTTGCACAGTATGGACTATTTTTGTCGTAAACCTGTGTCAAAGTCTTTTCTTACCATGACACACATTGCCAAATGCCGAGCTTGGTACAAAACCATGAAAGACTGGAATAAACAGTGGGAAACAGCTATCTGGAGTGATGAGTCGTCATTTGTGCTGTATAAAAAAAATCAAGCAGAAAACTCTGGCGCAAAACTGGTGAGAGATTTGATATGGATCACTTTGTCCCAAAGGTGCAAGGAAATGGTGGATCAGTTATGGTCTGGGGGTGTATCTGGTCAGGAGGACTTAGTCCACTTGTTTTCGTAGATGAAAACATGGATGGTCCAAGATATGTAGAAGTTCTTCAAAATCATTTTCTTCTATTCTCGCATGCTCTTACAGTACCTAGCAGCGGTAGCTACAAGTTCCAGGAAGATAATGTCAAGGCGCATAAATAAAAAGTTGCAGGAAAGTTCAAGAAAGAACATGATATTGATGTTTTGCAATGGCCACCCAACAGCCCTGACCTTAGCCCCATTGAGAATATATGGGGAATCATTGATCACAGAATCAGAGCAAGACGCCCCAGACCAAATTCTCTGAATGAGCTGAAGGCTGCTTTGTTGGAAGAGTGGAACAAAATATCAGCAAAAACTTGTAGAAGATGCTGCTTGAATATGCCAAATCGATTGGCCTTACTTAAGAAAAAGAAATTTAAGTGAATCCGCTATTAAAACTGTATCTTTTTTTTTACATTATTAATATATATGTCTTTCACTTTTATTGTTCCAAGTATTATATTTCAATACGTATTATACATCTTTAGAAAGGAATTTGAAGTTGTGATATCTTCTTTACCATTCATGGCGGATGTTAAAATGGGCAAAACATTTCTTTTCAGTACTGTATTAACATTATACTTTCTTCATTATCATTTTGAATTTATTAGATTTTCTCTATCTCTCTTTTGTACGCACGCATTAAAAGAATGCCAAAGAATCACTTTTTCTGATAAGCAAGACTTTATAATTATTATTCTCTCATACTAATCGTATTTTTTTTCCTTTCTATTAGAAATACTTGGAGTACACCAACAATTATATAAATGCTATCCGTAGCAATATTATCCTCTATTTCCAAAGAATAAATCTGATCTGTATACACATGTTTTGAAAATGACAAAATCGATTTTGGTCATCCCAAGATTCTGCCTCTTCCCTTAATATTCAAAAAGATATTGCAGTATTCCCATTTATTTATCCCAAAAGGTAAGAAATATTATTAATGACCAAAGTAGAATTGCAGTACCCAAAATCAAGAACCCAAAACTGAGAATGCAAAACAAAGACCCAATGTCAAATGTCTGGATGAAATGCCCAGACCAAATGCCAACTATCCAAGGCCCATTATTAGAGAACCTATTTTAAGATTTTTTTAATAAGATAAAATAAAAACCTATTTGTAAACTATTTCCCATAAACTATTTTTAAATAAAAGTACAAGAAGTATATTTTTTGATCAATCAAATAATGAAATTCAAATTGTAAATGGAGTACTCGTTCAATAAGATTGATACTTGCCAGAAGATAGTTGAGTTATCATCAGAAGATTGTTGAAATATACACCTTTTTGAATGAGTCCGACACAAGAATAAATAGGCAATACACAAAATAAATGTAACATTTTACTAGAAAAAAAAACTTGGAATTCAATTAAGGTTTTGGATATAATGAGATATAACAAAACTCTATGACTGCGCACAGACCCATTCTATCCATAGAATCTAGGTGTTTAATATTTAGTAGCTAGTTTTCCTATCATTCTGAGGTGTTGTATAATATTCAGAATATATTTCAAAAATCACACAGAATTTTACATCCTATCACGTATGGGAATCAGACATTTTTTTTTGCAGTATTATATATGTATGAGATTGGTTATCAATAATTTATATATATACCAGATTGGCAGTCATCAGCTTATATATTTATTAGATTGCCTGTCATCAGCTTATACATATATAAGATATGCTCTCAATAGTTTATATATATACCAGATTGGCTGTCATCAGCTTATATATATAAGATTGACTATAATTATATTATATATACAAGCTAATCAATCATAATTAACTTATATATATATAAGATTATCTATAATTGATTTACATATAGTGTGAATTGACTGTTGTTAACTTATATAATATTGCATAATCTTAGATATTTATATATAAATATATATTAAAAATATAAAAAATAAAGTTTATGTAACATATATCATTATTCATATTTGCGTAACATAAACAATATGATTGAATTGCTGAAAAAAATTGGTAACTTTTGGCTATACTTGTTATATAACGTGCATAATCATACATAATCTTACATAAATGATCTACGTAAACAATATAATTGAATTTGTGAGAAAAAATGATAAAGAATAGCTTTTTTCTGGAAAAATTTCCTATTTTGATTAGTCTGAAAATAATTAGTGTGAGAAGTCTTGGCATTTTTAGTGTGGGAAGATAGGTTATATAAATAGCAACTATGTAAAAGCTTGGCATAGAAAAAAATTTAATCTTAAACTATCAAAAAGCAGTTCCAACAATAATTAAATATATTTCTTCTAATGAAAGTTCAAATTCTTACTAAGTAATAATTTTTTAATTTTTTTTGCTATATAAAGAAAATTTAGTAGTATAGTATAAAAGTATTAAAATATGTCAAGAGCAAGTACAAAATTAATAAAAATTAATTTTCATATTTTTTTACTAGTTTTCTTATAAAAATCAAAATATTATTATATAGATCAAGAAAAAAATATATGTGTTGTATCCAATATAATCGTAGATTTAAATTAAAAGTACAGACACTCAATAAATATGTACATTGAGTTACCAACAACTAGTAACAATACTAAAAGATATACCTTCCCTTATATAAGGAAATTACATAAAGAACATACTAAGACAAATACTAAGACTCTAGTCAATAACACTAAAAACATAAGAACTAAATCATAGAAGATAATAGTAGAGAAACAGACATTATATGATATCATCATATCATCACCAAGCTAAATACAATGTCTATATAAACACACAATACTAATAGCAATAGAACAACATCTCTTTTCTGATTCTTTCACTTCTTCTAATAAAACAAAGTCTCACCATACTCTCGTCTGCACTTGCTTTATTTTATATCTTATTTTTATCTCATACATAACAATATGAACAAGTCAACTTATTAATATTTATTATAATTTTGATGTATTTATATATTATATATATATATATATAAAGATTATAAAAGAGTTGTGAATATATATAAAATTAAAAATTAAATATGATTAGAGTATGTAACTTATATTTAACGAGATGATCAGATATGACTTGGATATTGACAAGTGTGAATATATATAATGTAATAGATCTAATGGTATTGACTAATATCAGAGATAGATAAGATGTTATAGGCTAATATTAGTGATAAATCAAATGTTATTGGCTAATATTGATTATATATTATATTTTATTAACTTATATAAGTAGTAAATTGGATGTGATAAATATATATATAGTACAGATTGACTGTTATTCATCTACATATATATCTGATTCACTATCATCAGTCTATATATATATATCAGATATATTATTATCAGTCTGTATACATATCAGATCCACTATTATTGATCTATATATATATCAAAGCTATTGTTATTAGTCTATATATATCAGATCCATTATCACTGATCTATATATATATTAGATCAGCTATTATCACTACAAAAATTATATGATTTCATTGAGTAGAAAGTATTCAAATATTGAGTTTAAAGCCGCAGTTTCTGTGTGGTTTTAGGAATGTTACCTGTGAGATATCTAGTATACTTATACCAGATAAATAGAAGCTTAAAATCATAAAGTAAGTATTGTTTTACTGAGTAACAATAACCCTTCTTAGTCTGTCAATTATATTTGAATAGAAATAATGAGTGTATACTCCATACTCTTGATACATATAGTCATTATATTCCATTTTAGATCATCATTTAGACAAAAAAACAGCAATCTTAGGGGACGCGGGGGTTTTTGCCTATGGGGATGGGGGGTAACAGCATCGCACAATTTAAGATAACTGCTAGTCCAAGGTCTGGCTATAAAGTATCTTAAAGAACCCCCCATCCCCATCCTTTATAAGCACACCCCTGTCCCCATTGTTTATAAGCACATACTGGTTCATCATTATAGGCACACCCCCTGTCCCCATCTTTAGAGCATTCCAATTTCTCAGGAAAAATAGAAACACCCCCTTTTTAAAGTCATTGACATTTAGTTGTAAGAATAAAAAATAATCTTTGCAAATAACAGGATATAATGTCTTTTTTACATTATGTACATTGCCTACATTGCGTACATGAATCAATAAAAATACTTATATAAACACAGTATTCTTTTATTAAACATGAACAACAACTTTGCTACCCCCATTGAACAGATGTATTCAGTTAAAACAACTCTTTCATTCCCTGAAAATGGTTACCCTGATAAATAGAGTGTCCTTCAGGCTGTAAACAACTATGCCCTTTCTAATAATTTTACTATCAAGATTAAAAATAGAAAATTTCTCACACTTCATCTTGCTTGTGCAAAGGCTGGCACCTATTACAACAAGTGTAACATTAGTGAGGATAAAAGAAAGAAGGTGTCAAACTCTTCTCTCACTGGATGCCCATATATTTTAAGATTCTTTTATAAGAAGAATAGCAACAGATATCTTCCTTTGCCTGCCAATGGCGACAATTAACATTGCCACAGCTACCCTATTACCCCAAGTACTTGGCTTCTTCCCATCAAGTAAGAATGTCTCTCCTAACTCCCGCAGATGCCAATATTGCTAAGATAATATTGGAAAACCATGCAAAAGCTCATGATATTCAAAAAGCTATCAGTGATAAGGTTACTGATATGAGAAAAATCAGAATTAGCAACATCAACAATCTGAAGTATAGTGCTTCACGTGAAGATGATGAGTCAAACTATGCTGCTACGACACTAATTAAGAATATAGAAGCAAAGTGATTCACGGTTCTGTAAAAGTCCAATGAAACAAACAGACTGACACATATTTTTTTCACAAATGAAACAATGATCAAAAGAGCCCAATGATTTCCAAAAGTTTTGATTGTGAATGCCATATATAACACTGCAAAAGACTGCCAATTTGATAATTTAATATAGTTTTATTAGTGTTGTTAAATTTTCAAAAAAATAAAAATTAAAAATTATATTTTATTTTTGGTTGTAATTTTTAATCTGTTTTTTTTAACTGTAAAATTGTACCAGCATCACTTTTCCCTCTGCATTTTATGCGTCTTTAATATCATTGTAAATTACACTCAAAAAATATTTATATCAAAAGTATTATATACTTAAAAAAAAGTAAAATATTTTTTATATAATACATGTGGTATTTCAGATACGAAACAATAGAAAAATAAAATATTTGATAATAGAGACGTATAGAAATACTTTGAGACTGTATATCAGTTGTCTTTATTCATAAATAAAAAGTGTCCCTTTTTATAAGAAAACACAATCTGCTCTTGTCATTACGTCTTAGTTTCTTAAGGCTTTCTTCCTTTACTATATTTGATTATTAGAGTGTATTTACTGCTTAACTAGTATCAGTGTTACAATTATGACATCAAGTCATAAATCGTACTTCTTTAGCTCTTAGCTATTCTTTTCTCTTTTATACTAGAGCTTTAGGACTTCCTACTAAATTAGCTCCATATCGATCTGACACAGTTTACCCGGCAGTATGATATAATTATCTTAACAATCTTTAAGATATTATCTACAGTACTAACTGTAATAATTATTGGGCTGATTACTTAATCGTTTATATATATTTTATACTGACAAGATGATAGCTACTACACTATCCCAATATGAATATGTTCTTATATGTGATAAATCCAACATCCGAGTGTCTGGATCACCACAGTATGTTTGGGAATAAACATCGAAGTTTTCAAAATTATTTCAATTTTCTCTTGACAAAACTCCGATATCAAATTGGTTTAAAGTCCGCGTGTAATATTAAAAAAATTGTATTTGGTATATAAGGGTTAATACTTAGTAGATCAGACAAATAAAGTTAATATATATATATTTTAAAAAAAGAAAAAAAGTAAAAAATGAAATACAAATTATAGTAGAGAGAAAAAATACAAATACAAATATTAAGATAGAGTAAGAGTCAATTCCTTTCCTTCATTACGGCAATGAGAAGTATGTTTTCTTGAGGTAAAGTTCTTGACAACGTCATGGGCTTCTTTCACATTCATGTCTTGACAGTATGCCTCAATGTAGCACCACAAGCAGTTGTAGTATCTTCGAATGTTTTGAAGCTTTCCAGTGTGATCAAGGAAAGAATGAATATTTTTATCCAGGGACTTATATGTCTAATCACACTGAAGCCAAGCTTCACATTTAGCAGTGCCCCAGTACCTCTCGATCCAATTGCATTTGCAATAGAACTTAGGGTATAACTCGAAGATGTGGTCAGATACTTCAACAGCCTCATGAAGTGCAGTTTTCTGTGACATAAAATCTGGCTGAGAAGCCAGAAAATGATGTGCACAGCACTTGCTATCTTCAGAAGTGTCTTTTTTGCAGTCCAATCTCCATTTCTTGGTAGGATTGTATGGATCCTTCTCCAACCACATACCACGCTCCTCTAGAATTGCACAGACACCCTTCATGTATTTCACCTTCTTTGTCACTCACTGTCCGCTCTTCTTTGTGAACCACTTGTCCTTCTTGTAGTACATCGACTGTACTTGTTCTTTACTATCCTGGACAAAAGTAGTATCCCTCAGTGTACAAAGATCATCTTCTTCAACCTCTTTGTCACCTAAGGTTATTTTGTTTGCTATTAAAGCATTTTGACTGTACATCTTGTGGTTTGTACTTTGAGCAAATACAAAGATGGCCTTACATCCAGAGTGAATTACTTCAAATAGAGAAATTGTGTTACTCTTTAATTGATTCAACATATGAGCACTAGTTCAGTACCCATCTCTATTGGCTCCAAGATGGAATACCTTCCGACTAGACCATGCACCATTAGACATTGTACTATGGCATGCACATTTGAATTCACTAATCATAAGTGACATGCCAGGACCCTTCTTTCGAATTGGATTTTCACCTTCCACTAGCCACATAGCTTCTTTTCCATCATTTGAATAGAAAGTCGACTCATTATGGGTGACAAGGACATGTTCTACTTCATCAGTTGATAGCTGTGGCATAGTTACTTTGTCATTCTCACCAAAGCTTGCCATCTTCGTCTTATACCCCATCATTTGATTTGCCTATTTCTTTTGGTATTCAATAATGTTGGCTCTCTCGTGACTATCATAATAAATATCTTTAGAATTTTTTCTGAAGATATATCCCCATTCATGAAGATATTTCCAAACTGTACTCGTCAAGACACGTCCTTGAATTCCAAGTTTTTTTTGGTATAACAACCTCATTGATGTGTTTCTTAACCAAAATAGTATTGCGACTTTCTGGCTTCTGTTGCTGAATCTATTTGCAAATAGATGCCTTAAAGTCCTCGTCAGAAAACAAAGAGAAACAAATAGCATGTTTTCCTTGCTGGTGTAATGCAATTGATTAGAAATCAATATATTCTTTTGCATATTTTCTTATCATTGCTGGTCAATAACTATTGATATGTAATCATACTTGCATAGCTGCTTTCTTGGATGCTTCTATTGTCTTACTTTCTGAGAGTCTATGTCTTAAGTAATTTTCAACAGATTTAAGTTTGCAAAGCTCATAATGGTTTACTGGCAGAGATGAACCAATTATATGAGTAAATGGAACAATTTCTTCTTTTATATTGTTAAAGGCAAGCTTGAGAAGAGAAATTGTATTCGCAGATATTTTCCTAGAAGTAACCTTGACTGGCTCTAATTCTTCATTGACAGACTCCTTTTCACTTAAAATTGTAAAGCCCTTTTCTGTTAGAAGATAACTTCCTTTAAAATCAAAAGATTCCTTCATAGTCTTTCTCTTTCTCCACTCAGCTGTTAATGAATTCTTCTGATATGTATCATGGAGGGACTTATCAGCTCCCTCATGCCATTTGAGAAAGTGGCTCGAATAAATGGCAGAAGTAACATCATCTGTAATTCCCTGAAGTTCTCTGTCGTCCACAGTAATATCTTCTTTAACGTCAATCTCAAATAAGTCAATCAGATCGTCATTGCTGGTTTCTATGTTTTTAGAAAAACAGTTTCCAGATTCTGATTGGGATTTGCTTTTTGCTAATCTTGATTTCTTGCTGGCAGGAGGCATTTTGACAAAATTGTTTTGTAGATTAAAAGGTTTAATTGCTTAGAAATGTTTTGATTGATGAACCAAAAGTAAATATAAGATACATATTAAACATAGCAGTCTATGTTACACAGATATCCTTTTATAGAAACGGTACTATTAATCTCTGACATGGGCAGGGGAAAATAATTTTTCAATATTTAAAAAAAGAACTAGAACTCTGCTATTTTCTACAGATACCTCTTGACTTTGAAGGTCCATGACTTTTTATTCAACCCTTTTTTTCAGAATCGCTTAAATATGTTTGATAGAGAAAAGTCTTCTCTATCAAACATGTTTAAGCAATTTTGGATAGCTTGTCTGTAGCAAAAGTCATGGAACTTTAAAAAACACCCATAAACTTAGATATTTATCTCCAAATGCACCATACAAAAAAAAGGTCATTAGTATACAGATTCTTGATAAAGATTACTATGATTTAGACGACTTACAACATATTAATTGAATCTAAAACAAACAAAAACAAAAACAAAACAAAGCAAAAAAAAGAAGACACATGTTTATGTTAGTATGAATAAAATCAATATACGAGCAAAATTCTTTAGATATCTCTTTATATCAAGATTTCGCATGCCCTACTATAATTCAATGAGATTTTATTAATCAGAAATCGAAATAGAATTACATTATTAGTAATATCTTTTAAGATCTTAATCATCTGGAAGGATCAGAGTTGATCTGTAGTATAATTATTTAATGAGTAGCAAGATCATGTTCCATTCAATATCTGATCTTTAGAAAAATGAGAAAAGTTGTATGAAACAAAAAAAGACAATCAATGTTTATTTTTTGTGTCAAGCTAGACAGTATCAAATAATCAGTTCTTATTGGCTTATAGAGAGCAACAGAAGTTTGCTATTAGCTACATAAATAATATTTTTTGTTAGTTTCTGAGACGAATCGACTTGTAGTTTCAGAGTGAAAAGTAATAAATATATGCTGGTTATTTTAACCTTGTTCCACTTAACCGTACATTGCACACCAATAATGCAATGGTGCCACGAATTGCAAAAAAACCAAAGCATGCAAGAGTGACATTCTTTGCTTCAAAAGTCCACGGCCAAACCACCTTCAGTATAACCAAAAACATAACGTGTTAGCTTTGTGGAAAGAACTTCAGTTGAGAGTGCAATCTTAGACGCCATCTACAAAAGTTGCATGTGTCAGAAGATTTCACAAACAATGGCCCAATTGAAAATCTCAACAATGTTCATGATTGCGAAATCAATCAATCTTCTGTTCCTGAAAATGGAGATTCATTGTGTGAAGACAAAGACACTGATTCCATTATAGGAAATATGACGGACACCAAGCTTGACAACGATTCCAGCAAAATTAACAAAAGTGTCAGTGAAACTGACAAATCTGATAATGGCAGCAATATTGACATGGAGGAAGTAAGTCATGCCCTGGATGATACAGGCCTAGCTAACTTTTTATATACGCACATCCAGAATAGTATGATGTCTTCCATAACCAATCTTGACTCACCCGTGGATGAAGATGTTGATCAGCTCAACAGCTTACTTGAATCATGCTCAACCTGGAATTCTAATACCTCAACTACTCACTCATTCCCAGACCTTCAGGCAATGGTGTTACTTGCTCTGGTAGATGGTGACAACAATATATTCTCTTGTAGAATCTTGAAAAAAATCCTTTTTACCATCAGACTTGTTCTAAAGCTGCAAAAGAAAGCCATCACAAACAGATAATCTTTCAAGCTATCCCGTTTGAATGCACTCTTGAACTACCAGAGCAGAAAGAAGTACAAGCTCCCTGTACTTACTTCAACATCTGTGATGATTGATTTGCCCAAAAACAAGTCTGTCTTGGCATATGTAAACATGCCCTCAGATCACTTGAAGTTACTTGCCACAAACCCCATGAAAGCAAAGTCCATATTTGCTATACCTGATTGTATGTCAGACCAGTTCATATGCTTACAGCAAGGTGAGAAATGGAGAATGCACAAAAATTTCCAGCAGTCAATGTTTACACAACAAGATAGACTTTTGGTCTGGGGATGTTGTTGAGTTTGCTGGTGGCCCTGCCAATGCCCATTTCTTAGTAGAGTCTTTTCATATGATAGGCATCTCTGCTGTGTATGCTTGACGTTATAATGTTTTGCTCTCTGAAAACAACTATTTCATTCACATCGAAACTAAGCTTACCAGTATAAGAGTCAAGAAATTACTCTGGGTTGATGCTTCTCCTATCAATATTGATTTTTGCTTCAGTATGTCCTCAGGGAAGATTGACCCCATACTTCCAGTTCACCGGTCCTTGCTCCTAGTCCCCCATTTCCTGAAATGGTGTATCACTCAAGGTCCTGACAACCCAAATAACGAAAACCATTTTTACAAGGTCAGGATTGCTCCAATAACACTCTTTACCGATGACACGTCAGGAAGCCGGTCGAAGCAGTACGATCCTTACAAAAGTTGGTCTATGAAGTGTGCAGCTCTTTTCTTTAAAGAGAGGTCTTCAATAGAGAACATCTACTTCCTATCTGCAATCCCAAAGAAAGATGATGCAAGTGGAATGTCATTACTCCCTGTCTTTGTCAAAGCCCTCACGATGCTTGAAAACAGACTGGTAATGTTCTTGGCTGAAGACAACAAACATGTCTTAGTCGTAGCACCACTTTTTTGGATTGAGGCTGACACACCATATCATTCCAAAATATGTGGTTTACATGTCCCTACTTGTTTGTATTCATGCCATAAATGCTACATAATGTTACAAAGAACCACGGAAAAATTGAAGAATAAGATACACTATATGGGTAGTCATGCTAGCAGAACCAAGGAATATTACCAGATTGCTGCATCTACCCCAGATAGAAGTTCAATTATACCAGATGCTCCCTCAACTGGTAAAAACTTTAAGGCAAGTGAACTAAGCTTCAGATATAGGGCAACGGATATACTTTTACATCTGGATTCGTTTGATCTATCGACCAATACACCTATAGAAATACTACATAACATTCTTCTTGGTGTTGCAAAGTACTTGGTGACCGATTTGGTAAATGGCGTTCTAAAGGGACACCCCGGTTTACTGAACAAGCTAATGAACTCTTTGAAGGAGTATAGGAAATCTCAAGGTTTATCACAAAAGTTTGCTAGACTCCTAGGACATTGCAGCTTGTTCCTTGGAAGAGATTTTAAGATTCTTATACAAATCCTTCCCATTGTCTTGGCTACCAAGTTTGTAAATAATAATGAACTCTCTCTTATAACCTTATGTTTTGTCCATCTTGGCTGTCTTTGTTCTCTGGTGTTTGTTAGAGTATTTAAGTATAATTATAATTCTTACATTACAAAAGTTAAAAATACAGTTATTAGCCTGATCTAAAAACTGTATTTTTATGACAAGAATTGTGGTATCAAGAGTCATAAGTCATATACCTTGAAGCCAAAAGTATATCTGCTCACGCATCTTCTTGACAACTTTTGGAGATTTGAAACTGCTTTATATTATGAAACCAAAAAAAGGTGTGCAGTTTAACGCGTACATCCATGAACACCTAATGCATACAAATAGGTTAAACATCTCAAGAGACATATGTCTCAAGTTTGCCAAGCTAGCAGTTATGAGACACATCATTGATGATGGTTTATAAATGAACAAAGACAACCAGAGAGAGCATTATGGTGATAATACTGCAGCATTTCTTCACAGAAATATTGACAATAACTTCCAGGATATCTTGTTTGGCAGATTAAGAGACTTTACTGATAATAATGACATTGACAATATTGCAGATCTCTTGTGGTGATCCAGACACTCGGATGTTGGATTTATCACATATAAGAACATATTCATATTGGGATAGTGTAGTAGCTATCATCTTGTCAGTATAAAATATATATAAACGATTAAGTAATCAGCCCAATAATTATTACAGTTAGTACTGTAGATAATATCTTAAAGATTGTTAAGATAATTATATCATACTGCCGGGTAAACTGTGTCAGATCAATATGGAGCTAATTTAGTAGGAAGTCCTAAAGCTCTAGTATAAAAGAGAAAAGAATAGCTAAGAGCTAAAGAAGTACGATTTATGACTTGATGTCATAATTGTAACACCGACACTAGTTAAGCAGTAAATACACTCTAATAACCAAATATAGTAAAGGAAGAAAGCCTTAAGAAACTAAGACGTAATGACAAGAGCAGATTGTGTTTTCTTATAAAAAGAGACACTTTTTATTTATGAATAAAAAAAACTTATATACAGTCTCAAAGTATTTCTATACATCTCTATTCTCAAATATTTTATTTTTCTATTGTTTCGTACCTGAAATACCACATCTCTCACCTTGTAATAATATTTTTGGAGTATTCGCACTCAAGGAGAGTAGAGACCAGCCAGTTCATTATATTATTGAAAAGGTCTCCTCTCTGAGAGTAGAGCACTACAGAGTTGAGAGTAGCGTTCACAGTCAAGAGAACAATTTTTTCCTGACACAAAGGTTCTCTAATAATCTAACTACTCTACTCAATCAATTGACAATGATTTGCAAACTTGATATACACATTCATTATGATAGCAATCTTGTAATTAATCTCAACAAGCTCGGATCATATTGGTTTTTTGCCTCCCAGGTATACAATAGGTGGTATTAATTAAAATTTATATCAATAAATATTTTCTTTAATAAAAATTTATGATTTTTACCAAATCATTTTTTGTTTTTGATAAAACTCTGAGAAAATTCATTTATGAATGCTTACATTTTCGAATTTACCTAATGCAGACATAATATCTCAGAAAATTGCTCTAAATTGATATTCCGAAAACTTCAAATTTTTTAAACCAATCAAAATGCTTAGGAGTAAATCAAGTTCATATTTGATATCAAAAATCTCCTATGGTGTTTTAGTGATCAACTATTGAAAATTAATTTCTTAATATACACTCTTTTCAAAAAGTAAATTTGCTCTTGTCAGAAAGTAGATACAGCCAATGACGAAAACAGAATTCAAGTTACACAACAAATAAATTCACCCTGATATAAAATGCTTTCATCAGATGGCAAGAACAAAATTCATGTTGTACGAAATGTAAATTTGTATTTGCTGACAAATAGAATGTCCTGTTGCTAAGAATATTTAACCTTGGCATCATTGGATATAAAAGTGAACACCAAGTGCCCCTTTTCCTTTTATTTCTCTTCCACAATTACACTAAAACTGCATCATAATGAACACTCAATTCTTGTATGAAAATGGGAAAGATTCTGTTGTCAACGAGTATGGCAGGGCTGAACCAATGGATTATATTGTTGATGAGGAGCAGTTTTGTCTTGAAACATTGAGCTCTCATACACAATACTTAGCTCAACTACCTCTGGAGAACGATAAAACGGTAGAGGCAATGCAAGTGAAAAAGGAGGTAAAGCCTGGCAGTGATCTTGTTATGGGCGAAACATCTATGAAGTGAAATTATACACGCTATTCTGATCAGGATAAAGTGAGGTTCTTTAAGCTGTTGTTTGAGAAATGTCTGAGCGCGGCTGCTGCTGCAAAACAGCTTGGGATTCACGTTTGTACAGCACAAAAATGGGCTGAACAGTACGAGAGGGTTTCTGATAATATCTTTAAAAGAAGACAAACTGGTCGTCCACGCATTCTCAATAAGGAGCACAAAAAAGTTATTCTTGAGTATATTGATGCGAGCCCTCCAGTCGTCTTGGGCGATCTGATGAAGCACTTATAACAAGTACTCACAGAATTAAAAGTATTCAAAAGTATCTTGTTTGATTTTGTAAAAAAGCACTGCATCTTGTCTCTCAAAAAAGCTCATTTTCAACCTGTAGATTGGAACAGCAAGGAAAAGATCCAAGAACGCCTGGATTGGATTCATAAATGGGAAAAAACAGACACAGATTTTATGACCAACTGCGTCTTCCTTGATGAATCTGCATTTCATATTAATTTGAAATGTAGTATGGTATGGTCAAAGAAAGGCTCTCCTGCAGTGGTCACAGTTCCCAAAACACGAGCAAAAACAACAACCATTTTAGGTTCAATTTCTGCCCAAGGTCTGATTAAATGTAGTCTCACACTGTAGTAAATGGCAGACATTATAACTCCGCAACCGTATAATTCACTGTAGAAAAAAATCTATGATTATTTGAAACAACCTGCCAAATTTGGAAGAAAAAAGTGTAATGAACAGCGGTCTTTAAGATGTGATAATATCCGTTTTAGGAAACAGAGTAGAAGAAGTAAGAGGCAGAAGAGTTGAGCTTGTGAAAGATGATGTTTATTGACGAGAATATGAAGCTATTTTATATGAAAAGACTACGGATATTGATGCAGACAGAATGATGAAAAGAGAGAGTATTTTATGCACTCTGTTGTGGTGGTTGAAGTTGAAGAAGTTTTTAAGAGGAAGAATTGAAGATTTGAGATTAGGAACGAAGATTCGTGAGAACTTGTGTAGGTTTTGTTTATTGAGAAAGGATTTTGTATCAAAGTTTGACCAGGTTCCTACATTGAACTACTACTGCTATTTATATTATTTTGGATCGGGAAAATTATATGACTGGGGTCAGGTAATCGATCCTATCTGAGCCTTAATCAGAGCAACGTGATCTTGGGATAATTAATGTATGATTAATTATATAAATATGTGTAGTCCCAATGAAGTATTAACATCGAAAGTAAATGTGTTTATGAGTTATAATTATGCTTATAATAATCCACTGATGTATCCCATATTATGGTGATATCATCATATGAAATATAGTCACTATCATGCATGCTAAACCTGTGTGTTAAATAATAAAGTAATTGGTAGACACCTTTAACTGGAATAGCTGACGCCTTATATTATTTCCTTCAGATTTATTCTCAATTACAGCAGTAGTCAATACTCATTTACAACATGGTCAAAGAAAGACTCTCCTGCAGTGGTCACAGTCCCCAAAACATGAGCAAAAACAACAACCATTTTAGGTTCAATTTCTGTCCAAGGTCTGATTAAATATAGTCTCAGACTTCCTTAGCCTCTGTCCAATAAAAAGAGAAAGCGAGAAGAAGACATTAGGCATGTGAACAAAGGGACAGTTACGGGACACTATGTTAGTTTTCTAAAAGCCACAATAGATGAAATGGACCAGTATCCACATATAAAAGACCATTACCTCGTGATGGATAATGCTCCAATCCATACATTAGTTGATATAGCTAAATATGTAGAATCTTGCGGTTGCCACTATGTCTATTTGCCATTCTATTCTTCTGAACTTAGTCTAATTAAACAGTTTTGGTCAGTGATTAAGAGTAAAGTCAAACGAAACAAGCTACTGGAAACTGAGACACTTATGACAAGAATCAGTGAGGCATCTAATAGTTTGACGCTGAGCAATTTGAAAGGGTTTGTTGGGCATTCTCACAAATGCTTGGACAAGTGCCGTAACAGGCAAGCGCGCTGAAGATCTTATTCATGGTCAATGCAGTAAAAAAAAAACTAAACAAAAAAAACAAAAAAAAACTCGTCCAGGATTTCTACCAAAGGATTGCAGTTGCGCTGTGAATATAGCACCAAGTTAAATTTGGCACCATTTACTATAGGCTTTCTAAATTGGCCCATGATCACTATATACAACCTTTTGCTGATGGAATGACATGTCGACGAGCTTGTTCATCCCATAATTGGCAAACCAAAGTCCCAACAAATGTGGTATTCGTGTTATCCATGCTATCCATGCTATCCGTGCTATGTTTCTATATGAAACAGAAATGTATGACAAGGTTTGGATTATGGTCCTGTTCCTGAAATCATTTCCTGAACTGAAACCATCTGTTGAGGCATATGAGTGTGTTTTACCATTTTATAATTCCACTTTTGTGTAGTAAATCCCCCCACAACTGGCAATTTCTTTATCATTGTTTATCAGCAACAGTTTTGTGCCATGACAATAATGATGGTAAGTAAGGATATTTGTTATACTTCTTTATTTTTGTTTTTTCTTCCTTCCTTTTGTTTAACTGGTTGTGTTTTGTAGTGTCTGATGAGATTCTCACATTTTGATTGCCCAACAATCAATTGCCAGGAAAAGACCAATTCAGCAAGCAAATGTTAAAAACTCAAGGCATGATTGACCTTGTGGTCGGCAAATTATTGGACGTTCCAGACAGAACATATATGTCAGCAAAAACAGAATGGCAGAACGCATTGTGAAGTGATATACTTTATAAGCCTTGGTTAGCAATCCAAAACTCGCTTCCTCCAATCCTCATCAAAATTCAATCACCATCAATAAACCCTTTATGCAACGTCTTGTCAGCTATTCACAAAGCACTTTGAGCATCTACAAAACATATTCTATCGTTTTAATTGTTTGCACCAATCGCGTCTCTCCTATCCAACTTATGGCAAAGTTCAAACCTATTTCTGAAAAACTTTGGATGTCTTTGCTCCTGCCCACTGATTTCTGGGCACAAAGCTGCTTCATTGTGTCGAAACTGACTTTATCGAGTATTGCATCTTCTGATCAACTTACACCCCTGCAGGCTTTGTCCTCATTCCTGACCGAAGCCTCTCCAACGTTATATGGTTATCCCTTTGCTGAAAATCAAACAATTTGACAGTTATATCACATTGCCATGGACATCACAGAAAATCAAGTTGAGTGCGATAAGGATGTCTCAAATGTGGTGGACATCATTTGCTACAACAACAAGAAAATACTAATGAAGGCTGATGCTGCGTTATTTGGTGTATCTGGGTCATTCAAGGCAAAAAATCTGATCGAGTGTGCATTGGTTTTCAATGCGGCTACCAAAAGAAAGTATTGCCAAACTGTGGGCTCAGATTCAGACTCGTTGCTGGAACTGCTGCCAAAGTTGAAGGGAAAGCCAAGGGAAGTAATTCAAGATAAAAAACAAGATGACCTTGAATTCATGATCAACTACCAGAAAAATCTGATTGGAAAGATGAATTAGAAGACATGCCTGTCAGTTGACCATGAAAAAAACTTATGCTAAAATTACTCCACTGGTGAATCGCTGCGACGATTCTTTTCCAATGCCACTAAAAAATGATTTCCTTTATTCTTTATTCTCTGATTTCCCATATTCCCACTTTCCTTGATTTCTCTCATCAGTGTAGCATATTCGACTAACAGAAAAACAAAGTTAAAGAATATATAAAAATAACTAGCTGGGCCCGTGATCTTAAAAGATTACACAAACGATTTGATTATACAGTATTGCGTGGTGTTTTTCTGTAGTTCTCTGTGAATACTATATTTTGGCAGTGCAACGTCTGGTTTGGCTGTATTGTGACATTCCCCTCTCTCATACTGTACCCATGGCATATTGTGTTGGCTTGGCCTTTGGCCTCACTCATGGCAGCAATATGGGCCCATTATACAGTAGGTCTTGCTGCTGTTTTGGGGCCGGGGTTGTGCAGGTTGGCATAGCGGCTGGCATTGCAGCTGTCATATATAAGATTAAGAGATAAAACAATAAGAATAAGTAATAAGAAAATATATATATATCAGATAATAAGATGGATAAGTAAGACAATAGACTAAGAAGCAACACACAGTGAATAATAGTACCTATTAAAAATAGGTCAGAGTATATTTTATACAGACTTCTGACAGAATATTTGGTCATTTTTAACCCCCGCCAAGACTCTTCAACTTATATTGTAGCTTTAAATTTATGATAAAAGATAGTAAAGTTCTATAAATCTCTGGTACTCTCACAGATAACTGTATAGGATGTAATAGATAAATTGAAAAAAAATTGAACAAGCTTTAATAAGAGATTGGTCTAAATTTACGCATCTTAAGTTCAGATAGACGATTTTGCATATTAAGGCAAAACGTCATACAAGTCTCTACACTAATTGCTTTCCACGTTTCTTGCAAAGCATTTTCCAATTGTCGCAATGTGGTAGGCTGAGGTCGTCTTGCGCAGATTTTGTTATCAAGAAGACCCCAGATGTTTTCAATAGGACTCAAGTCCAGACTGTTAGGAGGCCACTCCAAAATCTTCAATCCAAGGTCTTTCTTGAACTTTTCTGCCAAGGTAGCCTTATAATAACTCACGTTATCTTCTTGATAAAGGTAGTCTCCCTTTTCTACATTAGGAAGACTTTGATAGAAGGGCATGAATTCCTTCTCCAGAACTTCATTGTACAATGAGGCATTCATGTTACCCTTAAGCATAACCAGTGGTCCAACTCCTCCAGACCAAATACATCTCCAAAGCAATACAGAACCTCCATTTCCTGGAACCTTTGGAGTCAAGCAGTCTGGATGATATTTCTCTCCTGGTTTCCACCATACATGACTACAACCATTTTTCTTGAAAAGAGTAAAGGTTGCTTCGTCTGTCCAAATGACAGTATCCCACTGTTTTTTCCAACCTTTTATTTTTCTATATCAAGCACGACGTTTGGCAATGTGCTCCTTAGTTAGAAGAGGCTTTGATTTGGTTACACAGTAGGCTAGATTCATCTTCTGCAACGTTTGGCTGATAGTTTTTGTACTGACTTTTTTTCCAGTCTTTTCCTTAATCAAGTCTGCCATCTCAACCAAGTTTTGATGGTGATCCCATTTGACATCCAAGAAGAGATGTCTTTTATCTCTAGCAGTTAATTTAGAAGGTCTTCCTGTTGGCTTCTTATTAGTAGCAGATCCGGTTTCGTTGTATTTTTTTATGATACGCATGACAGTAGTTCTTGGTATTCCCTTTTTCCTTGCAATGTCAGAAATCTTCATGCCATCTTCATGAAGTCCAATTAAGATTCCTTTTTCAACTTCTGAAAGCCTTTCAAATGGCTTGTGAGGTTTACTGCTTCGTTGTCTAGACATTATATTAAAAAGATTTTATTGAATTTAGCAGATTGAGTAAAGTGAAGTGTAAGGGTGTATTATGAAATAAATAGCGGAAATATAAAACAGCCAAATTTTATGTTTCACGACTGTAGAATCAATACTTGAATAAACCTAGCTACTTTATTTCAAGCATATCAGAACAGCTTGATCTATAAAGTATCATCAATGATTATATTATAATATTATTGGATGAAAGAGATCCAATGATAGAGTTGAGGCATGGATAATTTTAGGATGCTTCTTCTCAACAACCATTCCCTCTATAACATATATTATATGAGCTCATGGTAATAAGAATAGATGTCAATAGTAATAGATGTTAGCTCTTAAAGAATAAATCTTTATAGAAAATTGGAAAATAAAAACAACATCTAAGATTTAATTATAAGCTCAAGACCAAAATATTATTAAATCATTCGAAAATAACAGTGGATTAGACACTCTACTGAAACCATATCTAGTTAACCACAGTATATATATATATATATAATAAAACAATCCCAACCTCTATTGCTCAGCAACTCTCTTGTATTCTTATAAATACTTGGAAATATCTTATCATTCGAGATCTTTTTTGGTTTTTTTTTCTGATCTTATTTTTTCTTTTGATCTAATACAAACCACTACATTAATCTTTTCAATTCTTTCATTGTCAAATTAAATCGTGCTTTCTCTCCAAATATTACAGAAGCGCCCCTGATTAATGGGAAAGTTGGCATAGATTCGTTCACAATTCTACCTTGTCATACATTTCTGTTTCCTATGGAAACATGGCATGGATAGCACAGATAGCACAGATAGCACAGATAGCACGAATAGCACGAATAGCACGAATAGCACGAATAGCATGGATAACACGAATAGCATGGATAACACGAATACCACATTTGTTGGGACTTTGGCTCGCCAATTATGGGATGAACAAGCTCGTCGACATGCCATTCCATCAGCAAAAGGTTATATATAATGATCATGGGCCGATTTAGAAAACCTATAGTAAATGGTGCCAAATTTAACTTGGTGCTATATTCGCGGCGCAACCGCAATCCTTTGGTGGAAATCCTGAACGAGTTTTTTTTTGTTTTTTTTTGTTTAGTTTTTTTTTACTGCATTGACCATGAATAAGATCTTCAGCACGCTTGCCTGTTATGGCACTTGTCCAAGCATTTGTGAGAATGCCCAACAAACCCTTTCAAATTGCTCAGCGTCAAACTATTAGATGCCTCACTGATTCTTGTCATAAGTGTCTCAGTTTCCAGTAGCTTGTTTCGTTTGACTTTACTCTTAATCACTGACCAAAACTGTTTAATTAGACTAAGTTCAGAAGAATAGAATGGCAAATAGACATAGTGGCAACCGCAAGATTCTACATATTTAGCTATATCAACTAATGTATGGATTGGAGCATTATCCATCACGAGGTAATGGCCTTTTATATGTGGATACTGGTCCATTTCATCTATTGTGGCTTTTAGAAAACTAACATAGTGTCCCATAACTGTCCCTTTGCTCACATGCCTAATGTCTTCTTCTCGCTTTCTCTTTTTATTGGATGGAGGCTAAGAAAGCCTGACACTGTAGAAAAAAACCAATGATTATTTGAAACAACCTGCCAAATTTGGAAGAAAAAGCCGTTTTTTCAATTACCGAATATTTTTTCTATATTTAGAAAGCTTTAAATTTATTATTGTCTCATGGAGCCATTATTTTATTTTATTTTCTTATTTTTAAATTGAATAGCCATTTCTGGTAAAAATACAAGGGCTATATATTTTTTTCTCTTCCGAAATTGTCAGAGATAGAAACACAACCAATTAACTAAATATATATTCAACTTGAGTTTCAGTATCAACTCTGATTTCAAATAATTAACCATGTCAATGTACTTCACAGTAGTGAGTAATTAGGTTAAAAAAAAGGATTTATATTTGCATATATAGAAAAAAAAAGAAGAGGAAAAAAACTATTTATAATAATGTGGATGAGGAAATATCACATGTCTAATGGTTTCATTGTTGATGTCGTGAATGAGACCAGCCATCCCTGTGATGGACTTCACCTCCACCACTTTAATCTCACTGAGTGTTAGACTTTCCCACACAGGAAACTTCCTCTCATTGTTGGGCCAGATGCCACACAGACAGTCGACAATGGCAAAGAGCCTGGTCTCTTCCAAGACTGATTGAGAAAAGAATTTGTAAACAAATCCATACCTTTGAAAAAATTAATTGAAATGTGATTAATAATATAACACCATAAAACATAACTCATTACACTTACTCATTCAGGTGTTTGAGAACAACAAGGTCATTGGCTCGAACATGCCTGCCTTCAAATGAAGATTGGACTCTGTATACCACATTGCCCTTCCACATCATTGTGATGCAAACCACGTTGGTGGTTTCTTCAACCATAAACACGCTGTCTTGGCTCCAAATACACGCTAATGAACTAACTAGATTGTGGTAGTTCATTCCACACTCATCTGCCACAACAGCCAAAGACTTTCTGGTCAGGTTCGACCAAAGTTGGGGGCCAGCAATATTGTTACTTGCAACTTCGAAGTTGCTGGTTCTCCTGTCCGTTGGTCTTCTACAGGAGGCCCAACCACCAAGGCAATGTTTGACCCTGGCCTTATGGAACAGAATGTTTTCTATATTTTTCCCTGGTTCCTTCTGAGACCCAATTGCTGCCCTGTATTCACCAATGGTGCGTTCGATTGGGCAGCAGCTGTATGCCCGCAGTGGGCCCATCTCTCTCATCATGTAGCCAAGATGAGCCAGCATGTGCTGGTTCATCACGAAAATTGTGGGCTTTAACCTTTTTTCTGCGACTTCGTAACAAAGGAATACATGCCAGCAACAAATTGCTCTATAAAAGTGATTAAAGCATTGTTTAATATATATGCTATTAACTTACTCTTCCATGATGTTGACTTCTCTCTCTGTCACTTTCCACTGCTGAGAAATAGTGCAGGCCTTTACCAGGTCTTGCACAGCATTTCTGGTTTTGGCAAGAACAAAGTTCTTCATCACCACCATTGGCACAACAAACAGAAAACAGAAGGAAGTCCAACCAGTTGACTGCCTTCTGTCAACCAGTTGTTTCCTCCAGCAATTGCCAACTACAGTAAATATTGCAGGGATGTCTGCCCTGGACTTGGTAATTGATCTGTCTATCTGGTTAAGCCTGACATTTAGGGCAAATGTGTATATGCTTTGCTGTTGTTGCTGTTGTTGTTGCTGTGGCTGATGCTGTGGTTGCTGTTGCTGTGGTTGCTGTTGCTGTGGTTGCTGTTGCTGTGGTTGCTGTTGCTGTGGTTGCTGCTGTTGTTGCTGTTGTTGCTGTGGTTGCTGCTGTTGTTGCTGTTGTTGCTGTGGTTGCTGCTGTTGTTGCTGTGGTTGCTGTGGTTGCTGCTGGTCTCCATTGTCTGCGATCTTGGGACTGATCTGAAACTTTCCACCCAATGCTTTGTATAGTTGTTTGCCTATACCATGTCCAAGTAGATGCATCTCATCAAGCCTGAAGAAAGCAGGACTAGTCAGTGTAGAAAGATCCCTGAAAACATTTGGACCATTGACACCGTAACTCTAAAAAGAAAGTATTAATATTTCAATAATTCAATAATGAAGTACTTACATTTCTCTCGAATTGATGGAGACTTTCTACAGTTCTCATACGAACAGGCAATTCATCACCAAAAAAACACATCATGTGATATTTGAAAACACCTTTGGAAAGGCAAGCTCGACATCCAAAGAAAAAATTGTGATGGGCCAGGTTCATCAAGTCTGACACAGCTGGATTATCACCAGTTGCCATGACAAGATGAACCTTTACATTAATTTGTCCGGCGACAGTCTGAATCTGGATACCCAAAGTGGCCAGCATACAAAAATCCTCAATGATCGGCTCAAGGAAGGACCCTATATCCCTTGGGTGTTTTGGTCCAGATATAATCGCCAGCTGCATCATGTTGTTGCTCTCATATCTAAATATATTTTGTTAGTATATTTATATATAATGTCTTATATTATATCTTTCTTTTGGATCGATATTTAGATTGCCAACATGAATTATAGTTGCTGACATCTTGGTATTATCAAAGGGGTTGAACTAGTCAACGAACATAGTAATCAAGATGTCATCCTGGCCAACTATACCGCCTTCATACAGTCTGCAGACAGCACCACCGTTGAACACACCTGACAACACACCAAAACGACTACCCATGATATGTCTTCTATCATATGCCATTTTGGCATGTTCTTGACTATTCCCCAGCTTGAATCTCAGTTATTGCGAGAGATGCACAACCTTGAAAGTCTGCACAGGGACCAGAGTATCTCTCTCACGTCTGAACCATTGGCTACCACAGTGAGAACACTGTTCTTTCTCGTCTATCAGATTACTGGCTTTTACATCACAGAAACGGATGCAACCTTTCATGCATATGTCATAAGTGGCTGTATGAACAGTGTATTCATCCTTTAATATCTTGTCCATCTTGTAATACGACAGAAGTACATTTGTTGCAGCTAAAATGATGGTAAGCTTACATATAAATAATTCATCTTTAATTATATACTTATGCAATCTGCGCTCTGCCATGTATTTATTTACAATCTTAATACACTTGTCAAAAACATTGCAAGATACGTTATTCTCAACAAACATAGAGAATAACTCTAGGGTAGCAGCCTCTGCGTATGTATTAGACTCATAAAAAGGGACATAGGACTCTTGGTTCACGTTCTTGGTAACAAAATCAGACTTGATTGGAAGAGTATTTATATTTACTGGGTTGCGAATATGCAAATATCCATGAACAGATTCTGTAACACGTATATGTATATATAGATAAATTCTCCAACCATTAAACCTCATAAGTCTGTTATAACTTTTGTTTTTTTACTCTTACCATACGAATAGTCATTGCTATTATCACTATCATTGTATTCAGCTTCGTTGGTTTCAGTATAATCATTGTTGAATTTGACATCTACTGAATTACTAATACTGTGCACACTTCTCAGAGCCATGAATGCTTCAAAATCATTTTCTTCGGCTCTACCAATGTCTTGATCGTGGACTGCATTCAAAAAAGCCATGTCAGTACTGGTAATCACATCTTGGTTTCTTTCCTGTTGGTAGAGAGTAAGAGTGAAAACCTCTCATACCATTTCTCGACCATGGACTTCGTCCAAAGAGGCTTGATCAGCACTGTTAAACAGCGATTGGTTTCTTTCCTGGAGGGAAGGAGCAAGGGCAACAAAATCTTGTGCAATATCTATATAATCAGTTGCACTAATGTCACTGTCGCTTCCAGAAATACGAGTTGCAGAAGTGTTTGTGTTCATCTTTTGTTTTGAGTAGGCTACAAAGTATAGTGTAAAGAAAAAAGTACCAAGAGTGTAAGTTTTGTGATATAAAAGTTTATTGTTTTATACGGATATCATTGTACACATTATGTCTTTAAAAGTTGCTTTTCATTAAAATCGTATCCTTATACAGTAATTTATTGTTTCTAAGCATAATTATGACTGTGAAAAATATATTTTAATTAACATTTTCAAAATTTAATTATTTACTCCTTCATTCTTTACACACAAAAATGTCGACAATTAAAAACCCACAAACAAATGATAACCAAACCACTTTTGAAGGGGTTGTATCTGAAAGTGTTTCTGCTTTCAGCTCCTTGGGTACTTCTGGAGGGACGTACAGAAGAGACGAACAATGTGTTGAGTCAAGAGAGGCCCAGTCAGGGCAAAACATTGGCGACAATGACAGTTGAGATATCCCAAGGCCTGATAAAAACTCATGTTCAGAGTCAAGCACTTTATTTGCCAAAGGGATAAAAAATACAATGGCATTGTATTTAGGTGGAGGAAATCTATAGACTGGTGCAGACATGTACTATATTACAGGAAAAATTGTGCTTCATGTGATAAACAACACATTTGATGCACTTATTAATAAGAAAAATGTTATTCCTTTATGGGGTAACTTAACGTCCTTTCAGAAGAATTATCTTGTTCACAAGGTTGAGAAAAAAGCCTTGGAGAAGAATATATCCCTTAATAGATTTAAAAACTCATGGGCAGTCCGTCATATGCTTTCTCAAAAATGGAGAACTGCGATAAATGACGCAAGAAAGAAAAGAAAGGTATACTTCTTTAAATAATAGTAAATTAATAAATCTATATCCAAGTAATACTTTATGAAAGAAATTGTATTTAGCAACTGAGTAAAAATATCACTGATATTAATTAATTTAATTAATGAAACCAAACTATAGGCTTTTCACGTATAATGTATATTATTTACACTTCTTTTTAATATACTTCTCTTAATTTTGTTTCTATTTTTTTCCATTGTTTTTTATGTCTTTTTTCAGTTCCAAGGTTTTGTTTTAATAAAAAACATTTTCATTTAAAGCATCATGCATTTGCTGGACCAATTATAAGAAGAATAGATATACCTAAAAAAGGTATAGCGATACTATATTTAGCTTATTTGATTGGATTAGAAAAAAATAATCTGAAATCCAACGAATTGTATTCTCCAAATTTTTTATAAAAAGAGAAATATTTATCAAAAAATGGTATAATCTTGTTATTTTAAAAGATTTTATTGGATTAAAAAAAAAGTAATTTGAGCTCCCATAAATAGTATTCGCTGTAAATACTTTTAATTTACTAAAAGCCAAGATTCTATAGGCAGACATCATAACTCCGCAACCATATAATTTGAAAGTCTATATTTTCTGGTAGATGGTAAAATATTTACCGAAATGGTGACTGCCAATCCTTTTCTTTGTTTTTGAATTGTTTATTTGAAACAGATATTCTATATCCATTAAATTATGTGTTTTATTAAAATACACACTCTCATCAAATATGTCAATCAATAACACTCAATCTAACAAAACCATTTACACTTTGGCAACAATCTCCCAAGCCTTGGAATGCTCTTCTGTTCCAGAAGTGATGACACTTAGATTAGAAAATATTATTAGAGTAAAAACATCTGAGTGAAAAGAATGTTTAACAGAGATTGGGGAAGCTTGTGCAGTCAAGTGGGTCATTTGCAACACCAATAAGCAACCCACCAACATTACTGCTGAAGAAGCCAAAGCAACTGGTATTAAGTTATGTTTTTCTCAGGAGTATTCCTGTCATCATTGGGGAACCTATGAATCTAAGGCAACTTTGCGTGTGGTTCAAAAGCAAACAAAGAAAAACAAGTGTTCTGCTCTTCTTCATGTGAAAGAGTTCTTTAAGACACCTGAGTTTTATGAATTTGTTGTTACAAAAGATTATGCAGAGCATACTCCTGGTGATATGCGTAGTAGCATTTGCACCCTTCCTTTTGCAAAGAAATATCTTCACGAGTTGGCTCAGCAATTAGAACAGTCGTCAAAATCTGCTAGTCAAATTAGAATTGATATGTTGAGAGCTGTAGATCGATATGGTAGAAAGTCTGAAAGAAAAGTTAACTATTATGATATCTGGAATTTGATAAACAAAGTAAGCTTTAAAAATAATATATCTTATAGCATTTACTTTAATATATTTCTGTAATAGATCAATAAAAAGCTGTATCATTTTGATTAAGATCAAATGACTTCTTTCTTAATCTGGATGAACAACAAACTTTCTGCCTTAAACTTCAACATCTTTAAGGCAAATACTTCATATTCTCCAGATCCATCAGCCTTTGCATATGGTTTTATGTCACCCGTTCAGCAAGAAAAAATGAAAACCGCAACTTCTTTCCGTTTGGATGCTACTCATGCAATCTCTAGCAACGTGAATGAGATTCTTTATACCCTTTTGGTGCGTGATGAAGATATTGGTAGAGGATGGCCTGTTGCCTTTATGGTAACCAATGATCGAGGTGTAAGCCCCATTGTGCAGTAGCTGCAGTTCTTGAAGAGATCCTCTTTGCTTGTTGACCCAAAGCAATTTATTATTGATTGTTGTGCAGCAGAAGTTCACGCCATTCAGACAACTTTCCCTGCAACATCCATTCAATTTTGCATCTTTCATGTAACCCAAGCATGGAACCGAAAGTTATCTGACAGTGTGAAGATTCCTGGATCCTTACTATCAGAGGCATGAATTTTACGTGGTGTGATAATGAAGTCTCTGCAAGAGATCATTTATGAAGAAGACATAGACGAGTTTCATCATAAAATTGTACAGTTTAAAGAAGACTTTGATGACTAAGAAAGCTTCTTTGATTACTTTGAGAGAAACTGGTGTACAGAAGCAAAGTTTAAGATCTGGAGTAGAACATACTATGAACGACAATTCTCCTATATGCTCACAAATAACTATATCGAGTCCTAGCACAATCAATTAAAAACAATTTTCATGAAAAGATCTAGAAACAAGAGACTTGATAAGCTTGTTTTTGTTTTAGTACATGATGTTGAGTATTATCTCACCCAAGAATACGAACGTGTCATGTCAAACAATAGTCCAATGAGTTCTTTTACTAGACAACAAAGAATATGTGAGATGGAAGCTGAAGAAGTCGATGATGATGACAGGGAAATGATGATTGTTGCTTCTGGTACTGCAGAAGATGTAAATTGGCAAGTTTGGTCGTTTGTAAATGAAAATACAGTATATGTTGTTCAGGTTACAGAGCCAAACTTGATTATTTCATGCATCTGCTTTGATTATCAGCAAAGATATAAACCTTGTAAGCATATGTATTTGCTTAAAATGCATACAAACCGATCTCTCTACTTCTCTCCACCTTCTGTCACAAGTACAAACGTAATACAGCCAGTCTCTACCTCTGAAACAGCTACAATCACACCAACTATCAGTCGTACATCTGCTTTTATACAGCAGTGTATTGACATCAATCAAACACTTCGGTATGCAAACCAAGATCTACTGACTATGCAACAGTATATGACTGAAGATGATAGTCAGACTTTGTTTAATGCATATCAATGCTCTCTACAAGTCTTTCAGTCTATAAAAAACAAATATGAAGTTCATCTTCGCAGATCTCATACACAAGAATAAAATTATAACTATCTAGCTTTTTTCTCAAAGAAATGTTTTGTAAATTGAAACAACTTTCAAAATGACTTAGTAAATTATCTCATTTTTTATTTTCTGGTAGTTGTATTTTTTGTCTTATTTTCTGGTAGATAAGCCTCAATTTCGGCTAATACTTTACCATCTACCAGAAAATATAGACTTTCAAATTATATGGTTGCGGAGTTATGATGTCTGCCTATAGAATCTTGGCTTTTAGTAAATTAAAAGTATTTACAGCGAATACTATTTATGGGAGCTCAAATTACTTTTTTTTTAATCCAATAAAATCTTTTAAAATAACAAGATTATACCATTTTTTGATAAATATTTCTCTTTTTATAAAAAATTTGGAGAATACAATTCGTTGGATTTCAGATTATTTTTTTCTAATCCAATCAAATAAGCTAAATATAGTATCGCTATACCTTTTTTAGGTATATCTATTCTTCTTATAATTGGTCCAGCAAATGCATGATGCTTTAAATGAAAATGTTTTTTATTAAAACAAAACCTTGGAACTGAAAAAAGACATAAAAAACAATGGAAAAAAATAGAAACAAAATTAAGAGAAGTATATTAAAAAGAAGTGTAAATAATATACATTATACGTGAAAAGCCTATAGTTTGGTTTCATTAATTAAATTAATTAATATCAGTGATATTTTTACTCAGTTGCTAAATACAATTTCTTTCATAAAGTATTACTTGGATATAGATTTATTAATTTACTATTATTTAAAGAAGTATACCTTTCTTTTCTTTCTTGCGTCATTTATCGCAGTTCTCCATTTTTGAGAAAGCATATGACGGACTGCCCATGAGTTTTTAAATCTATTAAGGGATATATTCTTCTCCAAGGCTTTTTTCTCAACCTTGTGAACAAGATAATTCTTCTGAAAGGACGTTAAGTTACCCCATAAAGGAATAACATTTTTCTTATTAATAAGTGCATCAAATGTGTTGTTTATCACATGAAGCACAATTTTTC